CTACTACTACTACTACTACTACTACTACTACTACTACTACTACTACTACTACTACTACTACTACTACTACTACTACTACTACTACTACTACTACTGGTGGTGGTTACAAAGTACTTTTTCTTCGTCGTCAAAATGGGTTTCTCATTGCCTATGCTAGGTATGCTACGATGTGTGGTGTCACACACCTACACACACACACACACATTCTCTCTTCCACCTCCCCAAAAAACAGCGCAATTGATTGATTTCTCGATGGATTTCTTGATTTGATCCCTTGATCGATTTCTTTGAATAATTTGACAGGTCAGTATCCCTCTCCCGAGACTTTTCTCTCTCTCTCTCTCTCTCTGTGTGTGTGTGTGTCTCCTCTTCACAACTTGTCATTCTTGTTGATTCTCGAATCCCGACCGAAATGACGTTCAACCTCTGGCAAGGTGCGGCTGCCGTCGGAAAAGGTGAGGTTGTCAATGACCACCTTGCCTTGCTCGAAAAAGGACATTTGGATCATGTTTTGGATCGACGAACGCAGGATGATCATCTCGATCCCCTTCCACTTGGACGCCCTCGACACCGACTTTGCAGCCGAGTCCAGAGCCGACTTGATCGAGGTCGAGGTCGAGGTTGGCTGGGAGGGAGGACGGTTGCCGACGAGGTTGTTTTGGACTCGAGTCTTCATGGTGTCGAGAGGATAGGTCTGTTTTGACAAACACACACACATGTTGGTGAGAAAAGGAACAAAGGGATCAGAAACTTACAAAAACCCAAGCACCGATTCCGCACACAGCACCCGCGGCTGCGATTGCCCCCAGAGAATTCGCCTTTTCGGCACCGTAGTACGAGTTCAACGTCTGTTTGGTGGTCTCGTACACACCGAAGTAGATGCCGCTGCCGACCAAGTCGCGAAGCATGTGGAGGCGGAATCCGGTCCACAGACCCAAGGGACCTCGGCGTTGGATGATCAGTTTCATCGATGCCCAAGAGCTGACCCGTCCGACGTTCTTGACGCCAGGAGCGTGAGCCGTTTGAGGCTTTCCTTGAGAGGCCATGAGCACAGAGGTCTGCGTGGCGTTCTTGATGAGTTCGATGGGAGCTAGAAATCTCATGTTTAGAGTGCGGGATCTCGGACATTGGAGGACCACACAAGGGACGTACTCAGGACAACAGCGGTAACACCACCCGAGATCATTCCAGCTCCGGTGAAACAGGCCAAGGTGTAGATGGTGGGATATGTACCCGGCTTGTTGACGTGTTGAAGAGGTGAAGATCCCGTGGTTTTTTCGATCCAACTATCGATTGCATACTTTGCTTTGCGGTAGATGGAGAAACCGAGCGCTCGGGAAAAGGTAATGGAAAACAACGGAGGGAGAGTGCCTAAGTACGCGCGTGTCAGCGTGGAATCGAATGTCGCCTCAAGTCTGGTTCTCCTACCGGCCCAGAAACCGCGAAGTCCTTCGGTGCGATAGGTGTATCTTGTAGCTTGCCAGGCATTGGGGAAATAGTGTCTATTCATTGTCAGCGAGCCTCCTGATTCTCCCTCGGCATCTAACATACGATTGCATGCGAACTTTGAGATTTTCAAATGGAGCCTGGAACTTGTCAGTGGTTGAGTCGGGCGACACCTTGAAACCTCACTTACCCCTGCGACCACGGCCAAGGCGGCTGAGGGAGCAGATGAGAGAACCTGTCTGTATTTCTTCGCGTAATAGATTCGAGTATCTGGAGAGCCCCAGCCAGTATCCATTTTCGATTTGGAAGACATGGCTATGGGCGGCTGGGATGATTTTGATGGTAGAGTAGAGGTTGAATTTCGATCTGGATCATGTTCGTGAGAGGTAGAAACAGTCGAGTTGTTTACTTTGCGGGCATGGTTCATCGTTCTAGAGAATCAAGGCCAACACAAGTCTTCACACTCAGAATATCAGCCCTTGCGCCCTCATGCTATTGAATTGTCCGTTGTCGACACTCACACAATGGGCTGCGGAACCCGATGGAACGCAAGTAGACCTCTCAATCATGTACGATGAGACGATCCCTCCGCGTTCCACACTCCATTCCCTCTTCCTATTGTTCAAGCTGTTCCTTTACCAGAAGTCACGAAGGACAACTGTATGGTCGAAGCACAAGACCAATTCCTGGAAACGGCACCGAAGCGTTCAGGAGGATGGGATGCTTGGACAACGTCCCAGTGGTGAGTGAATGCCTTGTCTGTCAATCAATCTCTTTCAGCACAACGACGTGAGCATTCGTGCTCTTTGACGATTCTGAAGTTGCGTAAAAGGCACAAGAAGCCACGGAGCAGCTTGCAAATTGTTGGTCGAACCCAGACGGTGCTGGACGAGAAAGAATCGGGAGAGCTGCTGGAGCGTGATCGGGATGCTCTTCTGATGGGAGAGATTGAAGGCTCGACGAAGGCCTTTGGGTAGAAAGAGGGGAAATATCAGGCAAAGAGTGTCAAGCAAAGGAAGAAGCGAGGTGTGAAGCTCCAACAACAACAAAGGTCCAGCAGCAGAGTGGGAATTCGTGGGAAGGCCGCATGTGCAATTGTGGACAGAAAGAAGCTTAGTAGAATGTGGTTGTGCTTAGTGTCATGATCCTTACAGTGACGTCGACCCAATGCTTTTGGACAAAGAGATGGTGGCTTGCCCCTCGGACCCTCAAAACACCCCTCCTTTTTTGTTTCTCCAGGCTCACTAGGCGAGCCTGATGGACAGCGGCGGGCCACTGAGCCTGGTCACTTAGGGGGAGGCCATGCCTAACCATTGGCCGAGAGAGGTCTCCCTAGGGGTTCACAGTATCGTGGGTGGGATGGTCTAGCCCTGCGAAGAGTCAGTCTAAGCAACATCAACACCTTTCTTGATTCGCTTGTGGCTTGTCTCGCTCGAGAGACCAATACTTCATTGTGTGTCATGCATCAACCAGGGTGATGATTGGCGGTCTAGGATCGATGGCAAAGAACCAAAAATGGCTTTGCGAATGGTGAGGGTCTTGGTCGACTGGCAGTATTCGTACGAGGATGGTCCCTACGGAGAACGCAGCCCCAAAGGCTGATCATTGGAACTTGAACCCCCTACGAGTACGAGTCCCTTGAGTTCATTTGCCATATGGTCGAAGATGGAGGTCCATATCCAGGTAAGCCTTGGGTTTCAGGCTGGTGAGACTGAGAAGTGATGCTGAGTACAGCGGTGCTGGAAAGTGGTTGGACGGAAAAGCCGGCTTGTACTCGTAATCAATGCCGGGTTGAATACCCTGTGGACGAGTTTTACACGGAGTTACAAGTCGTGAGATGGACTCTTGAGATATCAATTATCAGAGAAATACTTAGTAACGAGTGATGAGTTGAGTCGCATACGGTACATTGCTTGTTCCCAAGTCAGGGAACTACCTCACGTACGGAGTACCTTCCGAGTACTTACTGTGCCTCTTTGTGTCCTGTGAGTACTCGAGGTGCTCCGTAATGTGCCTACATGCCCGTCTGATACGAATACATGTTTGACTACCTTGTAGGTACTGTATCCGTACGGAGTACATAGGGCTCTGTAATACCAGAGTGCTCACTTTCTAATCCGTACAGTACTGCAAGTTAATACCTATTTGAGCCTCGGCCTGACTCGGTCTTCTCTCGTACTCGTACTCTCCGTAACGCGTACAGTACTATGGCCATTCCCCGCATTCGGGCGACCCTGGAAACTCCGTCAAGTGGCTCGGTCGGTATTCAAAGTCTGGAGCCGAGGTCCGTGGTACTTCCAACACTCTTAAAGACAAGCCGTGGTAAGCAAAGGTGAGGTTCCATTTGACGACTGCTTCAAACATTTCCCGCTTCACCCCAACATCTCCTGTACCACAAGCCTCTCACGAAAGACCCCTGGCTCTAAATCCACCGCCGTCATGCCTCGCAAAGCCGCGCCCGCCTATGTCCTAGGCGTAGGAATGACCAAATTCATCAAGCCGAGAGGAAAGGTCGACTACCATGAACTCGGTTTCGAAGCCGGCGTGAAGGCAATGTTGGATGCACAGATCAACTACGACGAGGTCGACCAGGGAGTGGCATGCTATTGCTACGGAGATTCGACATGTGGACAAAGAGTCTTTTACCAATTCGGCATGACCCAGATCCCCATTTACAATGTCAACAACAACTGCGCGACGGGGAGCACCGGTCTCAACATGGCCCGCCAGGCCATTGCGTATGGCGCCGCCGACTGTGTTCTCGTCGTCGGCTTCGAGAAGATGTCGCCCGGTAGCCTCCAAGCCTACTTCAACGACCGCGAAAACCCCACCGGCACCACGAATGCCATGCTGAAGGCGACCAGAGGTGTCACGAACGCCCCCGGCGCGGCCCAGCTCTTCGGCAACGCCGGACGCGAATACATGGAGAAGTACGGCGCAAAAGCAGAGGACTTTGCGGAAATCGCTCGCATCAACCACGAGCATAGCAAGAGAAACCCATACTCTCAATTCATGGACGAGTACACACTAGAACAGATCATGAAGTCGCCCATGATCCACGCTCCCTTGACGAAACTCCAATGTTGCCCGACCTCGGACGGTGCCGCGGCCGCCGTGATCGTCTCTCAGGACTTCCTGGACAAGCGACCGCATCTCAAGTCTCAGGCGATCCTCATCGCCGGCCAGTCAATGGCCACCGACTCGACCGACCTTTTCAGCCGCTCGGCGATCGACCTGGTTGGATATCAGATGACCGTATTCGCCGGCAAGGAGGCCCTGAAGCAAGCCGGAATCACCGCCAACGACGTCAGCATCGTCGAGCTGCACGATTGTTTCAGCGCCAACGAAATGTGCGTCATCGACGCGCTCGGCTTGTCCCCCAAGGGCAAGGCCCACGAGCTGGTCCGACAGGGTGGTATCACGTACGGTGGTAAATATGTCGTCAACCCGTCCGGTGGTTTGATCTCCAAGGGCCATCCTCTTGGTAAGTACTCAACAATGCTCGATTTGCCTTGCTGCACCTGTGCTGACCCCCTACCCTCCTTACAGGTGCAACTGGACTTGCCCAATGTGCCGAACTCACTTGGCACCTGCGAGGTTGGGCCAACAACCGCCTCGTCAAGGACACAAAGTACTGTCTCCAACAAAACCTGGGTCTCGGCGGTGCCGTCGTCGTGACCGTGTACAAGCGAGCGGACGGAAAGGCTGCGTCTCCCGTGTCGGACTCGGAGGTCGGAAAGACCAATCACCTCGGATACAATCCCGCGACCCAGGCTAAGGGCTTCACGATCGAGCAGGCCAAGCAGGTCTTGAGTAGGAAGTCCTTCTCTGACTGGGCTGTCCAGGACGTCCAGAGCAAGGTCCAGGCCAGGTTCTAGTCGACCGGGGAGTATGTAGGAAACTGTAAAGGCAGCATTATTGAACCTGTATAGAAACAGTATATTGAAACCGTACAGAATTAGATATATTTTATGAGGCATCCCTAGGAGGACCATTCGCTCGGGTCACTTGGTAAACCAAACGAGTCCGTGTCCTGCACCACACCGATCCTATCTATGCACTCGTAGATCGTCAAGTCATACATCACTTATATGGACAAGTACAGCAAGTCCTGGTACTTGTACAAATATTGTATGTACTGTGGACTTTAACTCATCATAGACATATATGCTCATGGCCAATTGAATCGTGCAAGTAAGAGCAGAAAATCCCATCACCATGTGCAAATAATAATAATACAAAAAGTAGTCGAAAATGTGTTTCTCTGTATTGCCGAAATCAATGACGTTGATTTGTAACCCGCTGCTCGGGGATATTTTTTGCATTTCGGGAACCACGTTCCTTTGCTTATGTCTTGTAAATACAGCAAGCCAATCGATGAAAAGGTATATAAAAGTCATACATAGATAACAACCACTCGAGTACTTGTACTCCGTACCTAATACGTTGTTGACCGTCACACACACAGACACACACTCTCTCTACCACTCCGATTTTGGCCATGTCCAAAAGATTTCCGTCCGACAACAAGGATGCCTCGCCTTTGGGGCAACCATTGAAATTTGAATTCAGCGGCAAGACGGCGCCAAACAGATTCCTCAAGGGCGCCATGACCGAACGACTGAGTTCGTGGGACCCGGTTCACAAGGAAAAGAGAGGTGTCCCGTCAAAGGAGCTCATCAACGTCTACAGGCGTTGGGGAGAAGGAGGGCTGGGGTTGATACTCACCGGCAACATCATGGTAAGACGATGCCTGTCAAGATTCTCGTGCCGACACAGGCCACTTTGGGTTTTGACAAAGTCGAGCTGACCCCCATCACCAACTCCCAGGTTGACTATGACAACTTGGAGTCTCCGGGAAACATGATCATCCCGCCCGGAGCGCCTTTCGAAGGTGAACGGTTCGAGGCATTCAAGGAGCTGGCAACGCAGTCCAAGGCCCATGGCAGTCTCATCGTCGGACAAGTCAGCCACCCTGGAAGACAAATCACCCAACGGCTCAGCGCAGATCCGGTTTCTGCCAGCGACGTCCAGCTCGAGGGGGAGGTTATGGGGATGAGATTTTGCCAAACCCCACGCCGCCTCCCTGGCAGAGATCAAGGACATCATCGAGCGGTTCACCCACGCCGCGGAGTATCTCCACAGAGCCGGGTACGACGGCATCCAGTTGCACGGCGCCCACGGCTACCTGCTGGCTCAGTTCCTGTCCCAGACGACGAACAAGCGGACGGATCAGTACGGGGGCTCGATCGAGAACCGCGCTCGGATCATCGTCGAGATGGCCCGGTCGATAAGACAAAGGCTCCCCGCCTCGTCGGGGTTCACGCTCGGGATCAAGATGAATTCCGTCGAGTTCCAAGAGGGCGGCTTCACGACCGAGGAGGCGAGGGACGTGTGCGCCATGCTGGAGAGGGCCGAATTCGACTTTGTCGAGTTGAGCGGCGGGACCTACCAGTCCCTCGCGTTCGTCCACGAGCGCGAGAGCAGCAAGAAACGAGAAGCTTTCTTCTTGGTGTTTGCCGACTTGATCACGCCGGCCCTGAAAAGGACAAAGACGTACGTCACGGGCGGGTTCATGACGGTCAACGGCATGGTCGAGGCCCTCAAGACGGTCGACGGTGTGGGTCTCGCCCGACCGGTCTGCCAGGAACCGCGTCTGGCGAACGACATGCTACGAGGGAAAGTGAGCGGCGCGCTCGATCAACTCGTCGACCGAGACGACTTTGGCCTGACAAATGTCATCGCCGGGTCGCAAATTCGTCAGATGGGCAGGGACCGGGAACCCATCGACATGTCTGTGAAAGAAAACGTCGACCTTTTCATGAAGGGCATGGCCAAATGGGCCGAGAAGATGGGCAGCGGAGACGCCAACAATTACGGCTTTGTCGATATTGAAAGCGCACAGATGAGGCCTTATGGAGTTGCTTTGTCGTAGGAGCCTGGGGGTCGTGTTTTGCGGGTTGAGAGAACGGTGCATGTCCTGAGTAGATCTACAAGATAAAATTAAAACAGAATATAAAAAACATGTCAAGACGATGAATTGCACGATTTCATGTGCCACTCCTACTCTATCAGTCCGGTGGTCAGCAAACCAGGATGTGCCCGACCGATTGTCATGCTGCGAGAACAATGCCAAAGGGGTTGTTCCCGATGAGGCAACTCGGCCGAGTCGAGAACAACGTGAATTCGCATGTCACATTCACCAGGTTCTTTTCACTCTTCCTTTTTTCCAGGTGAGTTTGTCTTCTCGACAGGCATGAGTCCTGCTGCGAATTGTACTAATTTTCGCGACACAGACAAAGGAGGTTTCAACATGTCGAATGCGACGACGAAAGATTATGACGACGATGAATATGTTGCCAAATTACTCGCCGAAGACGCAAGGCAGAGTTCGATCAAGTATGCATCCCAAGGAATGTCGGCACTTTTACCCAAGAAAACATCTGGTGGCTCGGGATTGAAGCCCAACACCCGTTTTCTCAAGACCCTCGTTCGCGAAGCAGACAGTCACAATGCGGCGTTGAAGAAGAGGGAAGAATTCGAGGCCAGGGCACGTCTTCGAGCCATTAAGGATGACCGAAGAAGATCAGAGGCCGACCGACGAACCCGAAGAGAACATGACAGAGATGAGCGCCACAGGTATCGAGAAGAAAGACCAAGAAGAGAACCTGAAAGAAAGAGGCGTCGTCTGAGTCACAGCGATTATGATGACCATGAGGGGAAAAGAACCAGACACTCCAGGGATTCTAGGGACAGCAGATCATCACGAAAGACTCGACGCAGTATAAGTCCCGATAGAGAACTCAGCAGGACTAGAGACACAGGGCGAAGGACGAGAAGAGATGATGGTGATCATGATGAAAAGGACCAGTCTCGGCACAGATCGCGGCAGAGGAGACGTCAAGAGAACCACAAGTCTCTGCGATTGTCCAGGTCACGTTCCAGATCTTTGGACAACTCCCACGACCGGAAAGACGACATAGTCAAGAAGGCATCTCACAAAACACACAGACATCGCAGGCAAAGATCTGACTCTTCAACACCATCTGATCCTCTGAGGTCGATGGTTGGCCCGATCCCTCTCGATCATTCCTCGACGACGGCAAGAACAACAACAACAAAACGAGGACGAGGGTTCACTTCAGGAGGTCAATCTTCCAACATTGATGCGCATTTCGATTCCAACTATGACCCTTCGTTGGATGTCGGTGCCGATCTTCTCGAATCGGACGACGAGGCGGCCGACTGGGACAATGCTCTGGAGGCACTTCGGGACCGCAGAGCGTGGCGCGAAAAACAAGTCGATCGTCTCCGCGAGGCTGGCTTCGATGATGACCAGATTCGACGGTGGGAGAGCAGTACGACTTCCAAATCCCGGTTGGATGACGGTGGTGGTGGTGTTGGAGACCCCCAGAATGTGACGTGGTCGAAAAAGGGCGAGCAGAGAGAATGGGACGTTGGAAAGAAGAGTGCGTTTGACCAGAGTGGTTGTGATGATGATGATGATGATGATGATGCTGTCGATGACACGTCGTCCAAGGCTACGGAGGGCAATGACCGAAACCAAGGGAGGAAGCGCAAAGGTGGGAGAGCAGTCGGTGAAGCGTGGCGTGGAAAGGACAATGGCCTGTTGAAGCAATTTCGTAGTGCGCTGGGTTGATGGTTCTCCGGGGTTCCGATTTGCATGGCAAAACACCCGGGGGATCCTACACACTGTGAATACTTCGCGGTTCTCTCTGGATAGCTTGCAGAGAGAGATTAAACACCTGGTCGAAGGGGCCTTTCCAGATTGGAAAAACAACCACATAATGATCCTTCTTTTTGTTGAAAATAAAAGTCTTATTAGGGGTGTGCATTTTTCTGTCTATGCCTAAATAAACCGAGGAAACATTGTCAAATTTCAGTCGAACTCGAAACACTTGTACGCAGTACTCGTGACCATCTAGGTAGCTAGGCGTCTATCTCGGCGATTTCGTAAGGAGTCCTCCGGTTTCTCACCAAGTAATTGAATCTTCAAGTGTCCAATGTCGCAGCATGACACCCTCTCTCTACCTAGCTTTATGATCGGCCTCCCGTTTCGCCGTCGTTGTGCGTTGTCCCAAGGGGGGGTTTTCTAGTTCCGTGGCTATGCTGGTTGCACTTTTGGTCTGCACCAAATTCACAGTAATCCCTGCTGATTGATGGTTGTACCTCACTCAGCCTCCCCAGGTCACCACCACAGCCACAAGGGGCTAGTAAGACTGCATTACGTGCATGCCCTATTAAAGACCGAGATTTACCAGTGCAATGTGATCCGTCGTTCGGTCTCTCGTTTGTCGTCTCGTATACGGCCTTGGCCTCATCTGCCAGAGTGATTTTGAGGGCCAACGATAAAAAGACAAAAGAAAATGTCGTTTGGCTTCTCAATCACAGACTTCAAGGAGGTCATCAAGTTATCGTGGGATCTGTACGTCAGCCTAAAGGAAGGGCCGGAAGAGATCAAGAACATCGCGCGGGACTTGGCGACAATCTACGGAGTCCTCAACCACATTCACGACGACATCAGCGGGGACGACTCGGCCATCAAGGCCCACGGCGAGGGAAGAGTGAAGATGCTACAGACAATGACGCTGAAACTCAAGGCCACGCTCGACGAGGTGCAGAGGTTGGTCGACAAATTTCGGCCCATGGCAGCAACGTCCAAAATCCCCGAGCAACTCTGGATCAAGGTGAAATGGGTGGCTGGACAAAAGAGGATCAAGCGGATTCACCAAGACATCTCGTTCCATATCTCGAGTTTCAACCTCTTGATGACGTCCATGGGCAAGTAAGTCTTCGGTGTTGCTTGCATTGGCCACAATGTGCCATGTATAGTTATGCTAACCACACCGTCGCTAATAGTTCCTCCCTCCGAAGAATCGAGGCGGGGCTGCAAGAGATGCGCTTTGATTCACACAAAGGCTCCGAGTCACTCAAGTCAGCTCGTACAAATACTTGGACAACGGAAACAACAGCGCGAGATGATGACCAGGATGGCGACGTCGACAACGAGGTGGAAGTCGACGATGAAGACGTTGAAGATGACCAGAGGATGGTACCAGCCCCTTCGCCTCAGTCAAACGGACATCAGAGAAAGCCGCGCTCGCCACCTACCGGAACAGCAAATACACCTGCACAAGATGTCAATAGTGATAACGGAGTACCGTTCAACTGGCCCAAGGGTTTGACTCCAGCCGTGACGTTGCGGTCTCCCGAGTTTGTGGCCCGAATCGAGTCTCTATCGACCGGAGAACAAAGTCAACTTGCAGAAATCATTTTCGCAAATTGCCGCACAGCATGCTTCGATTTCTATCGCAATAACGCTCTCTGGCGCGCCAAATTTGCCACGTCAGACACTTCGCATGATCGCAGGCTTTTCGAGCTTGATAATGGCACCTTTCCGAAGACGCCGAACGATCTTGATTTAGTTCAATGGCTGCTTAAGATCAGATATACCACGTCGTCGATCGCGCCGCCGGATGCGGTCAGTACGATGGCGTTCTGGGATTACAACGGGATGCATTCGACGTTTGCATGGTCGACGAGAATCCCGGCATTGATTGATGTGTTTGATAAAATCGACACCGACGTCTTCGAGGAGTGTTTGTTGTGCAGTATTCATTTATGTCAGCATTTACAGGCCTGGAATGCTGCAGGCCGATTGAAGGCCCTCTGGAAAATGATCCACACATCCTCATTGCCATCAAAGGAGGATTGGTGGAAGATCCTGGCCAAGCTGGAGCCGGGATCGTCCACGGCCCATGCAATGGTCGGTGTCCGTTGAACTAAAAGATGAGTATGTCGAATCTAGCATGGTGTCAAGGTCTTTTTTGGTGTTATCAAGGCATTTATACCCAACTTGCAATGAACGATGAAGCGATCGTAGGTAGCGAGGCGTCCAGTTTATATCTTATGGTGTGGACTTAGGACGTTCTGTTTTCTTCCTTGGCTGCCGCGCATAAAAATGGTAGAGTTCCGGCGTATGAGTCTTTTGGCAAAAGAGAAGGAAAACGCATCCGTCGATCAGGAGATTGCGTGGCAACGAGCAAGGGGCGACAACAACTTAATGGGGCCAGGCAATATAGAGTATAACTCTACTCCGTACTCGGCATCACGGTGGACATTAGAGATATGGCAGCGTTGTGGCGGTTTGTGTCTCCAAATCTTCGTTGACGCTGATAATCGGCATAATGAGTTTTTCTATCTCTCCAATGTGCACGTTCTAACTTTTTGAGGGTGGTCTTTGCAACAACATGTCAGCCCCTTGAAAAGTTTGCTGGATTCCAATGCTTGAAACAAAGTTTCGCAGGCTCTCATGAAATGGGGCACTTTTTGCGAGAGCAGACAGTAGAATTTCCGTAGAAGGTGTTGGATCCGAGCTTACGGAGGAGTTGTCTAGCCATTCTAGGGGAATAACAAATCCGCGATACTAGGAGACATCTAGGTCGGTGCGAGGTGACTTGTTTTGTCGAGTCAGATGAAGAAGTGTGCATGGAAGGAGAGTGCTGTAGGTCAAATGGGTCCGGGTGTCGTTGCATTCGTAATGACCTTGGTCGAGGACGGAAATAACGGCACAAAGGTTGCCCTACTGCTGGGGGTCAAGCCTTTTGTACGGGGTATGAACGGGCGACTAGAGGAGATGAGGGTTTGGTCAAGGAGATGGCTAAGAAGTAAAGGGAAGTTTGAATTATGAACGGCACATCTTGTTACAGGAGGATCAAGGAGTAATCAGACAAGCATGGAAAAGACCACATGAATGATGCTTTGGAACACTTGGGCGTAGTCCCGTACAATCTACTGTAGGTACGTATGTACGAAGTGAAGAGAAGTCGAAGGCACCCAAGGCAGTACCTAGGTACCTAGGTAGCTAAACATCTGCAGGTAACGACTGCCACAAGCAGCACAAAGGTCAATGGCTTGTCAAAGCCCCTATAAGTACGGAGTACCTACCTGTGCACCTAGAAGAACGGGTAATAAACTGCGAAATGCGGGTTACAGGCCCCCGTTGGTGGCAGCATCATCATTATCCACTGAAGTTAGGTAGAGAGTATTCACAGCGCTATCTACAGTTACTGCACCTAATACACCACTTATTAATACACCGCTGGCTGGGTTATGTGCCTTAGGCTCGGCATGCACTGACCCTGATCAAGGCAATGGAATCGAGTGTCACTGTTCGCATCTGATTCGCATATCCCCATGTCGCCACACGCGACACAGAATCCCCTACCTGCATGCAAAGTCGTGGCTTGAGCCGACGAGAAGCACTAGTGTATCGACCATTGTCTCATTGTTCTTGGTATTACCGCCCTCATGGTCGTTCCATTCTCGTTCACTGATGATGCTGTCCAAGGAGTAGGAATAAGAACCCCACATGACGACAATAATGAGAAGCCCCATGGTAGTATATATTGTATGAGGATGCATATCAGCCTCCACCAGTCTGACTGATTCTTCCATGGTGGTGCTCAAATTAAAAAAGCCGCGGTGTGGACTACATATGTACAGGACAGTATTTAGTATGCCGTCGCTTGCCACAGCTAATGCAATTTAGCTGCGCATCAGCCGTTGGCATGGCTTGACCGGTGCATTGTTCATTCGCCTGAGTCTTGAGCCTCTCGTCTCGGCTACTAAGTTTGCTGACAAGCAACAGACGGTGTCTCTCTGAAAGGTGTCCGTCTCTGCCATAAGGTCTTGTTCAGTCCTAGACTGCCACTGCGTCGATAGTTTAGCATGTCATTTCTCTGCTGTCATCCCGCCTATCCGTAACCACGCTCACCCGTTCCGCGTACGAGTACCGCGCACCTCTGCTGCTGATCTAGCTGGGGAATGCAGCTGCATATGTCCTGTCATCTTCCATGTCGGAGACTTTGTGCTGAATCAAGACGTCTTGTCTTCCCTGTCATTTTCCTGCTCGGGTACCATATCCTTCGCCGTGGCGTGTTGAGCCAACGTACTCTTGATCTTGGCTGTGACCAGGCGACCGGATTGGCAGGAAAAACATGACCCGCTTGTCATACACTCCGCGCAGTACCCGTATTATTGTACTTCTACGCCTGGTCCTTGTGTCTTCACAGACCCACTGCCTTGGACAAGCAACCTTTTAAACTCTGTCCGACCCAATTCGGCTAGAGACTTCGGGCCTAAAAGCCCCAGGGTTCAGCGCTTGTGGCCCGGAGTACCCAAGTCAAAGTGGCCCTGGTTGCGGATTTGACCCATGGCGGGTTCCGGGACTCGCGCGGTGCAGGGCAAAGTCACCGAGACGTGTTGGAAATGGTCATTGGAAGCCAACTACTGTACGGAGTACAACATCTCGAATATCTTCAGAAGCCTTGGTGGAGATGTCCCTCTACCTCTAGTGTAGTCACCAAAAACGAGTATTGTCCTTCTCCTTTGTTACGAGTATACTCCGTAGGTACGGAGTACAGGGAATATGGAGTTCGTCACCGCGCTGTTTCCGGCCTCGGTTGTTTACATCCTTTCGGACGAATTTTTTCAACTCGAGCCACCGTACTCCGTACCAAAGTTTGCCGCTCCCTGCAAACCAAGTCTGGCGTACGTCTATACATTGGTCCCAAAAGCCAAAGTACAGGCACTTACACTGTCAATTGGCTGTTGACCCATTTGACCTTAGGCTTCTGTGTCCGTATCATCCGGCCTCCCTCCCACACGAGGGACACGTCTTTGCCCCTTGGTCTACTGGCCTGATTTCAACCTGATGGCACAAACTTTTGTGCTGCCATACTGACGTCGTCCTGTGCCCCAATGGAGAACCATATCCGCCTTCTATTTTACCCGGCGGGTCATGCAACACTCGCATTAGTCGGCTTCTCTGTCGTTTGATTACCTGAAGGAGCCCGCTGCTTCACAAGGCCCTGGGACGAGCACGACCAGGTGCCACCCAGCAGCCAAGGTTCAGATCAAACCTCCAGCACACAAACTCTACCCATTCTTAGTCCTTTTTCCCTTACGAGTCCTATGACGGTCCTCAAGGTCAAGTGATGGCCGCCAAGGCAACCACCGTGCTGTCTTTGGCTTCGAGTGACATTGCGCAAACGGTGGGGCAGAGTATGTTGTGCTTTGTCTTTCTTGTGCCATCACATCTCCTAACATGTCTATTCCTGTGTGTACCACCTTGCAAAATGGATCACCCTTCCGTGTTCCCTCAGCCGCCTTGCGAAAGCTTGTTGGCCATGGATGGATCAGATAACAGTGTAGAAAATCCCCAGCCGTAAATCTTTTTTTCGCTTCGCCATAACAACTGGTTCTGCCTTTAGCAGCCGCTATCACCGCCATCACTGCTGAATGCTCGCCTGACCTAAGCGTCATCTCATCTTCTGGAACACATCCTACGCGCGTCATGTCTCGTACCATCAAGATCACGACCCGGCAAGCCATTCAAATCGCCCAGAACAGCGAGAATGGCTCTATCGACCCCATAATTCTCCACCTCTTGGAGCTCGCCCTGTGTCGCATATGGCAGAATATTCAGAGCGAGCCTGATAGCTACGTTATGACCCAGGTGGAATTCGCCGTATTCAACTATCACAGAGCATTACCGGAGCTACAAAATGAGACGGCACGCGAAGCTATCTCGAGATATTGGGACAGCCACCACCTCATCCTCGATGTTTGAGCCGCTATCGCGACAGTTAGACAGAGACCGCCGAGACACTGATGGACCTTATTCCTGAGGCTACTTTGTGCAACGGCACGACATTGATCGAGCCTCCTCAGATCTTCGATCTCCAAAAATCCTGAGAGCTATGCCCGAGATCTCAGGTGCAGCACCTCTCAACTCCTACGGTAGTCATCTCGCTAGGCCTAGGGCTTCTCCAATGGACAAACAGTCGCTCGATGCGATAGTCCAGATCGTAGACTGGGGACGCGGGCGTGTTGGGCGCTGGCCATGCGAGTTTGGGCGTTACGCCATCAATTGATGGTGAATCAAGTTCGAAAATGACCAAGGGGCTTGGTTCTATTGGGTCGGACTCACTTGGACGGTTCCCCCTCCCACTCGAACGGATGTGCGGAACATGTACACTCTCAGGTGCTGTGGGCACTGAATTAGTCGCCCAGGCTCCATGTTCTAATGGTGGTTCTATACTTGCAATCACGCAGGCTGCGAGCTCGTATATTGGGCCTAGTGCATTGCTCTGGTCCTGGGGTCATTTTTCTCTCGCTCCATGTCCGCCATCATCCTTTTAGTAGCCTCAGGGCAATGACACATGCACTGTCAAAAGGCCTTGGGTTCAATCATGTATACAAATCATTGTTATATTTAGTCAATATACTATCCGAGGGAGATAAACTGCTCCCGCTTGTCAATGCCTTACGGTCCAAGCTATTCCAAGACGCGCCCCCAGCCAGAGCCAGCATCCTAGCTCGAGAGAACCTCTTGCTTCAACCAATTTATCTGTCCCTACGCTGCCCGAACACTGTCAACTTCTATCGATGAAGATGACGGAAGTGCACTTCAGCTTGCTTGATGAACTTGGCCCTTCACCCCCTTGTATACACCCTCTGCGATGGCGCATTCCAGCTTGTTGAGAATGCAGGCACGTGCAATCATAACATTAACTCTACTTCGAAATGCCTGAAGTTTCTCATCTTCTTCTTCAACCGCGTTTGAAGTCATTAAAAAGATGTATATCCTCCTCGTCACAGTTGCTTTGTGCTTGCTGCTTGGATTCCAGCCGGCGGTGGCCACGTCGAACTTCAGGGTGCGCGGCCTACAAGCCGCTGGACTTCGGGACGCGGCGTTTCGCAACTCTGTCCGACGAGAAAACTTTGGTAAACACATTGAGCGGGTATGGCGCGTCAGTAGTGACATGTACTGTGCCCTTGCTGACTTTTGCAGCTCAATTCCAGACAGACTGCACCTCTTCCTATAGCCCCGACAGCTCAGTGCGACCAGTACGATGGTTATTTCTACGTCAGTTCCAGCAACTACACATGGCAACTCCAATGCACTACCAATTACATTGGAAGTGTGATTTCGACAGAGAATGCTAACAGCTTGGCTGCTTGTATCGAGAATTGCGCCGCCTTCAACGTTGCGAACGAGCCGGGTTCATGCCTAGGAATCAACTTCAACGCGGCCAATGATGCAGCCGTAGGACAGTGTACACAGTACTCAGATGTGCAGGATTTGCTGTTGGCGAGCGAGGAAGGGAGTAAGAAAATCCAAAAGCGAAATATACAAACGAGCTTCTCGAGGAGAGCCTTCACCCTAAAAATCCCACACACCTTTGGTAATAGAGCACCGTGGAAGAGAAACGGGCTGATTTGCGGAAAAACAAACAGATGTACAGGATTCTGCACTATTGATTCTAGGCCCAGATGGACATATCTATGCCACACCGCAGCCGGCACCGACTTTTTCTGGTGCACCGAGTCAACCTCCAACCGCCGATCCAATCCCAACATCGACCACAAGTGGCCCAGATGCCTCCTCCTCAACCAGCACAACCATGAGTACGACTGCATCAACCACTAGTCCAGAACTAGGTTTGGGCACGACCACGATCACAACAACTATTACCAGCACCAACTTTTTCACATCTTGCCCCCCTGGCGCTACTGCATGTCTCTCCACTTCGTCAACATTGGTCTCGACATCGTCGGGTAGTGCGGAATCAAGCATCAGAAGCAGCTACACGACCATGTCTATGACTATTGGTGTCTCGACCACGTCTCCTGTCCAAGTGACAACTACTGGTTCTTCTACCTCTACAATTTCCACCACCACACCGGGAGGAGTTGTGGTTGACGCCGTCACTACGTTTACCATGGTGGTACCAGTGACGGTCTACAAAGTCCAGCCAGTCGATATCTGTACGGGAACCACCCCGTCCTGCTCTTTGACATCAGTTACGTCCACTAGCGTTGGTTATAGAACTGAACTTTCGTGCACCCCGAGCGCATGTGCGGGTATCAGTGCTGGGGCGGTGGCGGACGCTGCATTCGTGGGGACATGTCTTCTTTCTTGACACAAGTATTTTCTTTTAGATGTTCGGATGATTGGCCTGTGTCAAAGCGTGCAATTTTTGCTCCGGATCTGCCATGAGTCTAGAACTGGGCAAATTCCTCTTGTGGATGGAGGTCCGGAATGAATATCCGAAGCGATATCCCAGCTTTTGATCGGCTTTTTGAACCACAAATCAACTATATGAATTTCCTTCCATATACAACTGGATGCCCCTAGATCGAAGCGAGTGCCCCTGCGGTTACGAGCAGGTAGAATGTCTCGTCCCCATTGCAGTACCTGTAGAGTTTGGAGATCTGCGCTAGGAAATCTCGGTTCTTTTTGTTCCTCGGAGATTCTGATTATCCGGTCTGTCCGAAGTGACACCGAGCACGATCCATTGTTTTTGCACTGCTCAAAACACCACAATTTGAACGTATTTTCTCTTTATCGATTCAAACAAATTGCACGGTCTTTCACAGTCTGGCATTTCACCGGAGTGGTTTCCGCCTCAGATGCTGTGCATCCCCGTCCTTGTTGAGACACGACTATGTCATGATAAACTAGACTGCGTACGGTGAGACGTGGTTGCATAAACGGCAGGAGGTTCACTACCTCTCAAAGCTTCCACTACCTATCTTCGAGGAGAAAATGCTCACTCCCAATGGCTGTGGTATCTCAACTTATTCCATGCAGCCTGCTAACATACTGCACAGAGATGCACCCCCAAAATAGCACCTCCTCTGGCGCAAGCGGACTCGTCCTTGTCTTCATTCCTTTGTCTACCTCTTGCGAGGCTGTGACAGATGAATCCACACACAGAGAACATCTTCCATTGTCTACCACCTGCAAACAAAATCAACCTCGTATTTGCCTGTCTCTGTTCCAGTTTCTGTTCTATAACGTGCCCCTTCGATTGTGACGACAAATACAAACGCACAAAATTGCGAGAATACCATACTGACACCAAGGCTCCCGATGACGAGATTTGTTTTCCTACATGCCATTCTGGGCATGCTTTCTATCTTCCTATTCCATGTCAATGCGCAATGCGATCCATTAAATGGTCGGTATCAACGGTCCAAAGAAGATATCGGTGATGCTAACTTATTTCCTAGGCACATGCCCAGCAATTCCAGGCCTCCCCACAAGTACATATTCCATCGACTTCACCAAGCAAACCGGATTGCCCTCAGATTGGATCCAAGCCGAGGGAGCTCCAGTGGCCTTTGGCAGCGGTGGTGCTAATTTCACGATCGGAAAACGGTTCGACGCGCCTTACATCTGGACCCGATTTTACGTCCTGTTCGGTCGCATCGAGACCGTGGTGAAGGTCGCACCGGGAACCGGTATCGTCACGAGCGCAGTCATGATGTCGGACGATCTCGACGAGATAGACTGGGAATGGTCGGGAAACAACTTCGCGCAGTCAAGCGGCCGTGTTCAAACCAATTGGTTCGGCAAAGGCATTCCAGGCAGCTACGACAGAGGTTCACAGCCACAAGTCGCCGACCCTCAAGGACAATATCATACGTACGTCTTTGACTGGACCCCAGATAATCTGACATGGTCGGTGGACGGTACAAATGTCTACACCACCCAAAACTCCCACCAGACCAGTGGATCATATCAATACCCACAAACACCGGCCCGTTTGCATTTGGGCGTCTGGGCTGCTGGCGACCAAGACAACAACCCGGCCACAGTGTGGTGGGCAGGAGGCTACACCAATTTCACGTTTGCCCCTTTCAGTGCTTATGTTCAGTCTGTCAAGATCACCACTTCCAACCCTTGCCCTAGCTGGCAGTATCCGAACCCGTTCAATGGCACTTCCCAAGCTGTGTTGTGCACAAATCAGACCATGACATTGCCGTGTACCTATACAGTCAAATCTGGAGACAATGGTCAGACGATAGCGACCAATCTGGAGGTGACGTTGGACGCTTTGAAAGGTGCAAATCCTGGTCTCAATTGGGACTTGTTGGTGGCCGGACAGACACTGAACGTCCCCGGTGCCAACTGCGCAAGCTCGACAACCCCGTCATCGACAACAACAACTCAATCCACGTCTTCACTGGCCTCCAATTCTCAGATCGTTTCAAGTATCTCATCAACGACAAGCTTCATAGATACCTCTTCGACATCCTCCAGTATGGCTGCAGCCTCTTCGATCACTTCATCGACAACCTTCACGGCTGCTGCATCATCAAACTCTCCTTCAGGTGCATCTGACTCGTCGCTCACTTCGTCGGCAAGCCAGACGTCTGTTGCAGCATCAAGCTCTCCTTCGAGTGCGCCTGCCAACATCGACACATCTTCTGCTATCCGGACAGAGGCCTCCCTCTCGGGTCTCAGCATGACTTCAAGTCTGTCCAGCGCCATGGCCCCCGAGCCCACCGAGGGTGCAGGCACACCTTCAACTGCCAGTATGACAACTCCAGCACAATTGCCTTCATCGTCTGCATATACTGTGGTTGCGGGTGACTATGGTTGGGCCATTGCCAGTAAGCTTGGCTGCAGTTTTGATGCTCTCCTTTCCGCCAATGCGAATGTTGATTGGGACGACCTACAAATTGGACAAACGCTGAATGCCCCCTGCTCAACAGGCGGGATGCCATCCACTGGAAGCCCCTCGATCCAAGGCACTGGCGCCCCTGCAGGTGTTTCAGGTATTTCCTCGTCTGCATCTGCCTCCGCATCTGCCTCTGCATCGGCTTCGTCTACCAATCCTGCAAGTCAGCCGAATTTGACAAGCTCATCTGCAAGCGCCACAGATGGTGCGGTGTCTTCTTCGGTGGCACCATCCCAATTGGGGGGCAACGATTCGGCCGGCCCGACTAACTCTTCTGCATCATCTGGTACATTGTCAGCACCTTCTCCCATTGGCACAACCACTGGCTGGTCTACCACCCAGCCTGCTTCTACATCCGCGGCAATGTCGTCTGATTCTGAATCAGCTATCATTACGACTAACATTGCATCGTCGAGCTCGGCCAGCGCGACTACTCCAGGCCAAATGACTACCACGGCGGCAGCAAACCCTTCCAATCAACAAATAACTTCTTCAAATACACCTAGTCAGAATGTGGTCAACCCCACTACCGCAGCGTCAACCACCAAGATGGTCTGTAATCAAGACAATTGCCTCCGTAATATGATCGACAAACGATATTCGTCATCAATGGTTGCATTCTGCCCTGGCTACACCAGCATCACCTCCAACCCTGTCCCCTTTCCGACATTTCTGACCGGCTGTTCAACAAACGTCAACAGAGTCAGTAGCGCTTGCAGCTGCCTGATGACCAGTTATGCATCGGCTCATTCATCTTCGACTACTCCGGCAATGACCGTCAGCGCACAGAGGGCAGGAACGCCATCTTGGAGATTGAAGCGATCACCTTTGCGATGGGAGCGACTTGTTGCGTGATCTCCCTTGGGAAGAGACGGGCCCCTAATTGACTATCGAGGACCGAGCATTGGAGGATGAAGAACACGACTAGTATGGAAACTTGGATAGTAGCCATATGATTCTGTAGACTCACTCTTCGTATCATAATCCGGCATCACGGGCATAAATTTGGTAGCCTTCACACGAATGTTTCTAGCACAGAAGTTAGGTAGACATTGTATACCAACGAACGCCGTTGCTATCCAATACAGATTTCCGTCTCAGTACGTTTACAAGGCCGATGAGCCTGACCAATCACAGTAGAAGAATTTTCTAAGGAGACGCGATGGTCTTACATAAGCCAGTCGACTGGCCTTGGCAATGCTCGGCCTTGGCATCGCCCACAATTGGGCTTTGCCGCAGTCGAAAGTTTCGAGATTGAACCTCAGCACCAGTGTTCTCTCAAGTCAACAAAACCATTCCTTTGTACGAGTAACTCCCGCCGACTACCATTTACGAAATCGCAACTGACGCTCCCCCTGGTACAGTTATCGTTCTCGACAATCTAATCTGTCAAGATGACCAAGGGAACGAGTTCTTTCGGAAAGAGTGAGCCGCCGCCAAACAGATGACATATGAATGAAATGGGCAGAGAAATTTTTTCTGACGGGTTATCTGTGAACAGGACACAACAAGACGCATACTCTGTGCCGGAGGTTCGTTTTTGGCCTTCTCTTGGACCAGTGTAATTTCAAACGCTGATTGAGAGGAAATATAGATGCGGTCGCCGAAGTCTACACATCCAGAAGCACACCTGCGCCAACTGCGGAGTACGAATTTACCCTTGCCGTTTTCCCCTTCCTCGACGATTAAAAAGAAGGAAGAAATATCAAAAAAAGAGAATCATCTTGAACTAACGATTTGTGTCTGCATAGTACCCCGCCGCGAAGACGCGAAAGTACGAATGGAGCGAGAAGGCTAAGAGACGCAAGACTACCGGCACTGGTCGCATGAGGCATCTGTCAACTGTTGCAAGGTAAGAGATGATTCTGCCATATACCTTGTTTTGTTTCGGCATGAATATTTCGCAACGAAGAACATGAGATCGACGGTCAAACGACTTTTTGGAAAATTATCTTTTTTGGCTTGACCGACGCGTGAAAATTGCTGGAGTGCTTTGAAGGACCGAGATATATGCAGACAAGAAAAAACCGATGGGCTGACACATCTGTTGTTTGTACAGGAAATTCAAGAACGGTTTCCAGAATGGCACACCCAAGGGTGCTCGGGGTCCCGCCAAATCATCCTAGAAAACGAAAACGGTTCATGTCGAGAGGAGGTTGCGCTGACGATCAGTGAAACCGACTTTTTTCTTCAAACAAAGGGGAGGAGTCGCTCGGGTTTACTGCGTATCCGCTGTCGACTGTTGACGAGTGGATGGTGTGTGTGTGAAAAGGAGCTGCTTGGCATTTGCTGCGGCTCAGAATCGTCGAATGGTTGCGCAACAACAAGGCACACCGTACCGAGCGTTTTGAGGCTGCTGGGAAGCATGGAAACAAAAAAAGAAAGAACACACTGTCAAGGCGTTTAGAAGATCTCCGGCTGCGGCGAGCCTTGCACAATCGAACGATTGCAGAGCGTTAAACAGCGTCACCTGCAAGAAATCCATAAACAAGGATGCCCTGACTGTTCCTCTGGTCGTTTCGTCTTTTTGTCTTAAGTGCTAGTCTATTTATCTAGTCACTTTTCGTAGATTCCTCGAGACCCGCTCAACCAGATCGTATAGTACCCGTTAACCAAACCTCGTCTGACATATTCGGTGAGAAATTCTGAATTTTCCTCTTTCAAATTGTATTGATGGATTTTGCTGTACTTTATTTCTCGACCGACGTCTGGCTCTTGTGTGGCGATCATCTACCTCGAATGTCTCAGTCTTGGTCCTTGGGAAAGTTATAAAAATTTCCTCCAACCAAAAAGTCCCAACGACTCATGTTCAAACAATGCCACCCAATATTCCAGCGTCGCTGGCCATATACATCCAAGCGTGTTTGGAGTACCGTGCTTCGACATTGATCACATCGATACTGAACACGCCGTCGACATGGCTGGTTTTACGTATGGTGTACGCTGCGCTTTACGGCGCTGCGGAGGATTCAGCAGCGTTAGGTCAGTACACAGCACCCGGCGGCAACACCACCACCACCACCACCACCACCAACAACAACAATGAAACCAGACCAGTGATCTTTGTGAGTCTACTTAGGTCGTTGAGCCTATGGGTTGAAATGGGTAGAAAGGTGGTATGTCATTTTTCCCCCCAAGCAAGTGTAACTTTGTTTTGTTCTGTCCATTCTTGTTGAATAGCTTGTTCCTCCTGAGCCACTTCCAAATGCCTTTTTTGGAGGGGGAACAGTCGTCAACATATAGACTTACAACTCGAGACCACTTTGTTCCAAGGACTCCTTTGAATGGTCGATGATATCATTACTGACCCTATAGTTTAGGGTCTTGATATACCGTTGCTACTCAAACGCAAGAGCATCATCTACATTGACGGTATGAGTCTCGATGGTGGTGTGGCACCTTCGAGTTCCGGAACTTCAGAAGTCTCGACTCTACCTACACTCAAGCTCAAATCACTCTCGTTACGTGACATTCAAGAAGCTGTCACGACCGGTTTGAGGACCCTATCTTCCACATCCACACCGACAAACACGTCTGCTGCTACTACCTTGCCACGGTCGACAACTTCTGGTGCTCTTACGCCTCGGATACCTCTTCCGCCATCCTCCTCGTCGACCTCGAGAACGTCCGCACCGACAGCTACATCCACGACGCCACTGCCGACAACGATGAGCACGAGTGGTCCTCTCATATTCATAGACGGAGTCGACTTCATCCTCGCTTCGCAACCTTCAGTCACCCCTTCGACGCTCGACTCGTTTTTAGGGGCTTTGCGGACTCAGGGTGCACACGCTTTGGTGGTCACTGGCCAAGCTGATGCGCCGTTGTTGCATTCGGCTGTATCTGGAGATGGAGACGTTGCTGTCGGGGGGGCAACACCTCTGGAGCGGGCGCATGCACATTTTATGACGACTCAGGCCCACCAGAGTAGGTGGGTTTGGCAACTTCGCGGCTTGGACACGGGAAGTGCAAAGGACGTCACTGGCGTCATGAGAGTGAGTCGGGGAGGGAGTATGGACTTTGACGAAGAGGATGCGGCGGGAAGTCTCACAGATATAGAAAGATTGTATCAGCTCAAAGGTGATGGATCTGTCAGGACATGGAGTCGTGGCGAATAGACTCTCTGTACGATTACAATAACGTCGAAACGATCCCTACGATACCATGAAGTACTTTTGTTCAACAGTTCGCTACGCTGCAGGTGCTCTTGTTGTTGTTGGTGGTGGTGGTGGTGGTGGTGCTGCTTCTCCCTCGTCGATCACTATGGTTGAAAGGTTCTAGCGACTTATCTTGGTTGTTGATTTCACCGACTACGAGTTTGCGATAGGTGTTTGACAGAGAGTCTCAAAGTGCAAAGTTGCGAAATGGACTAGCCCATGCATTTATATCCATCGGAAGTAATTCCGCGGGACTCGTAGGATACGGTATGTCACGTAGATTTCTCATACCGTGCTTACAGAGACGTTGTTCCTCCAACGTCGAGGGATAATGTAATCCATTCCAAACATTGTCTTTGTTATATGATGGTCCAAAGCCTTTATGTAATGATATAAGTACGATCAGATCCGTCAGATCGTCATTTTCCACGAGTGTCGCTTCTCTAAAGTGCAGGCATCAAAAGCGCCTTTTTGTCTTTCATACACAATGTCAGACTCATTCCTCTACGAATACCCTTCACCGTTGGAAGGTTATGAAGGTCTACCACCACTCCCCGACGCGTTGAACGAGGAGGATGGTAAATCTTTCAAGAACTCCCAAACCGGAGTCTTGAGTCCCAGTTACGAGAAATTCACTTCGGGGGTCACCAACGGCCGGCGTGGAGGTTTCGACGTCCACATTTACTACCATTACGGAAGCGAGTTTGAGAAAGGATTCGCCAGAGCTTTGTGGGAAAGAATCCGAAGGGAATTTCCAGAATTGAGGTGTGTGTGCACATGGAGGTTTTATGTCGTGTTTAGAATGGACACTTTGATGTTACGAGATTTTTGCTCTTCTTTTTTTTTTTGGCTAACATCTCTTTAATTTTGCTAGAATATATAAACTCTGGGATCGTCCTGTAGGACCTCACACCATGGCAATGTTTGAGGTCAACATCTTTACACCGGCACAGTTTGGGGCCTTTATACCTTGGTTGGTGATCAATAGAGGACCTCTTTCGGCGTTGGTACATCCAAACACGGACGACGGAGATCACCTGAGAGCTCACAGTCAGCGTGCGACCTGGCTAGGTGAAAGAATACCACTCGATCTGAGATCCTTGAAGGAGTTCGAGGAGAAGAATCGAGACCAAAAAGCCACAAAGTAACAAAAGATAATTGAAAAAAAAGAAAGGGCTGATGTTGATTGATGTTTTCCCAAAAAAGCAGGCAGGCACTTACCACCCCCTCCATTTACAAACATCTTTGCACCTGTTTCACTGCCTTCTTATACCTATTCTTCCTTCCAACATTGCACCGCCTCCTTGGTTGAATCTGTCACAAAAGACTTTCTTTTCCTTCTGACCCAGTTCTCTTGTTGCCTGAGTCTGCTTTGCCGCGCGCCAATTTGCACCACCCGAGGGACTATTCAGTCGAACAACTCGAACCTGTAGTCTTTTTCCCACCTTGAATCCAATCGAACAATGTCGGGCTGGAAAGTCATCTCTGGCTATCTGTCACCGCACCGACCTGTTGACGAAGTCAGATACGAGACACCCGAACCGACCTTCTCGCCCAGTCCGCCTTCTGCTTATCTATCCCAAGATCTCATTTGCGAAGACGAAGAAATCATGCCCCCGCAAAGCCATCAGCCCCTCCGAACCCAAGAGGTACCAGATTCTGATTACGAGTCTATGAGCGATGTGAGCCGGGATCTTGTTCGTGAAACCAAGTACCAAAATGATTCGGATGTGGACACCAAAACCACACGACGCTCTTCACGTGTCATGACGGGCGCTCCGAGCTCAATAAGCGCCACGTCAGGCTCGCAACATACAAGAGTTCCACCTCACACTGACGAGGTAACTCACAAGCCTCCAAGCCCTTTCCGCACCCCTCTCAGTCGAGGAAGAAGATCAAGTGCACGCCGGAACGAGCGCACGCAGTCCCTTTCTCAACGAAGTAGGACTGTCTCGACTGGGAGCGATACACGTAAAGAAGCAACGTATGATACACCACTTCTGCAGGCTGAAGTTTACCCATCGCGATCATTGCGAAAGCGAACTGTACAGCAAACAAACCCATACAAGTTTGACAAATATCAACATACCATTTCACGCAAGAGTGGTCACTCTGCAGACTCCGAGGACGTAGAAGAAGCCGTCTATGAAGAGATCGAAATGACTCAGACGCGACTCTCGTCAAAAAACAAGTCTAAAGCGTCGACTGCAGCGAACAAGCGCAAGCTCAATGCTACGCCGTCGAAGAAGAATGGCAAAAGACGTCGCTTCTCTTCAAATGCATCCGTCACGGCTGAGGACAATCAAGTCAACTCATTCGATCCTGCAAGAGTAACTTTAAAGGTGTGGCTCGACGGGTTTCCTGCCGCTGGTGCTCCGACCACCCTATTTGCCTGTGGGGATGTTGAAGGCTTGTTTGACTTCATTGTAAAGTCATGGGGATGGAGTTTTGAAGGTGCACGGATCCGTTACGCAATCATCTCATTTCCATGGCTGAGTGAAGAGTCCAACATTTTGCTGCGTCCTGGACTGCGAGAGAGCTTCACGAAAATGGTGAGCGAAGTCGAAAAAGCCGAATGCTGGAAGTCAGGCGGGGATGAGGCATCGTGCGAGATCAAGATTACCGTGTACTTGCAGTCAAAGGATTGAATTATCCAGAACCTCGGAATTGTACCGAAGACGATGATGCTGTGTGTTACACGCTGATGGATGACGCGCGGTGCAGCGTACTAAAATGGAGTAGAGCGATGAGTGAGGGCGAAGAAGAGCTGGACAAGATGATATTGACTGCAACCTACCGTGCGGATGCGGATAGAGAATGGGACAAGATGATGACTACTCCATAAAAGAGATGCGAAGGTACTGCAGGAAGCCGATGAGTGGTAGAAAAGGCGCAGGCAAGATTTGACAAGTGCCGATTTTACACGCAGGGGCAACCATCAGCTTGGAACTAATTGTCGTGCTAGTGTGACAAGTGATATGAAACGAAGCTTGTTGACCAGTAAAGCCAGGTCTTTGCAGGGCCACTATTTCCCCTGAATATTTCTCGTGGTAGGAGAAGTCATCGAAGGGGCATGTGGTAGAGAAGGGGAGTAGGAAGTTCTTGATGATTTTATTTCTATGAGCATCAGCCTGAGATTATTATATTCCAGTGTCTTTCGCTTGCTTCGCCTGGTTCACTCGTGGCAATCAATCCCTTGTTTTACCCTGAGGTCCCCTACTCCGTTTAGTTATGGGACTGCGTGGTTGACACCTGGCGATCCGCCCCGTGCCACTGCTGGAAGCCTGTGCGAAGCCCGTCAGAAGCGGGAATCGGGCCCTTTTTTCACCCAGTCAGGCGCAATCTCTCTGCAGACCCTTTAACCACCTACGGAGTCCTGCCTACTTACAACCCAATCCTTATTACCCCATATTCCCTGATTCAAAGCAGACACCCACGGGAAATCTCAGGTGTCAGGAGCACTTCTTGACGCCCCTGTCAAGGCAGACCACGGGTACTTCAGACTTCGCTGTCGGATAACAAGTCCCTTACGTCCTTGATAGCGACAAAATACACCGTCCATCAACCCTCTACAACACCTCGAACCACCCTGATTGCTCGTGGCGCATCTCACTGAGTCCTCGGCTCGGACCTTCTCCTGCGCTGGCCGCCCCTGCTGCTGCACGACAACCTTTGTACGCGTCAACCAACGCCCGCTGTCTCTGCACTCCGTGCCGGCGAATGACTCTCGAATTAAGCAATTGCGACTGCACTCACCTCCGCCAAACCTCGCCTGCGCATTAATCAACCCCGGCACGCACCTGCCCCGGGACCCTCTCTGTCTGACTACTCCGACATCATGACTTCTCCTCCTCAAATTTCCCGCAATGAGTCCCAGACTTCTCGCAGAAGTACGAGTCTGGGCTCCCGTTTGTTTCGATCCAAGAGTGGGGAAGCGCTGGGTGACCGAAAGTCCTCTGCAGGTCGTTTGAAGAAGAAGCAAGGCGAGATGGATGAGTCTGCAAGAATCACCGCAAAATCTCCTCCACGGCTTCCTGGCTATACTCCCCAGCCGCTGGGCATCCAGTCTTTTGGTGGTGAGAATTACCAACCTCAGGCACACTCTGGAGACCACATGAACGGCGCAAGGGGAACACCTCCCGTGCCTCCGTTGCCCGATCACCTCGAAAGGGAATCCATCGATCCATATGCTCGTACGGAAAGCATGACACACCGTAAGTCCACTGGAGTATTCTGACCTGATGTTAGAACTGACCCGATTGCTGTACAGGCGGCCGATACTCCTACGCTACCTCCACCGTATCAACGGTCAATTCTCCTCGTAGAGTTCGACGTCGCAAAGATCCCACCCCCTACAATATCCTGATCATCGGTGCTCGAAACTCGGGCAAGACGTCATTTCTCAATTTCTTGAAGAGCTCTCTCGCCCTTCCACCCAGGAAACAGCCGGCCCGTGCTCCCGATGGCGATACGCCACCTTCCTCGGCCCGTCCCAACCCCAACTTTGTTCATCACTACCAGGAAATTGAAGTTGACAGCGAACGGATAGGGTTGACTCTCTGGGACTCTCAAGGATTGGACAAAGGCGTCGTTGATCTCCAAATGAGAGATATGGCCAATTTCGTGGAAAGCAAGTTTGACGATACCTTCATCGAGGAAATGAAGGTGGTTCGTGCACCTGGCGTCCGAGATACTCACATTCATTGCGTTTTCTTCATCCTTGACCCAGCTAGACTCGATGCAAACATCAATGCCAGCCAAGGAGGAAGCACCGGCCACGAAGCTGGTCGACTCGGGAAAGCTCCTCGCATTGTTGGAGCACTGGACGAGGATTTCGACATTCAGGTCATGAAGGCTCTGTCAGGCAAGACTACGGTTATCCCTGTGATTAGCAAGGCAGATACCATCACCACGGCTCATATGGCATTCCTGAAACAAAAAGTCAGCAGGAGTCTCAAGAAGGCCGGACTTGACCCACTTGAAGCGTTGAGCTTTGAGGCTGAAGACTCGGATGAGGACAGGCTAGACGAGCGCGATGAAGATGAGAACAGCAGTGAAGCTGAGAGCGGAGAGGGATCTGCTAGAAGTGATGATGACTCGGAAACGATCCCTACCGCGTCCAAAGCGAAGCGCCCTACGGTTCACAAGCGTCAATCATCCAACATGTCGATTGGCGATCCGACTCTCGACAGCGGATACGTCCCGTGGTCAATCATCAGCCCGGACAAGTATTCGTTGGAGGCAAAAGATGGCCCAGTCGGTCGCCAATTTCCATGGGGATTTGCCGACCCATACAATCTGGAGCATTGTGATTTTGTCAAGTTGAAGGATGCTGTCTTTGCAGAATGGAGGTCCGAGCTTCGCGAGGCCAGCCGTGAAGTGGTAAGTCGAATTATTGAAAATGTAGAGTTGACTTGAACTAATATGGTGGCAGTTCTATGAGCGATGGCGCACTAATCGTCTAAATCGTCGAACATTACCAGCAACGAATGGACTCCCCTCTGGACCCCGACAAAGTGGCGGCATCCCAATTACTCTTCAACCTCGAATGCGTTAACAGTCATGATTTGTATCTGCTTAGTTCGACAAATTCAAAGTATCTTTGAATCTCCCGGACCGGAAAGAATGTTGTGGCGCCTCCATAGCCCCTTGGAATGCTATATCTTCCTCTTATCCCCCTAGCGTTATAGGGCTGTTCACACCAACCACGGATAGTCACGAGTCATGACAAAAATATCCTGTTTTTTTCCTCTTGAAAGGACAATATTTGATTCATCTTCTTCGGCTGTCGATTGGTGAAGGGCGGAACCGAGTCTTGATGCCTCCTCTGCACGGGGGACGGTATCATTCGTTTAGCGAGTCATTTTCTTTAGCACATTCACAAATACCCCCTTGGTTTTGTCCCAGACTGTACGCTTTTGGCCTTTTTTTATATTCTACATAGACAGAACCATCAATCACATATCGGAACTGTATCGCTTCTGGAAACAAAAGCCGATGACTGTTTTATGTTTACTCGAACTCTGTATGAGCATCGGCCAACTCCATCGACGGGAGATCGCCGTGGTGGTTGGCATGGGCGGGATCCTTTCTCCCGATAAGAACATCTCTGCCCCTGTATCTTGAGTTCGAGGTAGGGTACCGGAGTATTTCACATGTCTCTTTTCTTCTTCCCTCTTCGCCACCTTTTACCTTTGTCTATTTTGTCTATCTTGGGAAAAGTCACCTGCATGAAATCATACCTTGACGAGGTACGAGTAGCCTCGAGCATGTCGACGCTGGCGGCCCCGCTCCTCCCCCCCGGGCAAGATCTGGGCTGGTGTGGGTGTGGAAACGCTTATCTTCGGTCTTTCAGTGGCTCCATGGCAATCTACCGTACAGGGTATGAAGTTACATTCCAGAGAAGTCTGCTCGTCGGTTGTCGTCCAATGGTTTGCTAGAGTTGTGTGGATGGGGGTGATGACCATACCCAGAGGTACCCTTATCGCTCGTTCTTTGTCTCGATAAGCATCACCCAGTGAGGGAGATCGACAGATCAGTTACCCATGTATGGTGAGAAAAGTACTCGACAGGTGGCTGGTACGCGGGCATCATGCAGAAAAAGAGAGAGAGAGGTGAGAGATTGTGCTTCTCTGATTCTTGGTTCTCGACACTCGACACTTGATTCTTGATTCTTTCATGTTTCGATATCATCAAGGTTCAAGACGAGTTTAATCCAGGAAATGTCGGCTGAAACCAACACGACCATGACCGGAGACACCAAACTTCCCGTGGTCGACGACGACGGTTTACTCGTCACCGCCGCCGCCGCCGCCACCGTCGAAACTGGGTCGGGTCATGGAGAAAGACGAGACGTCTGCAGTGCATCCCAGGCCATCGACCCAGAGGCGGAAAAGCGACTCGTATGGAAATTTGATCTCAGGATTCTACCAGTTTTGGCAATCATGTATTTGTTCAATGCATTGGTGAGCTCCTCTTTTCTTTTCCTTTTCTTTCGTTTCTGGTTTGGGCTTGCCTGCGTTCTCAAATCCATGCCTTGGGGGGGGCATTGTCGAATGTCCCTCGAGACAAAATAAAAACTGACTCCCACCGTGGCATCATCAGGACAAAGGAAATATAGGAAACGCAAAGACGGCGGGACTGGAAGACTCTCTGGACCTAAAAGGGGACCAGTACAATCTGATCCTCTCGATATTCTTCATTCCCTACGTCCTCACGGCACCATTTTTGGGAATCGCCGGGAAAAAATACGGTCCGAGTCGCGTCTTGCCCCTCATGATGTTCTGTTTTGGTTTTTCCACCCTCATGGTGGTCGCGGTCCAAAATTTCGGAGGCTTGATGGCCTGTCGATGGTTTTTGGGAATGGTTTGTCCCTTCACCTTCCCCCCCCCCCCTTTTGAGCTTGTGAGCGACGAGAGTTTAAAAGGAGACTTTCCTCTCGGCCGAACGTTTTTCTTTCTCTTGATACTGATTCTTGGGTCGTCGACGTTGTCAAGGCTGAAAGTGCATTTTTCCCTCTGGTCATATACTATCAGACTTGTAGGCGTTTTTGTCCATGCGTGCATTTCTAAACATCTCTCCACCTCTCCCTTTCTCTTGTGCATCTACCAACGACGGTGCTTCTGCTGTTGTCACTGCTTGCTGACCCATCCTCATCCTCCTCCTACTCAGTGTTTTATCGACGAGGAGAACTCGCTCGACGACTGGCATTGTTTTACGCCGCTTCTTCGATCGCAAACGCCTTCAGTGGACTTTTGGCATTCGGTGTCTTTCACATCCACTCCGGCTCGATCGCCAACTGGAGGTACCTCTTCGTCATCGAGGGAGCTTGTAGCATGCTGTTCGCCGTCTTCGCCTTCTGGGTCTTGCCTTACAACGCGGCGTCGGCGACCTTTTTGAGTCCCGAGGAAAAGGAACTCGCCTTTTACCGAATCCAGGTCGACAGCAGTGCCGTCGTGGATGAAAAGTTCGACCTGCGGACCGCCCTGAGCATCTTCAGACACCCCACCACTTGGGTCATCCTGGCCATCGAGATGTGCCTCGGGGTGCCGCTGCAGAGTGTTTCTTTGTTCCTCCCCGTCATCGTCAAGAGGTTGGGTTACAGCACGGTGAAGACAAACTTGTACACTGTCGCACCGAGTAAGTTTTTTTGGTCGTTTCGACCATGCCAGGTGATGAATGTGCGATGACTGATGGACTGATCATGTGACGCGACGCACAGATATCACCGGAGCGGTAATGCTTTTGGTTCTCGGGTTCGCCAGCGACTTTACAAGATGGAGGTTCCCTTTTGTGGCTTTGGGATTCGCCTTTACCTGTATCGGTTTCATCATCTATGCCTGTGTTGTAAGTTTCCCGCCACAAAATTCCTTTTTCGACACTCGACGTTTTCTTCCCTCGACCTTGAAGCAGAAATTGACCCTCCCATTGATGCGAGAAACAGAACGTTCACACACAAATCCACGTCGCATATTTCGCCTGTTTCATGATGACGTGGGGAACTTCGGCGCCCAGTGTGATTCTCGACGTTTGGTACAACAATAACTTGGCGGATGAGAACAAGAGAGTCATGTTGACGAGTGTTGGTGTACCTGTCGCAAATTTGATGGGTGTAGTGAGGTATGCTGTCTCAGTCTTCCCTATTCTCACCCTTTTGACGCCTCTGGCTCACCATTTTTCTTCTCAATTTTCTTCTTCTAGCTCCAACATTTTCCAAGATCGAGATGCACCCAAATACCTCCCCGCTCTGGTGACGACGGCGTGTTTCGGTGCGGTGGGTTGTCTACTCACACTGTCGCTTGGTGGTTGGATGATCCTGGACAACAAGAGACGAGACTCGAGGACGGGTCGAAAAATTCGAGCCAAGGACATCCCGACTGAATCCATGAGGGACGGACCGAGTTCGGAAGTGTATAGGTGGTTTTATTGAAGCGCATCGACCGCTCAGCGACGCGAAATGAACGGAACACAGGTGACTGACACAAAAAGGTCAGCACCCGGTGACCGTACACTATACTTTAGTCTTTGAACCCAAGACGTCTCGAGAAGGTCATCAGTACCTTCACAGAAACAAAAGAAAATAGAAAGAGAAAACACAAAGTACGAGCTCGAATGAATGAGTGAGATTCAGATATTGAGAGCCCATTCCTAACCCTACTCCTATTGCTTCCTCCTGAGACCCAAGGTAGATAAATACCTATCTACTTGTATTGTTAAACACAACTCTTTTAACTCTGTTTTCTTTTTCTTTTTTTTTTCTTTTAGAAAAACAAACAAAGATAACATAGCCAGTATTTCTGTCGAGCCCTCCCCGTACCGACGCATCTTTCCAGCCAGCTAAACAAACGCCCCATTTCTCATCGTCGTTAGTCGTTCCATCGTAGCCCTGAATCACCCTCTTGCCCATGCGCCTCGGCTGATGAAATCAAATAGAGTTGCAAATTCGTGATCCGAAAAAAGGAAAAGACTCAAGGCACCTTGAGCTGCTCCGAAATGGCCATCATTACAACATCCCCCCCTGCTTCCCATTTCCAACAATCCAAAGGACCCATTCTTCTAGTAAATACCCTTCACTCCCCAAAGTTACGCTCGAAACATCTTCACCACTTGTTTCACGCTTCTCCGGCAGATAGGACAGATGTCGCACTGTCGGGCACACTCGACGCAAGAGCAGACATGTCCGCAATCAAAGAACAAAGCATCAACCTCTTGTCCATAGCATATCTGACAAAGGTCGGCCTGTTCATCCGCCACTTGCCAATATGTCGTGCCCATACCCCATCGCTTCCCATACTCGAACCCGCCGACATACTTGTTTCCAGTTCTCTGTTCAACAAATGTGCCTTGGCCATGTCGTTCATCGTCCTCCCAGTCTCCCTCGTACGTGTCCCCATTTTGGTAGGTCATCTTGCCTCCCTTCCCGCACCTCTTGCTGCACACAAGAGGTCCTTCATAGGTATGGCCGTTGGAGCTGATACATACAGCATGCTCGCCATGCATGCGCCCGTTGACAAGAGGACCCAGGTAATAATCTGCGCCAAACTCGGCAAGTTCGACAGGTTCCTGGCTGGTCTTGGACAATACTGGATGCTTCCGGTCCACCATTCGGAGGTACTTTGACATGTCGAAAGCGTTGGAGAATTTGCCCTCAACAAGTAACTGCTTTGTTGCAGTCTCCGAGATCGGTGCAGCCACAATCAAATCACAGCCGTTACTGAATCTGCGGTCTTTGAATGTGTCATCTGTGTTAATAGCGGTTGCACCAATAACAGCTTCGCGGCACCAGACGTTAAACGCTGTGTCGGCATCATGGCCCATACGCTCCCGAACAACATCCGTAATCTTGTCATCATCCCTGGCGAAGAATGAATTCCGTACGTAGAAGTTTTGGTTGTCCACATCAAAAACTTGGATAAATCCATAAACATTTTCAACAGGTTCTTCTGCTTGCTCAGCGGCCATTTCTCCGGAACCGAGTCCTCTGACATTTTCTTCGTTAGAAGGAACTGACTCCTGGCTACTTACGTTAAGATTCATCACGTTAGGGTCTGTAGCGTTAGAACTCCTGCTTATATCTGTAATGACTTCTGCTTCAGCGACACTCAGAGAAGGCGTTACTATCGTGCCTTGACTAACTGCATCAATTAAATGACCATGGGGGACCTCGGCGACCAAACTTTCTTCGATGGTGGGAGGTGAAGGTTCAAGTTGCATGGGAGTGTCGGGGTCCGAAACCTCAACGGCTTGAGCCACAGCTTGTTGGCTCTCGACTCTGGCATTCTCTACATCTGCAGAGACAGCCTCTTGTACCGATGACTGTTGCAGATCGGGAGCGGCAAGCTGTGCTTCTGAAAGACCTGGTGTCGTCAGGCCAAGACCATGTTCATCATGTACCGCGTCTCCGGTATCCTCAACCGCCTCTCTCACAGCCGTGCGGTCAGGTGTACCGAACAGTCTGATATCCTCTTCCGTCTTCAGAATGGAATACCATAAGCAGAAGGGTTGATCGGAATGTCTTGCATCCCGCAAAAGGTCATTCATGTCAACAGATTGCATTCGTGCGCTTGTGTAATGGCCCAACCCCGTGTAGCCCATCAGGAAGAGTCGAATTGCCTTGGTATTCTCAATTCCCAATTTCTCCGCCAGTTGTCGGCGTAGTTCTTGATATGTCGCAGTAGGAGGGAGTTTCATGATGTGGAACAATCCTTGGTGCTCGCACTGGCGCTTGATGTTGAACATGTCTAGCAGACCTCGCCGACCGGTAACGGCTTCATCGGAATACACCTCGATTCTGACTTCATCTTCATCTATCGATGGTCTATCTTCCACGAATTCGCCGCCATTGTATTGAGCTTCTAGGTAAGGGACAAGAGACTTTGGCAGCTTGTATGGCTCGAGCCCGCCAGGAAGATACTCCCCCAGGCGGCTCGTTTTGATATACATGGCCATGTATGCCGTCTGTTGCGCGGATGTGGCATCCTTAAGTGCTTGCCCCTCAAGTCCCTCGAATTGCGATATTCGTTTTCTGGTGTATGAAAATACCTTGTTTCCGTCGCCATCTTCGAAAGCCAGCCACTTCGAGTTTGGACCACCTGGCCGCAGGACACTGTAGAACTTACCAGAATTTCGCTCGCCCAAGTGGACTATGAATCCATACAAGGTGTACTTGGCGTGATCGTTGCTGGGAGAGAATTCCGACATGTCAAGCTCCTCGTTGAGGACAACACGATCATGGAGCAGCTTCCACACCCTTTTGGTTTTGTCGAAGCGCTGACGGGCCAGTGTCAGTGGTAAGAAATCTGGCAATTGTCCTATGAACCTTTCGGAACGGAGAATCTGTGTGAGAGCTTCTTGAACATCCTTTATGTTCTCGACGGGTAGCGGAGGTAGAGCCAATGGCCCGCTTGGGGTATCCAAGATGGCACTCAAGCGTCTCAAAGATGTCTCGTCGCCTTCCAACTCGAGCTCGATCGTTCTTCGAAGTACCTCCCAAAACGTCTTGACGTCGTTGTACATCTCTCCAAGGTCTCTGATAGCATGAATAGCAGGATAAACGTCCACGTAGTTCTCACGTTCCTTCCTCAGATGACGCATCAGGAACAAAATCATCTGCAAATGGCTGATTATTGGTCGCGGACGGATCTGAGAGTTCTGGCGCCACTCCACTGCATTGACGTCCTGAAGCAACTTGCGAATTGGACGTAGAAGAAGCCATGATGTAATGCCCGCCACTGCTGGACTGTGATAGAGAGGAGGTGTCCCCATTGGAAAGTAACCCGCAAGCGCTTTGGAATCCCAGTGAACTTCGGCTTCTGAAGAATGCCACCACAGTGCCTGCGTGGGGTCATCGAAGATGCGGATGTAAGCATCGATGGCGATAGTGTCGTTTCGTAAAAGCGGTGCCCTCTGAAGGTGCCCTCGGACATGTATCTGGTCCCATGGGCCCGTAAAGTTTGTCCAGCCCCAGTCATCGTTGATCTTTGCAAACTGATGCTCGGAAGACATCAGATGGCAAGTACGGGGTTCTTCTGGATTGTACATGACCATGCCTAATTGTGCAGAAACGCGCCAGTCCTCCTCTGGAATATGCTCTTGTGGTTTAGTTTCTGCGGATGCGCAATCATCGCCCTGTGTTGACCCTGGCTCTTGTGCGCCATCACTCTGCTCCTTCTGCGAGTCTTCTGTGCCTTGAAGAGGTGTGCAACAAGATCTTTCAGTGTTAGCATCTGGGACTTGATGGTGGATCATCTGACTTGGGGCAAGTCCATTGCTCAGGTCAGCGTCGGGAGGCCCTTCGAAGCAGGAAAAGGTACCGTCGGCATACTGTGCATCTGGTGGAGGCGGGCGTTTACTGCACTTGATGTAGGCACTGAGAAATACCGATTTATTTCCTCGCGGATAGAACTTGATCTGCCAATAGTTGCCATCTACCTTCGCAGGTGGAGATATCATGACCCGATCAGTATTGGGTTTTTCGCGGGTGCCACGCACTCCTTTGATGATCCAGCTAAGGCGTAATTTCTTCACAGGCCGCTGGTCGGGGTCGTCTACATCCTGGTAGATACGCTTTTCCACGCTTGGAACATCTAAAGCACTCAACTCTTGTCCTCTTGACTCTCGCAGATTCAGTTCGGTCATCTCGTCTTCGGTGGGAGTGGAATGATCGTCCTCCCTCGTCGCCCATTCTGGTGGTTCTTCCCGGGGCTGTTGTTCCTCAGACGGGGCCGGAGGCGGTACTTGCGAGGCCTCGTCAGCACCTGTTGGTGGTACCTCAGCTTCTTGAGGCATGGACTCTGAATCTGAAGGCTGAATGGCTTCTGCCTCGGAGGATTGTTCTTCTGTCTCAACAGTATTTTGCTCATTTGATATTGATGTGTCCGGCTCTTCACCTTCCAGAGGAGGTACATCAACCATGGGAGTGTCGGCCGTTTCCGGTGTCGGTGTTGCAGGTTCGCTGTCACTTGAAGACTCGTCTGCCGTTAACGGTGGTCCGACTAGGCTAGCTTCGTGGAGAGGAGAGAGTTCGGGATTGTAAGGTGGAATTGACATAACTGCGACCTCAGGGGACAGTCTGTGAGGAGGTGAACTGTGCTGGACAAGCACAGGACTGTTCTGTGAACTCGCCATCATGGATAATGATGGTGGCGGATCACTTGTCAATTGAATAGATGAATCAATGAAGGGGGATGATTAGTCTTGTAAAGAAGAAGCAGTTGATAATGGTGACCTTGCAACAACAGCAAAGCAAACACAGTAAACAAAGATCAGAACGTGCTACATGTTCCCAAGCAAATCGATGACTAGGCAAACCGCGAGGCTGATATCTTTCCAAGGTGTGTCTGGGATCAGCGAGCAGGATGAAGTGAGGTGGATGCAGAGAGGAATACGGGACGAAATATGAGCCACGAGATTCTTCAGGATAAATATTGTGTGCTTCAAATCTAGCCAGGACGATTGGTGCCTGCAAGGCTATAGCAGGGATGGTGCATAGCAGTCTTGACCGGTTTGTGAGTGAGTCAAGGACAATGCATACGGAAGTCAGGCAACGACACCAGATACACAACAAGGAGCCACTGCGGCGCAGGCTGAAGGAGCTTTGGGCACTGTGACTGGTTTTGGAGATCGCCTCAACAGGGTCCTCTGGCCCAAAACAGTGAGCCCGGAGCCTATCGGGTGGGCGTAGTCAGAGTGGGCTTCGGCGCGCACTTGGGCTTCCCCCCCCCACGTCTTCCTCAATGGGTGTCTCTCCCAGCTTATGAGCCTCAGCCCCGTCAGACGTCGACCGCAGTCAGGCATCAATCGCTCTTGTCCACTGCCTCGAATGCCACTCGTTGTACAAATCGTCGACTTATTGGTCTTGACGATAACCTGGTGACCACCAACGCCGGCGTCCACTCCAAAGTCCATCTCGCCAGGCGAATTGGGTCTGAGTCAAGCTCTCCCTGTCTGAAACAAGGGAATACACCACGTCAATTTCCCCGCATCCATTGCCTGGAGCCTGCAGCCGGCGTGGCCGCCAGGAAACCTTACTAGTCCTCCCACGGTGCAAGGATTCCCACCCGACTACTGTACAGTATCTCGGCGACAGAGACGTCCAGGGAGCTGCAAAAATCCCATTGCAGCAAAAGAACCCCATCAGATCCCAATCACGAATCAGCTTGGGCAAAAGTCCCGGCCACAATCAGAGGAAAGGCCACTGTTGCCTCCACGTACACCTACCGGCTAGGATTAGTATGAACAGATGTGCAAACGTTGCAAGCTGCACTCACCTTCACACTGTCTCCATTGGCCTTGATTTTGCCCCAGCTAACGGCCTCGTCCGGTCTGGCGCCAGCATCACTACCATCGAACTCTTGTGCGGTGTTGATATACACCGCACTTTCGGCACCATTCCTCATCAGGCAAGCATTTGCTATGTGGTGCTTGACCACGCCACCGCCCAGGATGATCATACCGGCCCGCTTCGCTCGCACCGCGATGGTGTTGATTTTTCGAATGTCTTGACCAATGTCCACGCCGAGTTGCAGTGGTGAAGCCTTGAAGGAATGGAAATATAACATGTCCCCCAGGCTGCCGTCAGTCAAAGCGGGACAGAACACAGGGATGTCGTTTTTGTACGCCCAATAATACACCGAGCGTTCGTCGTTGATCTCTTTCCCGAGACGACGGATTATCCGGCTCGGCGTCCACATGAAGCGCTCGCCGTGGGTGGCAAATTGCTCCTCCTGCTCCTCCAACATTTTGTCCAAGATAGGAACGAGCCAGTCCTCAAACGCACAATAATTGTTGTTGGGCACCACCAGGTTACCAATGCGGTTCAAGCCCTTTGCTCTCAGCGTAGCCCCAGGAGTGGAGAATGAGCCTAGATATGTGGGAGCCAGACACTTGATGAAGTCCTCTTCAATGCCGCCCGCAGTCGTCACAATAGCTGACACGTGGCGGTGCTGCACCAAATAGCGAAATGTCTCGCGTAGACCAGAAGAGATCATATTGGATGTGTAACCCAAAAAGATGGTTGTCTTGTCCCCCGTCTCGGGATCCCGCCACAATCTCTAAGAGTAGTCAGACCTACCTGGTGAAATCGACGTTCGTGGAGAGACCAACCATGTCATTGATGATGCGAATCGCATCGCCTATTGAGCTTGATTGGAAGCCTTGACCAGCAAGTTGATTTACGAAATTCGAGATGATTGTTCGTTGTTCTGCAGGGAACGAGGACCAGTCAATGCCCTTGACTTGCTGGACACCTTGTGGGACCGGCTCTGACGCGACGAGGACTGCCTCTGTAGCCTTTGTCGGTGGTGCAGAACCCATGGTGACCGAGACTGCCAATCAAGGACGGTGGTGTTATGCCAGCAAAGAAAGCAAATGATATTGTGGTTCAAGTTCGACCCGGAAAAATTGTTTTTCTGTTATATCGAGATGTACGGAGCAATTAATCCGAGAGTGCTGAGTCATGGGTGCGAAGACCTTTCTAGCCTATCAACGGAACCAGCGGGGTGAAATCTAGGCGCAGCAAGGGAGTATGGACGGGTTCTTAAATTGTTATATCTGGTACGGATATGGAAAAATTGAATTCGGGCTTGCCGGGCCTTGTTTTCCTCCCAGCGGTGCTTTAGGTAAGAGAGCGTCTGATGATTGTGGGTAGGCTTGATCACGTGACTGCTTGAATTGCCCTTACGAAGACGAGGCCTTGGTACAGTACGGAGTAGATGAGTACTGCTGCGAGACCTTGAACGTCACGATGGACGTTTTCACAGGCAATTACTTAATCGAACGAGTACTAGTCTTGTGTATGTCAAAGTCATCCCATCCCAGGGTCCTGCCACCCCGCTGTCAATAATTGGGCCAATCTCTGTGTCAAGTGAATCTGTGCACCAAGATACAGTACGAGTACGGCGGATCAGCAGCGGCACCACGTACCTTGTTCTTCGAAGTGTAAGCGCCATTTTCGGCTGCCTGACCCTCTCTCTTCTTCTTCCTCCTGGTCACTTTTATCGTTTTCTTTAAGAATTCGTTCCACGGTATCCCAACACCTATTTATTTTGCGCGCGCATCATTTCTGTGGTCCTCACGTGTCTACAGCATCACTTGTCCACCCCAGGCGCGAATTAACTCCAGGCACCAGCCCTCACTTTGGGACAAGGTTCTCTTTCCCTACGAAAAGCGTGTTCTTGACTTTGATCAGCATTGGTTACAAGTCCACGCGCCGGCTGATCGCGCAATCGAAAGAACATCACAGAACTGATCGTACACAATCGAATCAAAATATTGACTGTCGACCTCCGGCAACGCGCACCCCTCGACGACGTGTTGAAAAACCACAATTTCACTCACTTTGACCTTCTTGCAGGAGAACTCTCGGCAATCCAGTTGTAGACGAGCCATTGCCCGCTAAAGGCGCCGGGTCTCATTTCGAGATCGCGGCGTGGAACGATAAGCTGCAGGTCAGCTGGGCAAGTGGGTGTGGCTGTTTGGTCATTCTTTGGCGTGCAAAGCGACCAAGGACGAAACACTAGCCTCCTCTCCTTCTCCGTCCCCGTCATCGACTTGGAGCGTATTTTGTGTGGCATCACACAGAAGAGCCCAGTGTGTCAAATCATCAATCATCCACGAATTCGGCTCCTCCCCACTCCGCCTGGACCACGCCCAGTTCCACCCGCAACCACGTGATGTTGCATTACCTAATCTCATCACATGTCTTCACGATATCCTCCTCCCGCTAGAGACCGCTCTCCTCCACGGTACGATCGACGCCCATCAGCCACGTATGGCTCGTTAGGCTCTTCTTATCGAGGACAGGCCGACCCTGCACCACTTCCATCTGATCGACTGCCTCCCCGTGGACCCAAAGCCGATTTTCGGGGTGGTGGGTTTTCCGGGTTCGCTCCTGCTGGCCGTGGACGCGGTGGCTTTCCTGCTCGTGCAGGAGAGACCTGGGATAGAGACCGTGACAGGGACCGAGAGAGAGAACGCGAGCGAGATCGTGAGAGTCGCCCAGGCCCGCAGTCGTACCGAGCGCGCGAAGATGACCGGCTGGACTGGCCTCGGCGTGATCGTGAATTTGGCGCCGCGGATCGAGGAAGGGATGCGAGGCCTTACGTAGGCAGAGATCGCTCTGCTTCGCCTCTTCGCGGGCGTCGGGACTCCCGGGAATCTCTCCCATCCACTTTTGGCAGATCATCGGATACTGCCTCGTCCTACTACCCTCCCGCAACACGTGGAGGCTTGGGCAGGGGTAGAGGTAGGGGAGACTGGGACCGGACGAGAGGTAGAACTTCCTTCGTTGGCGAGCGGGAGCGAGATCTGTTTCCACCAAGAAGTCGATCAAGAGAGAGTTGGAGAGAGCGCGACCGCGATTTCGATCGCGGTCGCGCTCCCGTCTCTGAGGCGGACCGGGGCGAGCGACGACACTATGATCGAAGCAGAGAGCGAGACGGCAGAGCTCGTGACCGCGACCTTGATCTACGGCCCAGAGAGCTATCCCCCGCGAAAACTTCTACGTCCGATGCTGGCATCATCGCAAAGCCTCCCTCGAGTGCCATTCCTGATCGGCCAACCAAGCCAGAATTTGACAATGGCAAGCGATCCAGCGTCCCGGCGACTCCTACTGGCGCACTGCGCGATGGGCGACGTGAGGGAGAACAGACAGACTACTTTGGATCCCGCACTGAAAACACACGCCGTGATCCTCCCAACGGCACGCCGCAACCAGCCACAGCAGGTGGGCTTGACTATGGACCTCCTCCTTCTATTCCTCCTGCTACTACGTCCCCGATCGAGAAGCCCGCCCCGCTACGGCCCCAAGCTCTCAGGACTGAATCCATTCCTACTACTTCGCCCAATTTCCAGCCGCCTAGCGGTCCGAAGGCTACCAGGACATCCATGCCCACTAATACCCCGGTCGCGAAGACAACGCAACCTCAGGAAGCCTGGCAACGCTCTGCTCGAGCGTCTCAGACTCCCAAAACACACACTCCTATCGAGGTACCTCCCAAGAAAGAAGAGGCGGTCCACGAGCAAAAACCTCCAACTGCCCCTGCTGCAGATCGCCAGATGCCACCCAACGTGCCATCAGGTCCAAGACTTGGGAATGCGCCTCTCTACAAGCAACGAATGACATCGACGGAACCTGCACCTTCTGTCCAGCCACCGAATGCACCAAGGGAAGCTACGAAGTCAACAGCCTTCGACGCGAGGTCTGTGGTGATCCCAACTGGGCCACGACTCGACCGGGAAACATCTCGGCCGCTAGCTGGGATCGTGTCTGGGTCCTCACGCCATGAACGTGAATTGTCCCGACCGTTGCCTGGTCCAGGGTTGAACGCTCCACGGCCTGACCGAGATACAACCCGCCCACTTCCATCGAATGGTTCGAACACATGGATGTCACCAGATTATAAGTCGAAGCCATCCATTATGAACGCCTTGAACAAACCGCATGCGCCAGACATTCGGGATCGACAGACATTCACGCCCGCGGGCTCAAGACAAACTTCCGCCTTTCACAGCCCTCCCGAGAACAGCCGGTCACTACATGAGTCTCATTATGATAGTCCCAGTTCGATTCCCGTGGGACCCAAGGCAATGTCAACAAGCCCAAGAGTTCCAGAAAGCAAAACCTTAGTGTCCCAGCTCAAGCGATCTATCGAAGAGTCAGAAGACACAGAAATGTCAACTCCAGCCTCTAGTGAGGATGAAGACGAGGTGGAAGATGATTCTTTCGACGAGGACTACTTTGCAGAATCTGAGGAGAGGCACAAGAAAGAAATGGAGTTGCTTGAGTTAAGAAAACCTCCTTCCACATTCGAAGACCCATATATTGTGTCTTTACTTGTCCGATTGCAATTCCTCGAGATGGCCCTGCAAGACAGCTCTGGGCGACCCATTGGGCCTGTCCCGGTCACTAAAGAAGAGCCCACAACTGTAGTGACGCTTCCCACAGGCCTACCCTCTCCCGATCGAGGCTCGCAAGATGTTGACAATAAGCTATTGGAAGATGGTGGAGACGAGGGCGAGGCACAAGAGTTATCTCATCCAAAGGGAAGACCTCTCAGACAGCCCCCTGTCAACCCCATTCCTACTCCACCCATCGAGGAATTGCCTTATCGTAAGCTCGATGGGCCGGAAAGATTAGTTTTCGAAGATTCTGACAACGAGGTCGAACATGAAGCGGTCGCCACCCTCCTCCAGCAAGAATTTGAACGCAGTGCCTGGGATTGGAGAAGCGACCTTGAAGACATGCACGCAGAGTTCAGACGACGGTATCCTGTATGGAAACATGAGGTCATGTCACTAGATCACGAGAGGCGCGAGCTGCAATCCAGTCCAGCCCCTGCATCTCCCGCACCGTCTGCTGCACCTTCAGTTACTCCGTCTTTGACACACGAACGGACTCGAGGGGCTAGGAATACTACCGAGGCAGACTTGCAAGCTGCTATTTTGATGTCACAACAGTCTCTCAGGGAGGAAGAGGAGAGACGAGAACGTGAAGCTGCCTCCAGTTCTTTACCCAACTTTGATCTTGAAGCCGTGGTGCCTCCAATGCTGAAGCCTGCGGACGTGGAGTTGATGATTTTTAAAGACACTAATCGCAGGGTCCCATTCGACTTGGCGCTGGACATCTTCGCCTATATACCTCCAGAAGATGACTTTACTGAAGAGGAGCAAGATCTATTCATTCAGGCATATTGCTTGAATCCCAAGAAATGGGGCAAGATCGCCGAGTCGATCCCTGGCAGGACATATCAGGATTGTATCATTCACTACTATTTGACCAAGATTCAGACTCGCTATAAGGACCTCTGGCGACGTGCTCAGCCCAGACGAAAGAGGGGGAGGGCGGCTGCAACCAAGCCACGATCGACGGCGCTAATGTCTGAACTCGTTTATGGAGAGGACGGAGATCCAGCACCAGTGGCCGTCACTGACAGTGGCAGACCAAGACGAGCCGCTGCTCCTACCTTTGGTGATGCTGCCAGCGAAGCTGACTCTTCGACGCCGGCACCTCAGTCGAAGAAGCTCACTGGCGCCCTGAAAGATGGAAGTGCGGAGCCATCGACAGCGAAATCTACCCGAGGTCGCAAGGCTGGGACTGCTACTAAGGTCCGCCGCACAAAGGCTCAGATTCAAGCAGAGCAACAGGCCCTCCTTTTGCAGCAGCAAGAAGCATCGCTTGATAAGCCTGCCTCTACGGGAAAGGCTGAACGAGGCCGAACCCTTGTACGAACTGAGAACATTCCCATTAGGAGTGATCTCCCGTCTCTCGAACAGGCCCAACGTCCCATTGATATGTCGTTACCTCCGTACCCAACAATGGACCCGTCGCTTGCAGCTCAGGCCATTACAAACTCTGCAACGGCATCTCATACAAGCTATTGGTCGGTTCCTGAGCAACACAAATTCCCGGAATTACTCAAGTACTACGGTCGTGATTTTGCCGCGATTGCAGACTTCATGAAGACGAAGAGTCAGACCATGGTATGTCATACTCCTGGCGCTACCTTCAATTACTGACCTGCTATAGATCAAGAACTACTTTGTACGCCAGCTCAGCGATCCCAGGAATGAATTCGACAGGTTTGCTCAAATGGGCGATCAAGCTCGATTAGAAGGCAAGATACCAGACCAGCCCCCCAGCCCCATCGCCCCCGCGAAACGCCGCTACGACCCTCTACCAACGGCGCCATCGATTTCTCGACTTACTCCTCAGGTGGAGCAGGTGGTAGTCGATGCAGATGCCACTGCCCCTTCCATTAAGCCCGGAGTATTTGAGGAATTTCCACGCAGCACGGTCGAGCGAAGTGTATGTGGTGAGACAATTTCCAAGCCCCGAACAGTGGTACAAGACTTGGTTCGTGAAACCGTGACTGGGTCGAGTTCTGCGAAAAGCATGGAGCACTCTAGATTATCCAATGATCGCAGCAACTTGTACGGACAAAAGCCACTGCATGGCCCTAGAACAGGAATTTTCCAGGAAGAATCGTTCGGGTTTCAGCCAACTCGCCAAAACGTGCGCCTGGCCCTTGACGAACGTTCACCTCAATTACTTCCACAGCACTCGGTCTCTGACGTACCTCGATCTAATATCAATCACACCTCTTCGACGCCCACACTGACGCAAGAGATGCTCAGCCACAGAGAAAGAGATGTCATCGCTCAGCAAGCCCAGCTACAGATTTCAGGGATGCCCATTTCCCGAGCTCCTAGTTCTCAGGCCGACAAATACGACAAACAATCTGCCTTTCGGCCAGCTCATAGCCGGAATACCAGCTTGACTATTCCCAGTGCAGCCTCTTTGGAGCATGCGCAAGACCTTGCATCACTACGTCGAGCTGAGATACAACGTCCAATCTACAGTGCAAGCGCAACAATATCTCCAGCACCTACTACGGTGATTCCTGCAGTGCCCCAACCACCAAGGTCTGAGATTCCTCAATCTACGCGCCCTCCCCCAGTCGCAGAAGCACCAAAGCCGCCTGCCAAGCGGTCCAATTTGTTTGGTCTCCTCAATGACGATCCAGCTGATCCGCCTCCCAAACGGCCTTCTTTGGAACCTCCCAAGCGACAAGCAATCATGTCTCCTCAGATCACACCAGGCTCTGTGCACCAGCCCCCTGTGCAGCAATCGCGTAATCAAACCCTCTCCGAGGACGACACGGCGGTAAGAGGTGGAAGTGGTAGAGGCTTGTATGGCTTGGGTGGAGGATTCCAAGCAGCATCTGGTCAACCAGCCCCTCAAGAATACCCAGCTGGCTTTTCAGCGACACCCGCTAAAGATCCCAACGATCCCTGGATGGCTCGGTTTGATCCAAGGAACCAAAGCACTCCTAATGAACAACAACGGATACACCATCAGTCTCCTGTGCCAAGTCCGTATTCTGTAGTGCCTCCAGTCTCACAGACTGCCAACGGCTCCTCTCTCAACCCGTTGCGCGCGGAAACCCCTCGGGCAATGGACCGTGGCGGTCTCGATCATCGGCGAACGTTGTTAAGTGGTATGGGTCAAATACCACATGCTCCTTCGCCCCCACCTCAACAATTAGGACCGGGTGGAGTGCCTCCGTATCGCTCTGCCTCGGGCGGGTCTCACACACGAGGCGGGTCGATGGGTTATGCCGCAGGGCCAGCACCTGGCCAAATCAATCAACAACAGGCACCACCGAGCCATCCCCCGTCGGCAAGCACAACACCTGTGCCGACTCTGCATCACCGTGCTCAATCGTCACTGGATTACAATCAACCTCGACTTACCATTCAGCAGCATCTCGCCCAGCAGAAGCAGCAAGAGCAGCAGCAACATCAACAGCAACACCGAGAACACGAGAGACAGATGCAGCGACAGCGGGAGATAGATTTTGTCCAACGCGACCGTGAACGTGAGAGAGAACAACAGCAGCAACACTTGCTCCGGCGAGATCCATACATAGTTGAGCACCATCCACCGACAATGGTTTCTCGTCAGAATCAACTAGGCACGGCAGCAAACCAGAATCATATCGCCTTTGGGCAGCGAGAAATCCCTCGAACTTTTACACCACCTCACTCACACACACATGGACAATCTCCGTACGCAAGTTCAGCGCCTCTTAGCCATCCGCATGGCTTACCACACCAGTCCCAGCACCCTCACCAACACCAACACCCGCACCAACATCAGCATCAACACCAGCATCAGGGACCACCACCACCAAATCAAACACAGGGTACCGGCCAGCCTCCACCGCACCAGATGCATCATCATGTCCACCAACCTCAACCTTCACACGTCCTCCACCCAGGAGCTGCTGGCCACTTCAGAGGCCTCAGCCAAGGAGGAGATCCGAGACGTGATGAGAGACGTTGACCATGAAGTGGAAATTTGTTCGAATTGTTGCAATTGTCCTATATTACTCCACTAATGTTTGATTTTATACTCACATTTGTATCACCTATGTAGAATTGTAGTCTGCTCCGCATGGGAGGCGCAGGAATGGGATCTTTTATGCTCGGATATTGCTTGGGTTTGAACAGCATCGAGATACGATGAGTTCCTACGGGACCTTTCATCTGTGGCAATAGTAAAGGACATTGAGGATTCAAGGTGTACAGGGCAAAGAGGTACTTAGCAGAAGGCTCTGGCCAAATACAGTATGCGTATTCTTTCCCATTCTACCTCAGGGTACTTTATCTACCTCTCTCGTGAGTGGGCAATGATCAATTGTGATGCCTGATCTGTAGGCTGTACACAGCCTCAGACGGTAATTCGGGGGTTACTTCAGTGATAAGTATACCCTTGGTACCATGTAGCTAGGCATCTGCCTTACAGCATATTAAGGGCAGACGGTGTACAAGCAGAGTATTCGTATCCGTGCCTATTATTGGACTCGTGGACCCTGCGCTCAGGCACGCCCTACGTCACTCGATCTGCAGGCGCTATTGATCAACCCAAGTATCCGTACAGACACACAGATGAACCGTTAAACAAACGCTTACGCGGACGACGGCTTCCCATCACTTCTCATGACTATTCTGGTCTTCAATTGAATGTCTACCTGTATGAGAGACTTCGCCATCCAGCCTTCCTACCTATCTAGCTGGAAAGACTGATGTATTCTCAGGCGCCCTTGATTGTTTTGTACAAACAACTCTCCAGATATCATGCACAGTGAATCGCAGGCAGCCAACACACAATCCGGTCTTTGATTGTCTTGGGAGCTGAACAGCACACTGCGTCCCAACAGTGATCCTCTACTCACGACATCATGGTTATGCACAAGACACCCTTGCCATACCCCACAGGCTCTCTACCACAGCCTAATTTCTCTTCTGACGACGTCTCTATGCAACCCAGCCTAATCCCCGATTCGACAGAACTCCCTCCCGTCACGAGATCTCCGCGAGACCGACAGCGCGGATTCCAGGATTCACACAACCCTTGGTCGAATGTCTCTACGCATCAGTTAAGGGCAGACCGACCATTGCCAGATATTCTGAAGCCAGGTGGTGCCCGGACGCAGGATGACAGCCAAACCCCGGCAGGACAGAATTCATTAGCAAATATTCCAAACATTCTAAGAGCAGGGCAGTCTCAAGGAGATACACCGAGGTCGTCACTAGACAGCGACCGGTCGAAGGGCTTCTGGGAAGAGTCAGATGAAGAAGATGGAGGGAACAAGAGTCCTGAAAGGCCTGGAGCATCAGTTCCAGATATCGAGAGAAGTCACGACCCATGGATTAATGTGGAGGCTGCAGAGAAATCTCCAGGGATAAGGAGGAAACCAGTCGCTGGTGGTCTGAGTCCTGGTCCAGGTCCAACATCGCCTGCTCTCGAAGCAGACACAGCATTTGCTTCTAACAATCCATTTAGGCGGCCGTCATATTCTCAGTCGGCTGAGAATGGCGGTCCTCAAGAGGACAAAGGCAAGTCTCCTGACAGAGGAGAAACTGGGCCCTTCATGAATCAATTCCAGGACCTCAGCATTGGTAATATAGGCGCAGCCCGGCCGCTCAACAATGGTCTCACTGGACCAGAATTACCAGCTGTGAAACGGCAGGATGACATGCCGAGTCTACAACCTCCCATGCCACAGGCTCCTCCTCCTCCACCACCACCTCCACCTACAGAGTCCTTCTCTCCCTTTAGTTCACAGCCCCCTCTGATTCCAGTTTCATCCGAGTCAAATCATATAGAAAACCCGTGGGCAGCTCATCACAATCTGGTTCCCTCGGCAGCGTCACCAATCCCTTTCGCGCCGTCACAGAAACAAGTCTCGAGCTACAATGATGACTTACTAGACCGTGGTCACCAAAATATCGGAGTCGTGTCCCTCAAGGACGAATTAGAGACCTTGCCGAACGCTGCGACCACTAACCAAGTCACTCATGACGAGCCTTCTTTACTAGAGGAGGACGATGAGACTGGGCCTTCTCTGCCGACACGACCGTCTCAGCGTTCGGACACAGAATATTACGATCCACCTGACGGTCCTCCCCCGTCAAAAGCTCCGCGACCGAGCATACGTATGACGGCCCCCTCGGAAGAAGAGGTCGCAAAGATGATCGAACAGAGGAATGAGACATATCAGATCAAGCACTTCAACTGGTTTGATGTTAGTTCTCGCAGGTTGCGGAGATCTTCAATGTTGACGCAGAACAAGAACGGACCATGCCCGCTACTTGCCTTGGTCAACGCTCTGATTTTGGGAGCGCCGAATGAATCACAAGCGGTTCTGGATGAAGCACTTCGGTCACGGGAGCAAGTAACACTGGGCCTCATTATCGAGACACTCATGGACGAGCTGCTATCTCGAGGGTACGAAAACGTTGGAGCGAACCTCCCAGACGTGGATGAGTTGAACAGCTTCTTGATGCGACTACGCACCGGTATGAATGCAAACCCGAGGTTCGTTCCATCATCAGCACCACTCCCAAGTCTACTGGATCTCGATGACTCCATGCCTAGCGTGCCTCAAGAAGATCAAGCACGGTCTAGACTAGGGACATTCGAGTCGACCACCGACATGAAGCTTTATGGCGCCTTTTCCGTTCCTCTTGTCCATGGCTGGCTTCCAGAACCTAGTTCGGACGCACACAAAGCGTTCTCCCGATCAGCACAAACCTATGAGGACGCCCAAGCCTTACAATTCGGTGAGGAAGAACTAGAGTATAAGCTCACGAGAGAGGGCTTGACGCCAACAGAACAGAACATGTGGGAAGATATCAATGCGATCAAAAACTTCCTACATACTTATCCGACACAGTTGACGCCGACAGGCTTAAAGGCGGTCCAAAGTTCAATACCTTTAGGAAGCTTTGCTATCATGTTTCGGAATGACCACTTCAGCACGATCTACAAGCATCCTGAGAGTGGTCTCCTATTCACGTTGATCACCGATGCCGGATATGCGGATCGTGACGAGGTCATCTGGGAGAGCCTTGTTGACATAGCGGGCACACACAACGAATTCTTTTCGGGTGATTTCATGCCTGTCAGCCATAGTGATGGAGTGGATGATTCTCGAAGGCATCCAGCTTCACGACGAACCTCTCAGTTGTTACCAGCAGGCGACCCAGGATCTGCAGCTCCGCTGTCACCACAAGAACAACAAGAACAGCACGATGCCGACTTTGCCATGGCACTACAGCTACAGGAGGAGGAGGAACAGAGGCAGCGAGCCGATAGAAATCGTCGTAGAAGTACTCCCGCGACTTCCACTAACAACAACAGCGGGCATAGCGGCAACAACAATGGCCACGGCAGTGACAGCGCTCCCCGCCGGTCGACAGGTAATATTCCGATACCACTAAGGTCGCAGCCAGAGGTGCGGCCAGCAATCCCACCACGCAATGCCCGTGCCGCAAATCCAGGCGTCAATCGACCGATTGATTCGGCAGACGAGGCTCCGCCACCTACATACGACGAAGCTGCCAAGGGACGTCCGTATATCCCTCCAGTCGGTAGTCCACTTCATCCTGCAGCAGAGCCCAGCCCTTTCAATTCGAGCACACAGCTTTCGGGGACAATCAGTAATACTTCAGGCCCAAGTCTGGAGCAGCCGCATCCACCCGGGCCGAATGCACCGGTGATGGGTGGCAGGAGACAACCGGGTCGGAGGTTGAGTGCGTACAACGAAACGAGTTCGTATTACCCACCACAGCAGCAGCAGCAGCGTATGCCGGGCGGGTACATGTCTCAGCAGGGTGTAGGTGCTGGACCATCAAGGCCTGCTGCAAACATGCAAGGCCGGGACCGAGATTGCATTGTGATGTGATGAGGTACAGTGGTAGCAGATAGGACCGGGTCAGCGCGGCGTTGAGCGGCGATTTACATCATTATTGTCCGTGGGACGAGAGCACGCCAACACCTTGGGCAAAACTTTTTACGAGTATGTAATGGGCAGGTAAATGATAAGAAAGTCATGATTACTCCATGAATGAACTTGGTCATTCTTCGTTTGCAATTTTCTTTTCTGCATTCGCCGTACTCGAACGGATATGGCAAGGGATCTTCTGTTACTGTTTAAATGGTGTCTCGGAATTGTTGGAGTGCCAGGCACTCACTACCGAATTTTCTCTTGTGTGTGCAGACTTTAAAAAAAAGATCAAAGTGCAATACTCTCGTTTGGTCCGGTAGGGACACGTTCCTTTTTGAGTAACTTTTCCCAAGGTTTGTTTTGAGATTGGTGAGTCTCGTGAACTGGAGACACCATGTGGTTTTCAGTGGCGGAGTCGTTGTTCTCCTTTGCCACTCCGGTGCTGTTACCCTTTAGAATCTCCGCGAGAACTCGACAGACGGCGTCACCCATTTCGGTGGTCGTCGCCTTCCCACCGAGGTCACCGGTCCTGATTTCGAGTCCACCGATGTCCCTGGAGTCGAGGATCTTTTCGACGGCCGCCTCGATGGCGGTGGCCTCGGCCTGCAGGCCGAAAGAGTACCTCAGCATCATGGCGGCACTGAGGATCTGGGCGGTCGGGTTGACGATCCCCTTTCCCGCGATGTCCGGGGCGGAACCGTGGACGGGCTCGTAGATGCCGTGACACCGCGACCGGCCGTCGGGGATCCCACAGAGGCTCGCGCTGGGGAGGACCCCCAAGGTGCCGACCACCCCACCGGCCTGGTCCGACAGCATGTCCCCGAAGGTGTTGTCGGTGTGGATGACCCCGTTGAACATGCGGGGGTTCTTGACCATGAGCATGCTCAGGCTGTCGGCGAGTTGGTGCTTGAGGTCGACGTGCGGGAATTCCTTGGCAAAGACGTCGGTCGTGACCCGGCGCCACAGTCGCCCCGAGGCGAGCACGTTGGCCTTGTCGCTGGACCAGACCACGGCGGGTCCTCCGTTGCCCTTGCCGTCACGACCCATGGTCGTCGCCAGAGCCGCGGCCACACGGGCACACCGTTCGATCTCGTCCCGGCGGTAGGTCCAAGAATCGCTGGCCATGTCCGGTTCTTCGACTTTTGGTCCAAAGTAGGCGCCGCTGCAGTTCTCGCGGAGCACGATGAAATTGGTCCCCTCGGCGATGGACCGTTTCAGTGGAGACTGGTCGACCAAGCTGCGTGAGTAGAATGTGCAAGGGCGGATGTTGGCGAAAGCGTCGAGGTGTTGTCGGAGACGAAGGAGACCCGCTTCAGGGTTGGGTGGTTTCGTGCCCCTGGATTTGACCAAAGGAGAAGAAAGAAGGCTCGGAGTTAGCGACGATGACAAGAGTTGGTATGCCTTTTGGGGGGGGGGGGGGGGGGAGAGACGCCGCAGTCAACTTACCATTCTGGACCACCTGCTGAACCAAAGAGTACCGCATCACTCTCTTCCTTTGCAATCCTTAATACTTCGTCGGTGATGGGAGTGCCGTGCTTGTCGATACTGCAACCACCGCAAATCTGCCAATTGTATTGAAACTTGACTCGACCTTGCGACGAGGCTTCCACGACGTCCAGAACTCGGATGGCTTCCTTCATGACTTCGGGCCCGACATGATCGCCTGGGAGGACGAGGACGCGGAATGTCTGTGGTCCGGCGGAATTGGGGAGGACTGGAGCTGCCATGGCGGAGGTGAGAATGAGATGCTGCTTATTTAAGAAGAGAGGATGTGAAGTAAATTGAGAATACTCTGGCTCAATTTGTCCAACTTTGTAGGTGTTTGTTGCCAACAATGGTCAATAAGAAGCCTCGGAGATGGTCTGGAGAGGGAGTATTTGACCCGGATATCGGGCTAAAGAGAGGTAAATGTCTTGTGATGAGGTATTTAAAGTCAAAAGAGATCAGACGTGTTTTCAAAAAGGCAAAGCAAAGAAATCATCAAAAGCCCAGAAGTGAAGGAGATCAATGTACTCTTGAAGGTTTCTACTGGACATTTGAATATTGAACCGAGAGTTGCTGTTTCCCCTCATACACTACAATAAACACGCATCTTTTTTACAAGGAATCGGCACTTTACTCCGTACGTACTCCGTCAAATACAGAGACAAGTCCTGGTCATCGTTCCTGTGGAATTGTTGGAGAAATACGGAGTAAGAGGGTCAACGCCTTGTACCCTTCAATGTGGCACATTCCGAGAGAGTTATAAGGGACAGGACACTGCTTTGTCTCCCTTCCCTCCGTAATCGGAGCAGTAATATTAATAGAAAATGGGTTTCTCTCACTCTAGGGGTCTTTCTCCGCAGTGAATACTTCCGTAATAGCCTTGCCGTTGTTGACCAGAGATGAACTCCATAGTCAAGTAATAGGGCCGCAACGAGTGTTGTATTTTAATCCTCAAGACAGTGACCTTGCTAAGTTTATCGATGAATGAAATGGCGCCACCAAAGTGTACCGTATGAGGTTCGGTGCTGTAGTCTCTTGATATTTACTGTACCAACCAAAGAGGGAATCTTTGCCGACACGCATCTCGCGCGTGTGTTATGTGATACTTCTACCCGGTACTGTAGGTTCAACACATTCACGAAAAGGTCGTCAGAACCCTATACAACAATACCAGTAGTAACAACAAGCCATAAGGATGTTCCACACTCGTCTCATCTCCAACTCGATCAGTTCGACAAGTTGAATCTTGCAGGCCTGTTACCACCGACCGCCATGGCCAATTTGTTTCCATACACTTTCATTTCTTGCCCCTGTTCTGATGTCTCTCGAAGGGCGTTGACTTCCAAGAGACTCTCGCGCGAGGTGGACTTGGACCAACAAATTCAGCAAGATGAAGAAACGTTCGACTCTCGACAACCTCGATCATCCTTTTCGCTATTCCCCCCTGAAAATCTACTCTACTGTGAAGAATGTCACGACATCAAATGTCCGCGGTGTGTGACGGAAGAAATCAACGCCGTGTACTGTCCAGATTGCTTGTTCGAAAGTCCAAAGGTCATGGTCAGAGGCGAAGGCAACAGATGTGTAAGTTTTGGAATCTCTTCCCAAAAGGAAACCTCATGGATACTGACAAGTCCTGACCAATGTATCAGCCACGCAACTGCTACCACTGTCCCATATGTACATCTCAGATGATCACAACTTCTGTGGGAGACCCGAAGGAAGGACCGTTCATTCTCAACTGCAATTACTGCATGTGGAATACCCTTGACGTCGGCCTCAAATTCGACAAGCCAACCGGCATCCGTACTCAGATGGACGATCTCTCGAACGGAGCCAAACCGAGGTCGTCCAGTATCAAATCTCCATACTCGTCGGGTCAAGACCAACCTCCCCGAAAATCCTCCCTCGCATTGCCACCTTTTTCTCCCTCCGACCAGACTGAGCCGCCCGAATCCACAAACAGGACAATGCCACGAGCACCACTGGATTCGGCATCTAGGTTTAATGCTCTCAAGACATTGTAAGTTTATAAAGAAATGCAACAAGAGGTGTCGAGGGGAAGCGCCAGATATTGAGGTCGATCGCACACTGACATTAGTACAGTTACAAGGACCAAATCGCAGAATCGTCCGCTACCGATGTCGACTTCCCAACGTCGGCACTTGACATGGCCTATTCCTCGCCCTCGTCCCTTCAAAGAATCATGAACATCTACACCAACCCGTCAAGTTCCTTGAAGCGCTCCCGTCAGAAACTCACCATAATGCGCGAGGCCAGAACGCGAGACGAAGGGTTCAAAGTCGTAGAACCTTCTTCAGGACCAATTTTGGACTACGAAGAGACCACGACCTCTTCACAACGGGCATTCCAGTATCCATCCTTCATAGGCAACCCGGACGCTCTGGGGGTTTCGGACCTCAAACCGATGCCTACGCTCATGCGCACGAAGCGCTCCAAACGCTGCGCGGCTTGCAAACACATCCTCACGCGACCCGAGCTCAAGATCAGCTCGGCTCGTTACCGCATCAAACTCATCGCCCTCAACTACATCCCCTACGTGACCGTCAAACCACTCCCCGTGTCTGGGGGCTTACCACCTCCGGGGCCCGACGGAGCCGACCTCCTCCTCTCGGCCGGCAAACCCGTCCAGTTCATCATGACCCTGCGCAACCCGCTCTTCGAGGACGTGAGTGTCGGCCTCGGCAGCCCGAGTGTGACCCCCGGCAAGCACGGCCACCGGGTGACGATACTGTGCCCTCAGTTCCAGATCGGCAAAAACAGCGACGCGTGGGACGATGCCTTGAACAGCAACAGTCACAATACTACCGGCGGTAACAATGCTGCCAACAATAACAACAGAGGCATGGTCAATGCTTCCGGGGGCGAACAGATCGCCGGCAAATTGTACGACCAGGGCAGGAACTGGGTGAGTGTGGTGCTCGAGATCGTCCCGGCCACCATCTTCAGGAGACAAGGCGAGGTCTTGGAGGAAGACGAGGACGTGATCGAGATCCCCATCCGGGTGAGGTTGGAATGGACGGTCACGGACGAGGATGCGATGATCGAGCGACGCAAAAAGGACAAGCTCCTCGAGGAAGGCGAAGACGCCGACGACGGGAAGAGGGAACTGAGTTATTGGATGGTCTTGGGCATTGGGCGAGTCGATTGTTGAAGTGAGTAGGCGATTAAAGCGGGCGTCTTTTCAATGATACCCCAGATGGAATTGTTTTGTTTCTGTCGGTGACACTCACACAACACCATTGCTTTTTTTTTTCTTTTGTGGATTCAAGTGGCTTGTCGGCGTTGCTTGTTTCTATCAGAACCGTAGTACATACACAGCCTTTGCCAGGTCCCTCTTCCCCGAGGGAAGTCATAAACAGGCCATCATGTTGAACCATTTCGACAACTCCCGCCTTGATTCTTTTTTGTCGCTTTTATACCGTCCTCCGATCAGACATGACCCTGACGATACCTCCCACGCCAACCACCTCTGTCAATTTCTCGTGCCAGCTGAGCAGCACGCTCATCACCTGGCCGCCACCGCCTTCCCCGAAATTTCTGCCCTGGATCTGACTGAATCCCGACCCGGTGGCCTGAGGGCTCGTACCTTTGTTACTGTTGCCGCCACCGCCGGCCCCGCTCGCCATGCCCTTGTAGACGTACTTCATCAGGGTGTCCCCCAGGGCGGCGCCCCCGGGCTGTCTGAGCATCTCGCCGAGTAGCCTGCCGACGTCGCTCTGCCTGATCCCCTGTAGCACTTCGAGCACCGTGGTGAGGTGGACCTGTTTCGCCGACTCGTCGCCCGCAAAGGGAGCGGTCTCGAGGGCCGACTGGAGAGCCCCCAGGCTGTCGCCGGCCCGGAGCAGTTGGCGGACCTGCTGACCTATCTGCGCCGATTCGGCCGACGTCGACGGCGCCGGGAGGTTGGCGGGGAGGAGGGTGGTCATGGGGAAGTTGAGCGCCGAGTCAGGGTCGTAGGCGTCGACGTTGATCGTCCGCCAGTTCACGTTGGCCATGGTTGCAAGGGGAGGGCCGGGTGGGGGAGTTGGCTCTCGCAGGTTTCGTGGACCCGTAATCGTCGTTTTCTTTGGGTTATCTACCTAATGATTCAGGTCGAGGTGTTTGGTTCCCAAAACGTTCCTTCGCTCCCGTGGTACGTTTTGAATTCCGGTGTTCCGAGTTTTCGAGTTGTGATTAGGAGATTCAGGAGGTGTCTCGGTTCAAGTTCCTTTGTCGCATATGCAAGAGGGGAAAATCAAAACGTGTGTTGTTGTTACCAGGCAGAGACAGAGGTGTGTGCTCGGTGAGCGCGGGGACATCATCTTAGAACGGGGCGGCGCAGCCTGCTCAGTACAGCCCAACCGCATTACATAACAATGCCAAGTGTCAGCCTCGTCACAGCCACTTCCCGTGTGTGAGATGCAGCCTTGGACGACGGGCAAACGTTCGAATTCTTTTCGCCTTTCCGAGACATTACTTTTGGTAGGCAGGCATCATATAACAATCGTGAGAACTTTTTCTTGAACGTTTCTCTGATGAAAAGCTACGTAGGTACGCATGATGATAATGGGCGATTTTAATTACCAAACCCCCACGAACGGAGGACACGGACAGCGATCTGTTCACGGGTTGCCCCTCGAGAATGAAAACGTGTTCGACAGGCAAAACTCAAGACTATAACGCAGTCACTGCAAACCCAGGTCTCTTGGACTCGAGTGGGTTCAAACCCCAAGCTTGACTACTAGCGTCATGGACGGTTGTCCTTCTCAAATCTCGTCGATATTTCCCGGCGAAAGAACCTCCTTCGGCACGATGCATGACACAACTGTATTCCAACAGGTCAACCGTCAGCACAATATCCGACTTTTCTCTTTCTCGTTGGAGAGGTTGCGACTCACGTGTTGTCCCAGATGACCAAGTCACCGGGATTGTTCCAGGGAATGCTCAAGGTATATTTGGGCTGCGTCGCGTGCGCCATGAGCTTTTCCATCAACTCGGTCGATTTCTCCCGCGGCACATCAACGACGTGATCCATGTGAGCCGCAATATAAAGGTTCATCCTCCCGGAGGGTTCGTGCTTTTGCACAATCTTGTGCTTGTGCATGGGGAACGAATTGACGTCGACATCCTTGAAGTATTCCGGGGCGGCCTTCTTTCGTGACGAGTAGAGAGAATGGGCACCGACGTAGTCGTGTTCCATCAGCTCGGCTTTCAGGTCTGGGTCGAGCTCGTCAAAGGCCGTTCGGGTGTCGGCGAAGCCGGTGTTTCCTCCGGTGTTGGGAGGGGGCAGTTCGTGTGCCTTCAAGAGTGAGTACGACGCTCGCCGGGGGTTGAACGACGAGTCGACGTGGAACAGTGCGTTGCCCTTGTTGTACTGGGATCGGGGGCTGTCGGGTGACAAGACAGCATTGGTTTCGGGGTCGATGTTGCCCGCGTCAAAGAGCTCGTAAAACTCGTATCTCGGTTTACGACCGTTGGTCATGTACGGTCTGATGTCGTCCAGATCTCCAAAGCGGCGTGATAGTTCGACGTGGGCCTTGTCGTCGAGACCGGTGTTGCGGAATACAATCACGCCATACTGTTTTTCTCCGGATCAGTCTCGTTTATTTCTTTGAGCGGAGGAACAGTCTCTCGAACTCACCTTGGCAGATGCAGCGAGTATTTCATCAAAGACCTCGTCAGAGATGGGTTTCGTGAAATCAACACCCTCGATTTCCGCGGCAAAAGTGGGATGGAGTGGTTTACATTTGAGAGTTTTGAACTCTACCTCTGGATTGATGAGGATCCCTGGCATTTTTGATGATGGGCGAAATGATATCGTTGGATCAGGACTCAGTACCAGTTTATGCAAACGCGAAGGAATGGTAAGTCAACTCCCAAGTTGTACTTGGACAAGGACTGGAACTGCCGGGGTCTTTCTTTATATAGGTCTGATACCCTTTTGCTTGTAGGGAATTGAACCAGTGTATGGTCAGAATACTAGACTTTCCGTTCGGCAAGTCTGTGCCGTTCAAAAACACATCTGCCGAAGCCCCATGATTCTGTGTCTAGAAACAAATGGGTGCTAGTTCAAGATTGTCAAGTTGTCAGCCTCGATCCTTTCTCCGCAAAGTGAGTTACTACTGTATGTACGGTGTACGGACTACGAGTACCTACTCATATGGAGTATGTTGGAGCAGTGCGGGGGAGTTTTTTACTTACCTCCAAGGGTTATTTCAGGGGATGCAGATCGTCGCTTGCGCTTTACTTGGTATGCTTGTACGAGTACGAGTACAGGTGTCCCGATTGTACAGTTAAAATACGGAGTACAATCGATGTATCCGGAATTTTGTTTAGGGAGTGTTTTGCAAGGCTATGAGAGCCTCGTGCGGAGGTTCTACGTACCGACCATAACCGAAGACACCCAGAGAGGGAGGGAGAGGAAACGGGTATGTACATATATACATACTCACGGTAGTAACAGTACACACATTCTCACAAAAGGAGTGTGGCAAAAGACTTTCCACGTCGGATTCAAACCTCACCAGCATAGTAACGTCCATCAGTATGCCAATCGCAATCGTGACAGGTGCGAGTAGGGGTATAGGTAGAGCAATTGCCTTACAATTGGCCGAGGATGGCATGGACCTTGGTGTAAGTAACTTTCTTTTGTAGGATGTCGAGGATTTGTGGGTGAGTGACCACTGACCAAGAGTCTGTTGCCAGATCAATGACATTCAAGCACAATCGGCAGATTTGGAAAATGTAAAAAAGGAGATTGAGAAAAAAGGTATGTAGTAATTCCTCAATCTCCCTGCCCACCCCACGGACCCTCAGCCTAGAACAGTCCTTCTGCAAACACCCTGTACGAGAAGAAAACCAGATACTCATTGTTCTACCTCGTATGTACTAGGTCGTCGAGCGAAATGTGTCATAGGAGATGTGACTCAAGAGAAGGATGTACAAGGATTGGTGGCCACTGTCGTCCAAGAGTTTGGAGAGTTGAATGTATGGTCGTCTCGATTCTCACCAACCACTCACTCTGTACCAAAACAAAAACTCACACAGCCCCTGCTGTATAGGTCATGATTGCAAACGCAGGTATCATTGTGACAAAAACACTTCTCGAAGTCAGTGTGGAAGAATGGGATAGAGTCATGGCAGTAAGTTTATTCGTTACTTGTACTTGTCTTCTGTACAGAAAAAATCTCGATTTCGTCATTTGCCCTCTCCTCCAGCGACGAATAAATATCAATATCTGCATGGGCGGAACATTCTGACACAAAAAAAAGGTCAATGTTCGTGGTGTGATGTTATGTTATCGTGAAGCAGGTGAGTCTTTCTCAAACGCCGGAGGGCAGCAACCTCCAGTATCCCGAAATTGATTGGAGATGACAACAGCGAAACAAATGATCAATCAAGCCAAGGGAGGAAAGATTGTCGGTGCCTGTTCAACCGCTGGACATAGACCGGTACGTTGGAACTTCTTCACCCTCTTCTCTGACAAAATTCAGGGAATGATGAGTTTGGTTTTGCTGATACTCGTAACCAAAAAATAAAGTCTGGAGCTGGAGTCATTGCGTACGGGACCAGTAAATGGGCAGTTCGAGGTCTCACCCAGGCCACCGCGGTAGAACTGGGACCACATAACATCAATGTAAGCGCTCCATACATGACCTCTCCCCAAGTTTTGACATGCGAACATAAGGGCTGATAACCGTGGGTGCAATAGGTAAATGGTAAGATCCGGGTTCCAAGTTGGTAATTATATCTCATACAAAGACTGACGACGACTGTGTGTATTCCGTCAGCATATTGTCCTGGACCCGTTCCAACAGATGTGAGTGTGCCATGTTTTTTTCTGTTTGGACTCTCAAATGGCACGGCCGAGGGCGGAAGCTGATGTGTTTGTCTGGCAGATGTGGGACAAGATCGCCCAGAATGTCTCGGAAAAGACTGGAGTGACACCACAGGAAGCCTTCAGTAATTCGATCAATACTAGAACTTCCTTGAAACGCCATACGGTATGTTTGACACGTCCTACCTCATCAGCCGAAAAGAGTACCGCTGAGTCGCTGACTGTTTTAGGAACCCGAGGATATTGCGAATCTCGTCAGTTTCCTTGTGAGCCCAAAAGCAAGAAACATCACAGGTCAGGCCGTGATTGCGGATGGAGGTAGGACTGTTATGCTCAGTGGTTACCTTGTTTTTATTGTGTGCTAACAATGCTTCAAAAGGTATTGCATTTGCTTGAGGACTTTCGTAATTCAAAAATCGCCTTGTCTTCATATGACCTGTTCATACCACTCAATCAATTCAATTCGCGTTTTCCTGGTCCTAAAATTCACACTACCAAGATCAACGCCTTCAGTTGCCAATCATAAATTCGGAGCTAGAAAGCTGGGTGTACCGTCCCATGTAGTAGTCGAAATCATTGTGCTGACTAGAGTCCTCAAAATATTTCAAGCTTTCCATACCGAGGCGAGTAACTTCTTCGATCTCGGTCAGTGTGTCTGAGTCGGACCTCCTCGATTTGATTATGATGGGATATTCCCAATCATCGACCTTGTCGCCGACGGCATCGTCAGCAGCCAGGATGGGGATGTTGATCCTGGCACTACTGTCCTTGGAGACGTTCTTGTCGTCGGCCTCCTCGAAAGGATTGAAGTTGGCGTCCGAGGTGGTCTCAGAGATGGAGTTCCGATCATCTGAGAGAGCCGTGAGCAAAACAAGGAGATCATCACCGCTTGAGAGAATCTAATCTCTGCAATTGAAGAAGAGTGCATACCTGTGCTTTCATAAGCAATGCTCGCCTTGTTAGAGGCGTGGTAGTCGATATATACCACGTCTGCTGGTCCTGATTTTCTCTCTCCGGGAACAATATTTGCTGTCCTCGTGGTTCTCACCGATCCGCCTCGTTTCCGCTTATGAACTTGTAGGCCAGCGATAGCCGAAGGTCCTAACCGCTGCTCATTTGCCTTCAAAGCTGCAGCTTCGAGTTTGTCACGTGAAAGACTAGGAGATACAATCTCTTCCATCTTTGATATCCAGAATTTGACCTGTTTTCGACAATGTTAGAGCAATGGTCACTCAAACACACGCGTGTCCTCTTGGATTTTTAAAGACCCGACGGTGAAAGGCTTGCCCGGGTTTGGACATACCAGTTCTGGGTGTTCGGAGAAAGCATTCATCAGTACTTCCTCACCATAGACTTGCCTCAAAGGTGCCCACTGTTTCCAATGCGCTCCAAGAATCCCGCGGTGCAATTTGTCTCGAAAATCGTAACTTATCTCACGGTTGAAGGAATTCACTTTTGCAAGCAGACTACTGATGACCATACCATGATTTCGGATCTCTTCAAGGCGAACCCTCAGACCGAAAGGCAGAGGTGATGTTTTCGAATCCGAGATATTGGTTTGACCCATACCCTTCACCGGTTCAGTACTGGTGTCGACAACGGCGTTCATTGTCCCAAAAGGAGACAATGGTCCGGAAGTCGAAGTACTTTCAGCTACAGGAGCTGGGTCTCTCGTTTCGTTTGCTCCCTCGTGCGGCTTATTGGGAGAAGTCCAGCGTATCGCTTTCTGTGCTTGTTCATATTTCCACGCTGAAGCATTCTTCTCTTCAATCAGCGTCTCAATTAATGCTCTGTGGTCTTTCAGTAGGCCAATGTCTCGATGGCTTCAGTCAAGGAACAGAAAATTTGTTAGATTTGATCCAAAGCAGACGCGCAGATGGTAAGAGACACACCTTCTCGCCTGTGCTGCAAATATCAGCACATTGAGCATAACCAGCAGAGAGCTTTTCAGCCTTTCCAGGTTTGCTCGGAGGAGTTGAATCTGGTCCTCTAAGAAGGGAAACTTCAGTCTCTGTTTCCATCCTGCCACTATCGAGTTAGAGGAGAAGTGTCCGTCCAGCGAAGAGTTTAGGTCGTTGAAGACATCCATGCACCTGTCGACCAGGCCTTTCGTTGTGGCGAGAGCCTCCTTCGAGCAGAGCTCTACGTTTTCATCTTTGGACAGTTCATTGCCAAGTTGCTTGAGGACGGCGCCTGTCGCTGCGATCTCTTGCGAGATACTATCAATGGATTTGTCGGCGGATTTGATTTTGCGTGAGAATGTAAAGAGTTTGACAGAAAGGCGAGCACCGAGATCAGCGATTTGGATCACACTGGCAGCCACGCCGAGGATTTCGATTCCAGACATTGATGCCTACAATGTACGTGGCATAACTTTGAGAGACGATGTAGCAAAGCTGAAAATTGATCTGAGGGCTGGAGAAGCATGTTGAGTATTGATATGCAAGGACAGTGTAACGATCAACAAGGCGGAGCTTCGCTTGGGCGATGGCGGTGGTGAGGCGGTGTCTCTAGGCTGATCAGGTGCGTGTACTGTATGTTGTATTATAGAGCACAGCACGGAGTGTTAAGGGATCTTAGCTGGTATCTTCAGTTAAAATTTAGGTACCAAAAGCACCTAAATTTTATGGCAAGAGCACCTGAATCGAGGCTCATCTGATTTCCCGCTAGGCGCCTAGGCAGGCTTTCTTGAAACTCTGAGTCTTGTAAGTTCACCTTACACTTTATAACAGAGAGAAGAGATCTGACCTTATCTTTATCCTCATCCCTCGCCTTACAAGTCTGGAACGGTTTCCCCAGTCTTTCAATAAAAGCACCCAGGGATTGATTGATTCCTCAGGTATTGCCTTTACTCTGGGGCCAATATCGAGCAGACGCTTCCAAGCGGACTGCAAGTCCTGCTTTTCACCATACATTGCGTACGAAGCTTGGACATTGCATGAAATCCTCAACAAAATGGCAATTCATCTATGCCTGGCCTTTGAATGCCGTTGTCAGGTCAAGAACGCAGTCTGTTTATGATGCCACAATGGAAAAACGCTACTACGTCTCATGGCAACCGTCTTTCACGTGGAATGTAAGTGCTTGTTGCTAATCACAATCAACATTCCTGCGCCTGCAAAACACGGACAGCGTAATGTCCCTAGTTATCATGACCTCTTCAACGGGTACTTCTGTTGGCAACCCAAGCCTAACGCGTCAAAATTGGCCGCATGTCTTCAATCAGCACCATGTTTTTGTCCTCAGACCCTGCTATACCTCAATCAGCGTCGAACCATTCGCCTTATCAAGACCGAACCGAAGACGACAGCGAAGTGGAGGAGGCGCGTAACCCAGGATTTGACCATCTTCCACCCTACTCACGCGAAACTGCGATGCCGTCACACTGGCTGGAAGAACATCCTCCATCCCAGACTAATGAAGCACCACACCAATACCGGGACAATAGCCAACTGCCTTTGACCCGCAGGCTGTCGGATGCTCAATATGGTGTACAAACATCCCTGCATAGTCGATGGGCGGAAGAACAAGATATGTCCTCACAAACGGCTTGGGAAAGTCAACCAATTTCAAGATCGCCCTCCGATTACAGCCCGGCATCGGTTGGTTACAGACCAACAATGCCACACCATCCCCCATCCAATTTGGAATATAGGATAACGTCACCGATATACTGTCCTCCAGATATGCCTACTCGCTCATCGAGCTCGCACTTTAACGGAGCAATGAGTCGGCGTGAGCCATCATCATATCATCCCTCTTTGTCAGCATTGCTCAAGGAATTGAAGCCGGTCTACCCAGTTGAATTTCCAGTGTCTTCACATCCTTCAGACGTGCTCGATCCATCGTCTGCGTATCGCACGTCCAGCCAATACCACATCAACAGCCGACCATCTGAGCGGATGGAACCCTATCAGACCCTCACTTATGATCACGCAGGCTCTGGTGGAATCGGCTCATATCAAAGAACGTACGACAATCTAAGGGCCTCGGACAGTCGCCTGCCCGTGAGCCCTATCTCTGACCTTGGTTTGCAGCAAACATCGTCTGACCTATACGGCGCCGAATATAGTCGTCACGAACCCCAAGCAGAAGCAGGCCGACATACAAGACCTTCTGATCTCGATTCGCTATTTGACGGCTCGAGTGGAGTTGAGGATGAGATAAAGATTTCAGAACAACCAACAGCGAGTACAGACGATCCAATGCCCTCCCAGAAGAGTTTATCTGCATCGGGCCTCTCGAGAAACTTTGACCCTCAGGAGTCAAAACCCTCCTTAGAGAACCAAGACGGTGCTGGCGTTGGACTTCATTGTCAGCAAAGGGAAGACTTGAATCTGATACCAGGACTCTCTGGAAATGCTGTTGAAGACGATGTTCCCTGTTCAGTGATCTCACATCGACTTGGTAACGATACTCACACAGACTCTGGCCCGTTGCAAAACGCTGCAGACAGGTTGAAAAACATGTTGGCTGCAAATGGTATAAAGCGTGAATTTGTGCCCGAAAAGCTCGCAAAAGTCCTAGAGTCTCCCACAGCGGAGCATCTCGCGAAAGGGACACAACTAGGCGGTCATCAAGGGTCAGTGGAAACGGTCAAGCATAGCATAACTGAAAAATGCTCATGCCGTGAGGCAGGACAGAACTGTCGGTGCGCTCAGTCAACGTGTACATGTCTAGGCTGTGATTGCACTGACAAGCCCGACAATAGCGCTTGTTGCACCAATCAACGCACCGTGCTTCCTACAAAATTCGAACCGCGAAACATTGATTGTTCCACCTCAAGAGATTATATATCCACTAATGACAGTCAATTGAACGGTGACTTACATCAGGAGTTGATGGGTAGTACTGCCGCTCAACCAGGTCAGTCACGGGGCGGCATAAACACGACTTCAGGTAATCAAAACAGCTGCCTGACCCCAAGTCGTCCTGATACGCCACGTCCGCTTCCAGATCAAAGTATATGGAGATATGGGACCGAGCTCATGACTGATCATGTTCGGCAGAGCGTGGAACCCGAGATCCCCGTAACCAACTGGATACGAGAATCAACTCCAGCTTATGAGGACAGGTCCAATACTCCCTCTCCCTGCTCGCGTAGCGACAGGGATGTTGAGATGCAAAATGCACCAGGTTACCAAATTCCTAGTCCTCCCCCGGAGGCCACATCTTCTCCTCTCAAGTCACATGAGCCAACTATCATACGACCTGAGTCGCCTAAGAAACTTGCCGCTCCTCCTGTACCTGATGATATACCAACCTTGAAGCAACCAAAGCGTGGCGAGAGGCGAAAGTCTGGGATTCAAGGCGGAAAGGTTGAGAAAAGGTCCGTCACGGGCTCAAAGGCGAAGGGAGTTCCGAAAAGCAGGAATCTGACTTGCAAACCTACTACTTCGATGGGGAAATTGATCGAACAGGCCAAGAAGGCTTCTTCGGCCAACGATCAACAAGAAGCTCTGAAACCAAAGTCGGTTGGAAATGTAGCCGCGGCCGTGCAAAAGATTGAACAAGAACTCCAGAAACAAAAGGACGGCAATCCAGTGAGACGAAGCCAGCGGGCAAACAAAGGGGTTAGACCTTTGCCGTAGCTGCTGCCCCAAGGATTTGAGTGAGAGATAGACTTGTATACTATACCAATTATATCTAGAGGTTTGGCTAGTTTATTTCTGAATCATATCAAGTATTTGGGGGATATAATATCTACTTGTACTTTGTCCCTTCGGGTCTCGCAAGAACGAACACCCGTCGGTTCGTCTATGATTGGCCAAGAGTCGACGGGCTTCTACTCGTACAAGCATGATGCATCCCTCTGTGCAACCTTGGATACATGTTTCATTCAACTTCATTTCATCCATACTTGGCTTCGACCCCTACTTTGTCCTTCGGTGACTCGAAGCAGACACACAAAGAGCTCCGAGCTGTTCCAGTTGCAAGGCTAACGTACGGCAGAGTCTCTATCTGGAACCCACGAAGAAACATTGATTGAAAAGATGGCACTCCCAATGCCAGAGCCAACTGTTCCTCCTCTCCCACTGACCCAATACAGGGCGTTATCATTCGACATCTACGGCAGCCTGATCGAATACAAAGCTCACATACTCGACGCATTTCAACCGTTAATCTCACGTCTCCCCGCATCGTCACCGTATCGGAACCCGGCACCACTCTCGACAACGGTGTCCAACCCAGCCAGCGTTGGGTCTATCGAGTTTCTGAAGGCTTTTCAACGACAAGAAGACGCCATCAAGCTGGAAAAGCCGGTCAAACGGTTCGACGAGATTTTGATGGAAATCTGGAGACGCCTGGCCCGAGAACTCGACGTTTCTAGCAGTGAGGAGGAGGCGCGGGCCTTTGGCAGCGAGGCGGTCATAGCCAGCTGGCCTACATTTCCAGGGACATTGGACGCCTTGAAGTCTCTGGGCAAACACTACAAACTCGTGGCTCTATCGAACGTCGACAACTACGCGTGGTCGATCACTTCGACGTCACCGGTGAGCAAGCTGGGCGAGGTCGACTGGTGGAAGGCTTTCACGGCCGAGGACTTTGGGGAAGAGGCCAAACGTGCCGACGAGATCAAGTTGGAGACGGTCGTGGATTACTGCGCCCGGAACGGAGTCGAGAAGGAAGAAATCCTGCACGTCGCCCAGAGCCTCGGACACGACCAGGCGCCGGCGAAGAGATTGGGGATCAGCAGTGTCTGGTTGATAGGCGACGGGCCGAGATGGGGCAAAGAGGCCGAGAGTAAGATGGCTCTGGAGAAGAAGTTGGTGGGATATGCCTGGAGATTCGACGACTTGAGAGCATTTTCCGAGGAAGTCGAACGTGCCTTTAACAGGGAGTGACACAATGGCGACCACATCACTTGCGGTCACTCGAAATACACCCCATGATAACGACCAAACTTCAGAATTCCAAAAGCCTTTCCATGACACGTTTCATCTTTCATCTCGAAATCACAATTCCTTTCGACGGTTTGACAACAAGAACTCACAGAGTGGCTCTGCTTGGCGTGGTGTGGGTTTTTGAGCGTTTGACACCTGAAAGCCCGTTCGGCCGGGTGTCTTGGTGTTTTCTTGGATTTCTTGACATCAAACAACTTTCACTCCCATTTGAACATTTGCACGTTCCATACTCACGATATTGGTATTCATGTCTTCAAAAAGGAGAAGATCAAAATAAAAAAAGAATAGGTCATATCTATAATTCAATACTTTTTTCAATAATGGCTAGCACACGAACCTCACCCTTATCGAAATAGCGACCGCGAACCCGGAGTTGACGGTGGGGCTCGGTCAGGGAGCCCGTCAAGACCGCAGCCCTTGATGCATGTCATTGGGGCCTTTTTCAGTATATTCGCACTCGGTCAACAAAATGAAGAGGGCCTCTATCAGCTTGACTCTGATCAACTTTTTCAATCCTTCAAACCCGACCTACAAACAGAGTCATCAGACTCGGCGGACCATGTCGTCGTCGCCAACGACAACAACAAGTACGCACCATGGTCATACCGACCCATTTGTACGGATGTCCTCGAGGAGATAGACAGCGAACTTTGTGTGTACACCAGCACCACTTTTGCCGGGGGTCGAGGGTTGTCTTTGTTCACGACCCCTCGTGTCGCCAAACAGATGATGATGTCGTCGGCGTGGTCGACCTTGTTCATTGACGACTCTTCGTCATCCGACAGTACCAATTCTGCACTTGGGCCGAAAGTCGAGGTCAACGCCGATGACACCGCAAAATGGTACACGAAACCTGTCCCGGGCAAAGGTATGGGTATGTTTGCCAAATCACCCCTGGATCGAGGAGATTTGATCATGGCCACGACTCCCATCTTGATTGCATTTTCCGAAAACATCCTCGACGCGACCACCCGAGAAGAGTATTTGCGCGTCGCGATCGATCAACTCCCCGGCCAGACACGAGACACGTATCAGAGGTTGGCATCCTTGTCCAAGGACGAGCCCGAAACAAGAATCCAAGACACCGCGGCGGCCAACACTTTCGGTATCACCCTGGCGGGACACTTCGCCCATCTCGCAGTCTTCCCCGAGGCTTCACGTATGAATCACGATTGTTCTCCCAATGCACAATTTCGTATCGACAATGAGACCCTGACACAGTACGTCCGAGCCGTCCGTGCCGTTGGCGACGACGATAAAACAAACGACAATGACAACGAAGAACTCACCATTGCATACACCAGTCCTCTTGACGACTGGAAAGACCGACAGGACTATCTCTCTCGTTCATTCGGGTTTCGATGTGGTTGTGCTCGTTGTCGTCGAGGACAGAAAGCGGACTCCGAGGCTTTGTCGGAGATTTACAACCTACAATCAAGTTTACAATCAAGTTTGACCTCCTCCTCCTCCTCCTCCTCCTCATCATCGTCAAAGACAACCGGTAGCGTGGTGGCTGAAGTCGAACGTTTGATCAGGTTGTACGAAAGAGAAGGTCTACAGGGTTACATGGACCCGGTGTATTGTCTGGCGGCCTTGATCTACAGTTCCATCGGGAGTAAAAGGGGAGTCGGGAAATACGTCGACCTCGCGGTAGAGGCGATCGAGTTGAGGTTGGGACCGGAAAATCAAGACATTCCGATCTGGAAAGAAATGGCCAAACAACCGGAACGACATTGGAGTTGGAAGAGGAGGAAAGCCAAGCAATAAAAAGACTCCCTCTAAACAATATCAAACCTCTTTTGTTCTGGTCCTTTAATCTGTCAATATTGTGTGTGTGTGTGTGTGTGTGTGTGTGTGTGTGTGTGTGTGTGCGTGTGTGTATTTACCTGTATGTGGTAATACTAGTCTAGTCTATAGTATAATCCATGATATGAGGGTATCTCAAGTTTCGTCTAATCATTTCATTTATAATTTCATTTCGCCGACATGTTGTGAAACAATCTTTTCCCCCATTTCCGGTTTCCAAGTTTTGTGTACTCCGTACCTGTATCACTCTTTTTTGCCAATCGTAACCAAACGAACCAAAACCCCCTCGCCACCAGAACTCTAACACACCGATTGACCATGACGAGTATCAGCCCATTGAGAATGAGACAGAAGAAAGCAAAAAAAGGTTTCGCCGACGACATGACGTTCCCATCGCCGGCGACCGAGTGAATCGTAATGTGTTCCAAAAAAAAAAAGAGACGGAAAGGTTTTTCATCTCATCTTCGCCTTTTCCTTCTTCTTACATGCTTCTTTGACACCTTTCCCCACGCGTTCCAGGAACTGCCACTTGGCCCGGTCGTCCTCGAAGACCAGATACCCATCGAAACTGCGGGCTTTTGTGTACTTTGTGATTTTCCTCACGACCTCGGCGACGTTCACGTCACTCCACTCTTTATCCGTCAACACGTCACCAACACCACCACCACCACCACCACTGTCGCTCTCACATCCGCTCTCGGGGGGAGAACAGACGGCGGCCTCTTCACCGTAAGCCATACCGACGACCTCGGGGATGGGTAGGATCTGGAGGCAACTCCCCCCGGAGCGAGGCAGTCGGGACAGTTCGCAGACCCGAGGACAGACGATGTTGTTTTGAGGCACGAGTAAGATGATCTGGTTGCGAGGTTGAGACAGGAGAGTCGAGATGGTCGTGTAGGTGTGTGGGTAGGTGACGGATCTTGAGGTCGGGCAGGACAACAGGTACGTCCTGCTCTCGAGGACCGTCGTCGAAGTGGTGGCGGCATTGTCATGTTTCAGTGACGACGACTTTTGCTTGTTGTGACGGTAGGAAAGTAGGAAACTGCGCGGAGAGTCCGGGCGGCACGACGATGTATCTTTGGGAGACGAAGGGCACGGAGAAGGAGTATTGTGCGCTCTACGTGCCGTCGAGTTACGCTTGTTGGCGGTCACGGTGTGCTCTCTGGGAGTCGTCGTCGACGTCAAGGAAGCGGTCGAAGATGAGAGGGGGCACGGCCCGGCTGCGTAGGCAAAGTCCCAACACGAAACGCCTGGACATTCCATGATGCCTTTTTCTGTTGCGAGGACGGTGGTGGTGGTGGTGTTTGATTTCATCCCTTTCGAGCCTGCCTTTATGAATGAAACGATAAATGGCAGAGGTCGGGCTCGGGAGGGGGCCTTGAGGTCCTTCTGGTGTCAGGGTCGATTTATTGGAGTCTTGAAAGACACGAGGTTCAGCTTCGGTCGCCGATACGATGATTGGTGTCGGTGAGTTCAAGAAAGACCTGCTTGCTTATCTTCGCCTGACGTGAGCTGATGGTTTCCCTTTCTTGGCTATAACATGGTATAGTAGTTCGTCGGGTCTTCAACGAAAGCTTCAAAACATGTCGCCATTGGAAAAAGAGTGGCACAAGTGGGCAAAGGGGTAAATATACCCAAAGACCACGAGTGGGTTAGACACCCATGTATGATAAGTCAGGACATTGGGCGCTTCCCTTTTCCCCCTTGCTTCCCGTCCGTTCTGAGGTGGCCACATCCAAGCGAGAATAAAAATTCGCCGCAGGCCACTGGAAACGAGCAGGAGAGGGAATGGGTCCGGGGGGGAAATGCGACGGTTGGCCATATACTGGGAAGGTCATTGCAGCTGATGGCATGGGGGGGGGGAAGGGGAAGTGTCATGCGAGCGAGGAATTTTCTCGGTGGTCTTTGTTTGGGTGAATCTCGTGATGGTTGCTGCGTGTTGAGGAGAAACGCCGGTCCCAGCCGATGATCCCGATATCGATATGATAATAACGGATTGTCTCGATTATTGTTGCACTGTATGATCGACATTTTACGTCCAACAACCGAGGTTGTATTTTTTTTTGGCTTGGATTGCAAGAGCTGCAAATATAGTCTGCATACTCGTACTCTGCACAGACAGATCTTGTTCTCGTTCCTTTGTTGCTCAAGTTCTAGGCGAAATAGACTCGCTTTTTGACAATTGATCTGCAGATGTACTCTTAATGATTTCAGAGACTAAACTCACTCCTTCATCGACTCGTGGGTTCTCGTGTTTTGAATGAGAGTAGAAGTGACAGATATATTTCAATCCAAGAGTCAACCCAGGATTTGATCCGTATGAGCCTGTTGAGAAATTTGCATTCTATGCACGACGTGACACGCGAGACAGAACTCAGACTGGCATACTTTTTTTCTTTTTCTCTTTTCTTTGTTAAATGTCTTGATGTCACCGACCATCACCTCGTATCTGAGTGTGCCTCTTACGTGTTGTGAGAGTTCCTGAGACTGCAGACCAAAATATGAGGTCGGCGTTGTTTTGGGAATTTGAGAGTACGAAGACAGATAAAAGATGACGACATGGGATGGAAGAAGTACGTACATCCCTCCCTGAAAGTATCATTTAGTGACCGGTGTTCTTTCCTTTGTACTCATACTTATTGCTTGGACCTATTACTGAAAAGAAATAATGTTTCAGTCGGTGCACCTGTACCAACCGAGTGAGCAAGTAAGATCGGGCATAGTCAGTCACTACAGCTACACAGTAACTGAAGCTGCCAGTTTGTACAATTTGATGGCCCACGTGCCACGAGTTCGTCGATCGCTTTGACAAGTTGTGGCTGTGCGCATGGTTCGAACTAATGGTCTCAAATTGGTCTCCCCGTAGTCACAACGGCAAATTCCAAGCCAAGGCCATCTCAATATCCGTTAGCAAAGAATGATGTCGTTGAGAGGCACGACAAAGAACACGACTGACGACAGTGGCAGGGGGGAGATGCACCCGAGCGCTGTCGATAGTCTCGTTTCATTGGCCCGTTGCCGTGGAGGACAAACGAAGAAGGAAATGGATTCCAAGGTTTTGTTGATTTGATTGGCTCGATCTCCGCGACGTCACTTTCTCCCATATGACGTCGGCGTCTTTTCCTTCACTTTCTGAGCTGAGGACGAGCCATTGTGTTGGTCGTACTTCGTATTGAATGCCTTGACCAGCATCAACTCTGACAGGGGTGCCCAGGTATATAAACACCCTTCTGCACCCCCCTCATGCACCATCTGTTTCTTCTCTCCAGCAACAACCAGCCACATATTCAAGCAATCATCAAATCATAAACACTTCCACAAGACTTCCATAGTCAACAAACAACCAACAACTTCATAATGGATACCCTCAAGTACGCACCCTACCTACGACGCAACCCTTTCCATCATACTGACCACTGATCTATCAGGAACGTCGGCAACTACGTCTCCGAGACCATCTCGGGTGCCACCTCCACCGCTTCCAAGGAGGCCAACAAGAACGTCGCCAAGGACAGTGACGCGAAGCTCACCACCCGAGCCCAGGCTGCTGGTGATGCCATCGGTGACAAGATCGATGAGCAGGCACACGAGCGCAAGGCCGATGTCCACAAGGAGGCGGCCAAGCACTAGACAACCCTCAAGGTCAAATGAAATCATGATCAAGGGAGAAGGGCGGAGTTTTGTGTCTGTGTGTTTACCATTGAAGATCAAAGTCCAGGAGGAATACATGAAGGAAATTGCCCATGATACCCCCTCAGTTTCAAACATGGTTATACAAGTCCTCTTGAAATAGGTCGATACTCCGAATAATGTTGAATTCCCAAATGAGCCTGTTTGTTTAAAATTGTGATTGTTTCGTAACCATTGACATTCTTGTAGCCAGAAGACAATAATAAGTCCTTCCTTGTGTTTGTCGTGTGCGTCGCCATCGCCTCAAGCTATCCGGGGTGTTTCCTTCCGCACAAACTGACTATATTTCTTTATGCCCCCGACCTTCGAGAGCTTCAGCAGCCAAGGTCCTCATTCGTTCACGTTCGAGAGGGTGAATATTCTCGAGTGCTGCATCAACGTCTCGTCGCCGACTTGCAATCACTTCACTGGCACCGCCGTCAGAGAGGTAACTTGGAGGTCGGTATCCCACTGAATGTTGCACTTGGGACATGGCTTCATCGTAGGTCGGGGTCAGGGGCGAAGGCACCACTTCTACCTGCTTGGTGTATACGAAATTCGGGTTGATCCTCTAACGTAACAAATGTCAGCGTTGCGGGACGACTCACGGTCTCAACAATACGACTAGAGTACACTCACCATGCTCGTTCGCGTGTTACCGTACGTGGGCGGCGGTTTAGGAACTGTGGGGACATTTCCTGCCTCTAGATCAGGACCGAGGCCGTCGTCGTAACCCATGTGGATTTGAATCGGCTTCTCCGGTGGCATCTCATCCCGGTCTTCAATGGTTTTCGAGGCCGGTCCTCGTCCCTGTCGATGTCTGGACGCATGCATAGTTCCATTTCGACGTTTCGCGCCGTGTCTTTTCAGCATCAACATACTGAGGAACTGGTGAAAGAACACCCCGGCCAAGGTCAGAATAAGTAGGATGGAAAGCACGTGGAACATTATTCCTCTGGCAGTTCCCGTAAAGGCCAACACCGCATCTGCTAATAGTTCAGCAAGCCATCAAGCCTAGTCGACGTAGATGTATTATTGAACCTACATATGATTATTGCAATGAGGAGTGTGATCCCAAACGCAAAACTAATTCTCGCCTTCGCACTAACCCTGGAGGCATGCTTTGACTTGGCTGACCTGACAACGCGTCGTCGAGTAACTCGGCTGGATGAATGAGTGCTTCGACTTCCGCCTCTCGAAGAATTTGTGCTCCGACTCCCGCTTCGTGCAGAGGAGTGTCCGCTGCGACTACTACCACTGCGGACCGAGCGTGTTCCCCGATGGCTGGAAGCGGACCGTGGATCGCCCATGTTCCGCGCGCGTGAAGCTGACTCTGGACCCATGGGTTGACCGACGGGGAGACTCGCGGCGTACATGTCAGAGCTCTCATCTACATCTCGCCGACGGGCTGGAAACGACGCGAAGTTCCTTTCTTGAGACATTTCGTTGTTGATATGTGCTTGTCCTGAATAGACTGATCTTGAAGTAGTAGGCAATGCGCCCCGACCGAACAAATTGTTCCGGCTAGCTGACCTTGATGTGGAGAGAAACAAAGGGACAAGAAAAGTCTTGCCGGGGGTTCTCGTTGAGCTGGATGAACTGGCAGTAACTTGACTTGATCGCAAGAGACGCGAAAGGCGGCCAACAATGGTCGGGGCCGGGTTGGATGGCGTCGCGTGTGAGTTCGACCGCTCCATTTGGCAACTAGAATTGTAATCGAGAGGAGAGGAGAGGAGAGGAGTTGACGGTCGAGAGTACGGCCTTGTAGACAACAAGAGGGTGGAAGAAGGGGTTTATGAACCTCACGCGTGTGGCCTACCTGGAGTCACGAAATGATGAAGACGTGACGAAGATCACAACAACAGAGCATCACACATACGTGCCGCGCTGAGACTGGCACGTTAGAGAAGCAACCGCTTCAAGGGCCAACAAGCTCGATCAAAGGTTGCCCAGGGGAAGCTCCCTGGGGGTCTCGCAAAAGCAAGGAGCAACATGGGAGGCGTTGGTGGCACTGAAACATTATGAGATTTCAACCGAGAGAGTACTAAGACTTGACAGGGTGAAATTGAATTCCAGAGGCGAAAAGGCAAGCACTGAGAGTTGAGCTTTACAACCTCTCAATCATGGACTAACAAGGAGTAAATCTCTGTGCGTCGAAAGTGACGAGTCGCTTCGATATAAAGACGCGATCTGAAACCATCCGGAAGACGCGTTGTTCCGCTTCTCTTGGCGCCACATTGTGCCTCGACTATCCGCAGTACCGAGCAATCTATTTGACATGTTACCACTCAACGATTTGGTGGCTCAGCCGTTGAGACGGGAGATGTCGTCGAGTGATATTGTGCGTCTCCCCGGTGTTTGCATCCTAGATGTCTGTAAAGAGGAACCTTGGACACAGTTGCCAACAGACACAACTATGCCACCATTGCATCCAGCTGGCTACATCCGCGACCATGTCCGTACGTTTACTTCTTAACGTCAGATACGAGCAGGTTCTGGCCATCCAGAGAAGAATACCTGGTGAGTCGTGACCTCGACCTGATGGCCCCATGGCCACATCCTTTGTATACCTCTTATCAGCACGGCCGGCCATTATCAAAAAGCCATGTCGATGTAGGCCCGGAGGGTTGGCATTGTTCAAGTCATCTCTTCTAACCATAGGCCGATAGAGCAACTGGAGCTTGCAAAACGACTGCAAAGGCTTGCAATGTCGCTTGTGACAGGAATGCCATCTACAATGGTGCTCTCATAGCCTGGGAAAATGAAGACACTGAGACTCTTTTCCTTCTTTTTTCTTTGGATCATCATCTGCCGAGTTCACCAAGTAGGATATTTCGATCAGTCGAACCCGATACAACTATGACACGTTAGCTCAAAACCCGAATATCTTGCGTCGATGCGGACTTACTGATCGGATCCTCTGTAGGCGAGAACCGTACATCATTCACGGTGCCCTTGTGTCCAGGTAACTTGTAGAGTAGTTTGGCGGAGTGAGCATCCCATACTACCACGGTTCTGTCACCAGATCCGGCACAAATCTTGTCACCTTTCGGGCTCCAGCTTGCTCTTATCAAATTCTTCTCGAATCCAGCAGGTGCACCGTCATATGTACGGACAGCGCGGTCCACTGGTGCAAAAGGTCGGATGTCCCAAGTTCGCACCGTCGAATCATGAGAATTGGATAAGAGGGTTTGGGAATCGGGTGAAACTTCCAGAGATGTGATGGTGTCTGCATGGCCACTGAGCGTATATGTGACCTCCATTTTCCGAGCGTCCCATACTTTTATGTCGTTGTCAATACCGCCAGAATATATCTCATGTCCTTGTTCAGCCATGGCCACTGCGGTGATGGGAAAGTCGGTCTCGATATAGTCGACTGCCGCTTTCTGCCGCGGGTCCCATATGCCTATGCAGCCATCATCGCTGCCGCTCAAGAGGAGATCTTGGCCTCTCCTACTTAAATCCAGACAGTTGACAACCTCTTCGTGTCCGACATGCTTGCGTATTCTCAGACCTGTCTCAAGATCCCAACTTGCAACCGTCATGTCTGCAGACGCAGAATATATTGTTTTTGAATCTCTTGACCATTGCAGATCCAGGACTGCGCCTTTGTGGCCCGTCATGATACCATAGTTTTCACACTCTCCGTAGGTATTCCATAGCACTAAGATAAGCGGCGTTAGATATGGCTCTCGGGCTCGGAGGGAAACATGCGCTTACTTATAGATCGATCCATGGAGCCGGAAGCAATATGTTGACCTGTAGAATCGAATCGCACTGCAAAGATCTCGCCGGAATGCCCTGCTCTAGTTAGCAACTACCTTTGCACAAAAGGAAAGCAAACACATGCCGGTCAATTCCATTATGGGCGCAGGCAGCGCACTCGTTCGCAAAGACTGGAAAGGTTCATTAGCAGGGTGTCTCGTGGTAATTTCATACGACCACATACTGCTGGTACAAGTGCTCCATCTTGCCCCTTCGCACCGACTGTTATGGCGCGACTGTCGTTGAGATCTGAATTGGACTTCTGTCTCTTAACCAGAGATTGCGGTTGGCTGAAGCTATCCGAAGCCTGGCGCTTGATAGATGGCATCATGGTTGCGGGTGACGAGGTCGAGTGTGGAGGTAGCAATTAGAGCTTTGATACACGAAGAAGATCAGTCGCGACGAAGATATATGAAGCGCTTCCGACACTGCGTGAACTTTTTCTCAATCACTTCTCCAAATATTTCCAGACTCACATGCGGGACACAGAAGTATGCACTTGTGGTGTCAATGCTTGACCATACAAGTTATGCTATCCCAGTGCTTCGCCTTACGAATGATGCGAGGACAAATGTGATTACAAGAAGAAGTACTGCGTATTCATATAGTACTAATCGTCAAATGTTTCTTAATAGATAGTGCATGTTTCTGGTGTGACTTGGAGCATCGATAATAAGTCTGACCGTGGACCTTTAGCCCACCACTCCTCAAATGACAAAGCGTGCACGATATGGGCCATCGCGCCAACGGTATTCAGGGTAGAGTCACGAAGACATTACGGAGAACCGAGATGGGTTCGCAGCTGAGTAAGAGCGTCCTTGAGGCTGGCATTCAATGCTTACCTGATACTCGGACGCGGCGCTACAAATACGAGGTTGTTGCGTAAAATGTATTAAAAGCTTGACCAGCCCAGGATGCGACGTTAGAGCAGCATTAGGTCGAGCCAGATGATCGTCTTGGCGTGGGTGTATCTTCGGCCTCAGCCTCGTTTGTTCAACAACATCGACTTCTGCTAAATCTTTGACAACGATACCAGCCCATCCCCTTGATATGTCGACGAGGGTAATTGAGATGTGGGTTCTATAAGTGTTACATCTATCGCCCTTCTTGATGGCATCGAGCCAGAAAGCCGCCCGCGTGGGCGAGGAGTACGTCAGTGTCTTCGCCAGTTGTTCTCCACTAATTCGTCGTTGAATAGGATATGGAAGTACGGACATCTTCAATATGATGGATGCAAGAACTCTAATTATATCATAGAACCCGGGTTGATAAAGTTAACGCCGAATTGGTGACTCTTACCTATGGCACCATTGTCGCCCAGCTATGCACCGACTATGAGTATGACTACGCCCAGGTTAATCAGCAACTCGACAAGATGGGCTACAATATCGGCATGCGGCTCATCGAGGATTTCCTGGCAAAGTCAAACACTGGTCGTTGCGGCAATTTTAGAGATACAGCAGACATGATCTCAAAGGTAGCCTTTCCGCAAGTACTCTCGATGATCGAGCTAACGAGAATGCTAGGTTGGATTCAAGATATTCCTCAATATAACTCCAACCGTCACAAATTGGAGCGCAGATAACAAACAATTCTCATTGTTGTTTGACGAGAATCCGCTGGCCGATTTCGTTGAGCTTCCAGACGACGGAAGGGCACAAGATGAATTATGGTTCTCCAACATCCTCTGTGGTGTGTTGCGTGGTGCATTAGAGATGGTACGTTCTGGACCAATTTTCAACTGGCGAAGTTTGCTCACTTGGATATGCATAGGTGCAAATGTCAATCGAGGCACACTTCGTGAGTGATGTGTTGCGAGGGAACGATGTCACTGAGATTCGTGTCACCTTGAACCGATATATCGAGGATGAGATGCCTCCCGATGATGAATAAACAGAAGAACAAGGCAGCTCTTCTGGCCGCTTGCAACCAGAGCCTCACGTCGACAAATCCCAACGTTGATGGGATATGTCCGCCGGTCGCCGATCACGTGCCAGGACCAGCCCCTTTTTGAACAGGACGAGATATACGGAGTACCCAGCACGGTAGCAATCAATTAATTACTGCCGGAGGATTTCTGTATTCTACGTACGGAGTGACCCCTGAAACAGTTTCAGCAATCCGCCAGGGGCAGGGGCAAATGCTTTCTAGAAGCCGACTGGGAATTGTAAACTGATCAAACAATTCGAAATGAAGCGATTGCGGTCCGAATACCATGGTCAAAGGAATAATAATGATCAATAATATGTTTGCTGTTTATCTCGTCGAGGTGAGGTTGTTGGGTTGTTGCCAAGGACCCCGCCATCGTTGGCCCCTATTCAGGGCAAGCGTGCTGACCTGTACGCGGGACATCGTAGTAGGGCTGAAGCTAGGAGAATTGTGAGTGGCTGGACGGTGGTCAGACTGGTTCGCCGTGTCGCTGCTTGCTGAGTCTTCGGTTCCTCCCTCTTCGCTCTCGAGAATTTTGCCTGCGCCCTGAGCGTTTCTCTGCAGCCGACAGCGCAGCCTAACCAGTGAGGCCTGCCAACCTGTCGTTCCTCAGCAATCTAAACCTCACTTTTTGCCTCGTCCACCGTCACTTGTCACCCCATCCCATCAACATTTCCCTCTTTTCCTTTTCACGATTTATATCCTGGGCCTCGTCCGATATATTCTCGCCTTTATTGTACCTCTCTGTTGCCGATAGAAGTCTCTCTACCACCCCGGTCACGTCGAGCCCTGCAACCTTGCGCTTCAGTCTTAGCCCGGCCTGCCGATAATTTGTGGCTGTCGCGTTTCGTCCACAAAGCACCTCCCAAGCCGCCTCAATACTCGACCATCTCTGCCCAAAGAAGCCTTTCAAATCTACCTGCGACCCTAGAAGATGAGACTTTCCTCCCTCTTCTGATAGTCGGTGTCGGTTTGCGCGACCGGCTTCTCTCCACCTTTCTGCAGGTCCTCGATCAATTTACCTCCAGACCCACCTGATACACTTCTACGACCGCAGTCCCTGCCTTGCTTGACGCGCTGTACTCTTGCCCTTTCGCGCTTGTGAAGATCGAGGAATCTCGACTTTGTCCCGAGATATGATGAATATGGCCGGCATGAATCCTCCAGCGGTGGCTGGAGGTCCCGTCGGCGGCGGAATGATGATGAACAACGGAAGCCCAGCGATGCAGGTCAACACCAGCCAACCACCCGACCAGGTCAAAGCCCAACTGAACACTTACATCTACGAATACTTCCTGAAGTTGGGGCTCTACGACCATGCGAGACGGCTGGTCGGCGAAGACAAGTTTGAGATGCGTACCAAGCCTGCCGTCAAGCAAAGTCCTGGCCGCCGTAAGGATGGAGAAGTGAACGGAGTGGATGCAGATGCCATGGACACCGACGTTAAAGATGATATACCAGACGACTTGCCTCGCCCCATGCACGCCGCGGAAAACACGCCCGGTATAGGTTTTCTCTTTGAATGGTTCAGCATTTTCTCAGACCTTTTTACTGCTCACCAACGATCAAGTAAGATGCAGGGTGGCCAAGGCGCAAACATGGGCGCGGCTGCGCAGTACTTGATGCAGCATCAGGTAAGACTTGGCCATTGTGGTCCTCAGCCCGATATACTGACATTGTCGTGCAGAGTATGCAACGCATGCGAGAAAATCAGCAGAGTCAGAATCTTGCCCGACCAGGCATGGTTAACCCTAACCAGTTTGCCATGCGTGCCAATAACATGCGCAACAACATCATGAATGGCACTGTTCCGAGGGAGATGGCTAACAAAATGTAAGCCTCTTATACCCCCTGCGCGCGATCGTTGATGCTTACTGTTACTAGCACCCCTCAGCAATTGCAGCAAATGAGTAAAGTTGCCATGATGCAACAGCAGCAACAGATGCAACGCGAGCAGGGCGATGTTGACATGAATGGCCGCCCCTCGTCTCCAGCCGAAGGTGACAACGGTGGGTCTCCGTCCAAGAGGCCACGACTTGAAGGTCAACAGTTCAACGGTGGCATGATGCCTAATGTTAGGCCAGGAATGCCCAACGTGGCGCCTCAGAATATGATGATCCAGAATGCCTTCAATCCTAACATGAACAACGGCCAATTCCGGCAAAATGGCGGCATGCCACAGAAGCCCATGCAGGTAAGCTAGACAAGCTGTTGAACGGACTTGGTCAATACTAACTGTGAACAAGGCCGGCATGGCAAATGGTATGATGCAGATGGGCGGCGCTGGCTCCCCCATGATGCAAGGCATGAATCCTGCTCCCTTTGCCGGGGACATGCCGTTGGAATTGTATAATCAAAGAATGAGCCAAGGGCAAATGCAAGGGACACCAGGTGGCGGGCAGAGCGGGAACCATGCTCTCCAAGACTATCAAATGCAACTGATGTTGCTTGAACAGCAAAACAAAAAGAGGTTGATGATGGCGAGACAAGAGCAGGACAATGCCGTTAATCGCGATGGCGCTCCCATGGTTGGCATGCAGGGCGGTATGTCACCGTCGGGAAGCCGAACAGGTACCTCTCCAAACCCTGCCGATCAAATGAAGCGAGGCACTCCACAACTCGGAGGCTTGCCCGGGTCACCTTCAGCTGCAGATATGGCAGGTAGGTCACCAGCCGGCATGAACTTCATGAATGGCATGCCCGGTGACTTCAACCCAGCCATGTACTTGAAAGATAATCAAGGAATGGTCGGACCTGGTGGCCCTAACATGAGACCACCAACCTCCATGGACATGCAGCAAGCCATAGCGCGTCAACAACAACAGGCCCGGATGTCAGGACAATTTCAGGGTGGTCAGCCTATGGTCCAGCAGCCTTCTCAAGGTCAGCCGGCGCCTATGGGCACTCCTGGGCAAAGGAACGAGATGCCGCCTCCTCAAGCTCCAGCTGCGGGCAGTGCTCAGCGCAATCAGCCAGGATCTCCTCAAAGCACCAATGCACCACCTACACCGTCCACGACCAACAAGCCGAACCCCAAATCTAAGAAAGCCAAGGAGGATAGCAACAAGAAGAAACCCGCAAAGAAGAACTCGACGGCGAATGCAGCAAGCTCAGAGAACGAGCCGCCTGCCACTCCGACACCTTCGACACCAATAACGCCAGTGCATCCCCAAGGATTCGGCGGTCCAGCTGGCAAATCTGGTGCTGGTGGCATGGGTAACGCCACTCAAGCCCCGGCAGCAGCTCAGCCTATGCCTCCTGCTCAAGCTCCTATGCACCAGCCCGATCTTCAACCCAGCTTCACCGACAATTTCGGTCCGGACCAAAACTTCAATCTCGACTTCAGTACATTGGAAAATACCGATGTTCTTGAGAACTTCGATTTTGACAGTTTCCTGAACACGACAAACGATGACACATTCAATTTTGATGGTGCTATCGGAGTGGGTGGAGATTTTGGACTAGAGCCTGGAGAATAGCTGGCACAAGCTACTCTGCCAACCCCTTTGTAACATCTAATTCCTTTGGCGTTGTTCTTCTACAGTGGCCTCTAACGCATGGAAGGCGAATGTGTACGCCGTCTTCCGGCAACGCTGTGGTGTTTGAGATACTTTTCACATTGGTTACAATACCCGCTGCTTCGGACAGGACGAAAATGACTTATTGAGTGGACATAACTTCACGGGTTATATGTGGTAGTGTTGGTTTTGGGACTTTCCAGGCGCCTAATCGTTAAGTTGTTGTTGTTGTTGTTTTTTGGACAATTGATGCAGCATTGCTGGCGTACAAAGAAGAGCTCTTGAATGATCAGCCATCTTACCTCAAGCCAGATTTCTCCCGTTTTTCGCTGAGCCAATCTTTTCTACCTGAACGTGAGACGCTGATGCTTTGGCCAGTTGCAGCTTCTGTGACGATATTTTCTGTTCAGCGTCGACCCAAGTCGCAACTGCCGTGATCCCAAGAACCGCAACTGCAAGGACGCACACCTTTCAGCTGGTCTTTCTTCCCAGTTGCTTTCATCTCACACAATGGCTACTTGATCAACATCATCAGCCTTGGTGCAATGTCATTACAGTAGCCGAATCCTGCTTGCATACCAAAAACATGCGATATCAACACTGGGATGTGCTTTTGTTCCCTGGAGACTCCAAGATTCCGATCCAAGAATTTGACACAAGGTGTTATGCCTTGGAACAAGGTGAGAAGTTCTTCCTCTCCACCTCCGTACTCTTGAAGTGATGCTAACAAATAATCAAGCATCGTGCCTTCAAGGTCTTGACTTCAATCGCAGTAACTATGAATCAATGAACATCCTCCCTACCCTCACATGTTTTGTGGCAAGTCTCGAACGTGGATCATCCTTTCGCATCTCGATTCATAGCTGGGAGAAGCCGAAAGCGTCAAGCTTGCTCCTGAGGTCGAAAAGGGCGGAAGAGATTGTTCTGTTCGAAGCCAATGTATACGTGGACGGAATATTGACAGCGTCTGATGATAGACATTTGATCAAGGCGCCAGAGCTGACATTGCTGCCAGACACCGGACATTCGAGGACGGCGCCTGGCCAGAGGTCATTGGTATGTGGCATGTTGCTTTTGCGGAAACTTTTTGATGGACTGACGGCATATAGCAGATGGAGGTGATTTCCCCTTTGCGATCGGGCTTGCCAGAAGTTAACACTCAGAAGAAGGTCACCACCGTCTCCGTTTTCCCAGCGTTCGCAAAGAAGTTCTTCAACAGCCACACTGGGTGCCTGGTGACCCTGTTGGTCGGATCAAGGTTGTGATCGCTGAGGGAGTCCTACGAGACACCACTCCACCGAAAGCCTCAGCCACCACATTTGACCGATTTCGGGATGTTGTCAGCTTTTCGTTTCAGCATGCACCTCAATGTGAGCCAAAGATCATGGTACCATGGTGCATAGCTAATGATTAGCAGATATTCTCGAATATTCCGGTATCGCATGGCCGAATATGCGACTCTTTGCCAGGGCTTTGAAAAGGTCAACGAGGCCCCCGCCTATTGGCAGCCGTTTACCACCAGCCACTGCGCATGAATCTCATTCGCATTCTCCTCGGCGTATGCCAGGTGCAGTGGCCCTAGAGAGACCGTCATCTAGAGACACCGAACCGTTTCAAAACTTGTTGAACGCGGAGGCGTTTTCTGATTTAAAGTCTGATTCAGTGACCAAGCCCAGCTTGTTAACTGCCACCAGAAAGGTCTCACCTACCAGCAGTGCGGAATATGAAGATCCTTTCCTTGGACCAGCGGGCTCGACACGGCACTGGAGGATGCGGATGAGGTCCAGCAGCCATGATATTCCCATGTTCGACTACTCCTCGAACTACAGCGGAGCTCCCACGGAGATGTCGGGACTTAGCTTCCCTAAGGCCAACTTTCTCAAGCACATGCGTGAAGCCAATCCAGAAGAGATCGTGGAAGCCCTCAGTCCAGTACGGAAGGAACGGCTGCTTGAAGTTCTCAGTGCATCACAAAGCCCTGCACGAGGTCCCAATCCACCAACCAACAGTCCATGTGAAACTGTACATGGCGGCCGTGCACATTCTCCGATTGACAAACTTACCACGCTTGTCGCGTCCTCAGGGGAAGCTAGTTTTTCTGGCGATGTTGAGGAAGAATTTTGGTCGAAAGCTCTACAGAAACGAGAGAGCAGTGAGGGCCTTGGATCACGAAACAGTCGGGGCGGCCCAAAAGACAAAAGCAGCAAGATTAATAGCAGTTCCAAACCGACGCCGACCTCTAGCGAAACAGCTAGACGAAGCAGTCTGGCTCCGTTAGAAGGTAGATCATCGTCGCTACGTATCTCCAGACAAAGATCGATGTCGAATGCTTCCAAACGCAAGCGTGCCTCACTGTCTCCTTCTATCAAGATCAGTACACCTGGAAGTACGATCCATGTTGTGATTGACTCTACACCGGCGTCACCAAGAAGGGAGAAGGCATTGGGACAGATACGTGGTAAGCCCAGTGGTGGTGAAATGCCGTCTCATCGACGCTAAGAGGGCAACTAGTCGACGGCGGTCATTCGGAATCATTGCTTTCTACATTGCAACGTCTTGTTGCTCGACATGACGGTCAAAACACATGTTGACGGGCGGTATGATATCAAACCGATATTGCTCTATAGCCCTCGAGAGTGCGTATACAGCACTGAGAGACCCAACACGTCTAAAATTGTATGGCTTAAGTTGGTATGATTGGGTTTGACATATGGTATATGGTGGGGATGGTATAGTATACCTTTGAATGCAGACGCAGAGAACGATGATTGAAGCTGCTCTAAGGGCGATGGAGTACTTTGCTATAGATTATGGGTTTTGTATCAAGTTATACTCGTAACAAGAGTCGGTAGCAGTAGCAAGTCCACTTGCAAACGTTGAAATTCGCATAACTTCGCTTATTCTCGGACAAAGATCTCGGGTCTGGAGTAAATTGGTACTGTACCGGTACTCGAGGTACCCCACAATGAACCGTTGTACTGTACGAATACTTGGACTGATGAAATTGCCCCACGAACATGTTAAAATCTTTTGCCTCTGGTTCACCGTGACTCACCCACTAACTGACTCATTGTATACATACCCTCTTGTTTACTGAAATCCGTTGGACAAACTGAGAAAGATACGATATTCTACAGGAGGAGTCTTTGATTCGAAATAGTCCCGAGTCCCTGACTGGATCTCTTCCGACCACCCCCTCCATCCTCCCGCCAATAAGTTGAAGCGGTCTCTAGCAGATTCAGCCTCGTGCTAGGACGGTAGCGAAGATGCCCATGTATGTTGTTGTGCCCCTTGACGACCCTCTTGCACTGCTGACCGGACCCCATCCAGGCTTCGTGAACCATGGAAGAAATACCGCAAATTCAAACCTCTTGACCTACCTGACCGCCAATGGCCCTCGAGAACGATCGACGCCCCTCCGAGATGGCTGGCTACCGATCTAAGAGATGGAAACCAAAGTCTTGTTGACCCTATGGTAAGATTAGATGTCCCGGTTCCCTCACCATGGCTGATCCTGTTGCAAGGATGGCGAGCAAAAACTGCGCTTCTTCAAGATGTTGGTCGAGTTGGGCTACAAGGAGATCGAGGTCTCGTTTCCCTCCGCTTCCCAGACCGACTTTGATTTCACGAGACACTTGGTGGAAACACCGGATATTGTCCCCGACGACGTATGGTTACAGGTCTTGTCGCCCTGTCGAGAAGATCTGATCCGTCGTACCGTTGATTCACTCAAAGGAGCGAAGAAAGCAATTCTACATTTATACCTTGCGACGAGCGAGTGCTTTAGGAGGATAGTCTTTGGTATGACAGAAGATGAAAGCCTTGCTCTGGCCGTCAAATGCGCCAAGTTCGCTCGGTCTATCACCAAGGATGACCCAAGTCAGGCAGGGACCGAATGGCTTTTCGAATTTAGCCCTGAAACCTTCTCCGACACCTCTCCGGAATATGTCATCAAGATATGCGAGGCTGTCAAGGAGGCCTGGGGTCCGACCGAAGACTCGAAGCTCATTTTTAACCTACCGGCGACCGTTGAGATGTCCACGCCCAACGTCTTTGCCGACCAAATCGAATATTTCTGTACGCACATGACAGATCGGGAAAAGATTTGTGTTTCCGTGCACTGTCACAACGACCGGGGATGCGCAGTGGCTGCCTCTGAACTCTCCCAGATGGCTGGAGCCGACAGAGTGGAAGGTACTTTGTTTGGCAACGGGGAGCGGACGGGCAATGTCGACCTTGTCACCCTCGCCATGAATCTTTATACCCAGGGAATATGGCCCAATGTTGACTTCAGCGACATCCAGAAGGTCATTCGAGTCTGCGAGGAATCGACCAAGATCCCGGTCAACGAACGGTGGCCATATGGTGGACAGTTGGTCGTTTGTGCCTTCAGCGGCTCACACCAAGACGCCATCAAGAAAGGATTCAACGAACGAAAGACTCTGGGTTCGAATCACGAGTCTCGGTGGGACGTGCCATATCTTCCTCTGGATCCTCAGGATATTGGACGTACGTACGAGGCTGTCATTCGTGTCAATTCACAATCTGGAAAGGGTGGTGTTGCCTGGGTCATTCAGAGAAGCCTCGAGCTCGATTTGCCCCGAGGATTGCAAATTGCTTTCAGTAGGATCGTCCAGAAAGAGGCAGACGCAAAGGGCCGAGAGTTGCTCCCACGTGAGATCCAGGCACTTTTCGAAGAGTCATACCATCTGAACCAGAATCCTCGTTTTACTCTGGTTGACTACAACATTACAGCAGTAAGAGCGACGTCGCCAGCACCCCCGACCAAGTCATCAGCTGGCCAACCTCCTCAGACAGTGGCACCAGCTCAGAACACGTCGACCGCCAAACGGCAATTTGCTGGTGTCATTGCTATCGACGGCGTTCAGCACCCGGTCGTCGGCGTCGGGAATGGCGCTCTGTCTTCCTTGGCCAATGCTCTGCATTCTTTGGGCATCGATCTCGATGTTGCTGATTACAAGGAACATGCCATCGGTGAAGGCCGTGACGTGAAAGCCGCTACCTACATAGAGTGTACGGCTAGCAGCTCCCACGAGAAAGTGTGGGGTGTCGGCATTCATGAGGACGTGGTACAAGCATCTTTGATTGCAATGTTAAGCGCTGCCAGCTCAGTATGGAAGTTCTCATCAGTGAAAGATTTGGGCAAGCTAACACACGCCACAGTTCCTGACATCTAGAGTCTCCACGCCTGTGCCTTTCCGACCCAAACATCTGCGACAATTTTCAGAGGCGGAGTTGGAAGCCCTCGAACGCTTGAATCTGAACCAGACAGATAGTGCCAGCAGCCCATTGAGGACATCGGTCACACTCGAGCAGCCAGCTACACCTTCCAAACTGAACATGTCAACCGCGGGTGCTGGTAGTGTGCCGGCACAAAAGGTCGACATTGGTTTGTTGGAAAAGAAGGCCGAGCTCAATGGCCACGCGGATCAGGCGTAATCCATCATGCTTTATTCAAAACTTCCATAAAACTTAAGCATTCTCTAAAATGGCAAAGTGAGGAGGGTGGTGGTGGCCATGCAAGAAAAGTTGATTCGCAAAAATGCCTGAAATGCCCTACATGAGCTTTTGTTGTATGTATCCCATCAGATTGAACTGACACTGGCAAAATGAGTATGAATTGGTAGATACCTGTCTGATCCAGTAGTGTGCACGTAGTTTGGGTCAAGCCCTAGAAGCTCAACAAACGCAACAAGTCTGTGAAGCAGTCAATGCCTGGAAGAGAATCGGACAAAACCCCCATGGGACACTAGAGTATATCGTTTTGCCTACTCCGGATGTGTCGAACGGAGGAAGCACATGCTCATGAACTGCCTGAGTTCTTGTACTACGAGTAGAAATGCCGTGGAGTACGTTGGGTATGAAGGTCCGGTGTTACGCACATGTCTGCAGGTCTTCAGGCAAAAAGGTAACCTAGGCAGTAAGCACCATTGCTCATTAATTAAGCTAGGCATGCATTGGGCACTACGCCTACATGGGCCCAGGCCCCCACGCCCCAAGCCCAGCCCCAATAGTGTCCGAGATTTGGACTGCACATGCTGGCGAAATGCCCCCGCGGCGTCCAATGGAGTCAGTATAAGCCTAAATGACCTCGTCGCTATTCGGTTCCCGGACACCGACGTGCAGGACCTAATCAAGTATGACATCTTCAGTGCATGGTGCCCATCCCCATGTCAACCCAGTCAACCCACCTTCATCCCAAGTCGCAGCGTGGATGCAACTGTTCGACTTCACCTCCTTCCCCGGAAGTACCGCCTCTGTTTCGTGTTGATTTTGATGTCGGATTGTCCACCACCCTGCGCCGGCTACAGCCTCACCACCCTTGCGACGCTCTCTTTCGACACTACCCGACAGCCATCCTGCCCCTTTGCCTTCACTCATCTGTGACTTGAGTGTCATGGTGCGAGTCATGGGAGCGGGAAGGAAGTAATCTCCATTATACCATCTCGTTTCCGACCAATACGCCCTCACGGAGCAGTCCCTACGCCTTCGACTGTGTCGGTCCCTGAGACCAAACGCCTCGAGATACTGTGATCCCTATGGCCTCCTCCACCCGCTCCTCGCGTCGCTTCCTCAAGCCGCTCGTCTACTCTGCCGCTGCCCTTGCTGGTGTTGGTGTAGCCGTCATATATGTTTCCTACAGGCCCATCAATGTCCCCGGGTCCCAGGGAGCCGTCGTCCCTGTTCTACGCACAAAAGATGGAAAAATCATACCACCTAAATTCCCCTTGATAAAGTCCCGGGCAGAGCAGATCGCAGACCTTCGAAAAAGTGGCGGGCTAGTTGGGGCAAGCTCAGAGACACAAATTACACAGCAGATCCGGAACAGCTTTGACAGACTCCGTGGCGTAACGAGCACGACAGGCGATAAAGATGCGCAACTTGCCGCGGACCAAGACGCTGGCGAGCCGTACGACTTGCTCGTCATCGGCGGTGGTGCCACGGGTTCGGGCATTGCACTCGATGCCGCAACACGGGGACTCAAAGTCGCACTGGTTGAACGAGATGATTTCGCTGCCGGCACGAGCAGCAAGAGCACAAAACTCGTACACGGCGGCGTGCGATATCTTGAGAAGGCGGTCTGGGAACTCGACTACAACCAGTACGCTCTGGTCAAAGAGGCCTTGCGAGAAAGGAAGTATTTCCTCGACACAGCGCCACACTTGAGTACGTGGTTGCCCATCATGATACCGCTCCAGAAATGGTGGCAGGCGCCATATTTCTGGGCCGGCACGAAATTCTATGACTTTCTCGCTGGCAGCGAGGGTATTGAAACCAGTTACTTTCTAACCAAGAGCAAAGCACTGGATGCATTCCCGATGCTGAAAAAGGAGAATCTCGTAGGTGCCCTGGTGTATTACGACGGTGCGCACAACGACAGTCGGATGAACGTGAGTATTGCGGCAACAGCGGCGCTGTACGGGGCAACTGTTGTGAACCACTTGGAAGTTACCCAGTTGACCAAAGATGCGAACGGTCGACTGACCGGTGCTGTGGCGAGGGATATTATTGATCTCAAGAACGGTGGCAGGGGAGCTCCGATCACAATACGTGCGAAGGGTGTTATCAATGCGACGGGCCCTTTCTGTGATAGCATTCGAAAGATGGATGATGAGAAGGCACAAGAAATTGTGGCGCCAAGTTCGGGTGTGCATGTTGTGCTGCCCGGGTACTACAGTCCTCAAAAGAACAGCATGGGCTTGATCGATCCGAGCACGAGTGATGGGCGAGTCATTTTCTTCTTGCCGTGGCAAGGCAATACGATTGCTGGGACGACGGACGCACCGTGCAATATAACGCAACAACCCGTTGCAGGTGAAGATGAGATTGGGTGGATCTTGAATGAGATCAGAGGCTACCTCTCACCTGATATCAATGTAAGACGAGGAGACGTCCTGGCCGCTTGGTCAGGCATTAGGCCGTTGGTGAAGGATCCAAAAGCAAAGAACACCGAGTCCCTTGTGCGAAATCACCTTGTCACAGTGTCGGAATCCGGTCTGCTTACCTGCGCAGGTGGAAAGTGGACGACGTATCGCCAGATGGCTGAGGATGCTGTCGACGAGGCGGTCAAACAGTTCAGTCTGCAGACAAGACCTGTACAAACACCGAGAAGGATAAGTGGCTCGGAAAGAGTGAATGATGCTGCGCCGCTTGATGGATCGTGTCAGACACATCAGGTGCGATTAGTTGGAGCGCATGGGTATTCCAAGACGCTCTTCATCAACCTCGTACAGCATTTTGGCATAGAGACCGAAGTGGCAAAGCATCTTGCCGAAGCTTATGGCGATCGAGCTTGGACGGTTGCAGCTCTCTCAAGCCCTACAGACGAACGATTTCCGGTTCGAGGCAAGCGAATTTCACCACTTTATCCTTTTGTGGATGGCGAGGTGCGGTACGCGGTCCGCCATGAATTTGCCCAGAGGGCCGTGGATGTTATCGCCCGGCGAACCAGACTTGCATTCCTGAACGCCCAAGCAGCACTGGAAGCTTTACCCACAGTCATCGACTTGATGGCGGACGAGCTGAAGTGGGACAGCAAGCGTAAGGAGGCGGAGTGGAAGGACAGCGTGGCTTTCCTTGCTTCGATGGGTCTTCCAAAGAGCAAGTTGGGAGTATCACGAAGAGATGTTGAGACTGGGAGGGCTGGCTTTGCGGACGACTGGGAACGGAAGTTGTATTCCAGATATGGTGAGTCTGGTCCCCCACGTCTTTCCTGTAATTTATTTCTGGATATGAGCATTCTTGGAGACTCGGAGACTCATGGACATCCTGGCTGACAGCAGAGAAGATGGCCCTGCAGATACACTGGCGAGTGACTCAAAGCTACAGCCCGGCCAAAATCCGGGGTTGGGCACTGAATCCCCAGCCAACTCGTAGGACGAATTCGTCCCTTCAACCATCCATACTTGTTCTAAACTTAATACCGATGATTGTTCCCAGATCTGGTGCAGCTTCTCGCGTACCGAATTTCGTTGAGGTCGATTCCTTCTGACTCCGGCTGCCTTGCGACACTTTTCACCTTTGCCCATCAGACCGCAGGTGGCTGCAGCAATGACCTCCGCCTCAGCGCATAGATGCCATGACAACACCATGAGCTACATGAAAATGCGGTGATGGCTCTTGCCGATCATGAGCTGTTGCCTTCCTGACAGCGCCTTGTGTGGTTCTTGCCTCTGGGTGATTTTCTTGGTTCACCAACGAAACGTCTGTATCAAGTGTCGGGTAAGAAAGGTTCTTCATTTAGCTTGCAATTCGACACCTTTTCCAGCCTGCATACATAGGGCGGGTATCCTTCCTCTCCTGCTGTTCCTCTTCCTCCTCTTCTCTCATCCTACCTATCCTTCTTTGTCCCCTAGGAGTTCTGAACGCATGTTACATGTGCCCAACAGCTCGACTCGCTTTCACACATCTGTCCACAAAATACATTATTGAAATCCCGTGCCTGAGTTAAGAGCTCTGTTGTGAGTCTTTGTCTGCTGCCTCATCGGATGCGGGTTGCTGACCAACATCCAGGGTCCGTCCTAAGCTCTTCGTGTATCAAATCCACCTACATGGCAAATCCAAACCCTATGTCGAGTGCGTCCTGGCGCGTGGGTCTCATGAGACAGTCTATTGCCTCGTACTTCAGCAACAAGAAGGAGCAAGAGAAGAGTGACGATACCATCGTTGAGGCGGCTCCCCGAAATGAATCGAATGCATCTTCTAGCAATCACGGAGTCTTGGGTGGCGAATCACCTGGGGATGAGCTGGAGAAGAATGGTATGTACAAGAAAGGCGCATCCATGCATAAAGTCGACAACGAGGTCTGACGCGGGCCGCGAAATCGCAGGTTCCACGGAAGACGACCCCATGGCGTCGCATGGTCTTAAAGATGGAGTTGAATACAAGTCTATGGCTTGGTGGTATGTCGCAGACTCTGCTCATGATGCGTTCGAATTGACCAAGCTGCAGGCAAGCTGGAATGGTCATGGTGGCCGAGACGATCTCTCTGGGCATTCTCGCCCTTCCCAATGCCATGTCGAAAGTCGGTATTATTCCTGGTTTGATCCTCCTTCTCTGCCTCGGCGCGATGGCTTCATACTCTGGCTATGTCATCGGTCAGTTCAAACAACGATTCCGGCACATTCATTCCATGGCATGCGCTGGAGAGGTTCTCTTTGGTAAATGGGGCGGAGAGATTCTTGGATGGGGGCAATTCTTGTTTTATGTCTTTATCATGGGCAGCCACATCCTGACCTTTTCCATCATGATGAACGCCATCACAGGCCATGGAGCTTGCACCATACTCTGGATGGTGGTTGGCACTCTTCTCAGTCTGCTGTGCACACTACCACGAACTCTCAAGAATCTTTCGTACTATTCGGTAGCCAGCTTTCTCAGCATCGTCGGTGCCGTTATGATCACCATGATCGGAGTCAGCATCACCAAGCCCGGCTTCGTCAACGGGCAGATGTCGGTCAGATTGTGGCCTCAACCGGGGCTCTCTTTCCAGGATGGGTTCCAGGCCGTGAATACCATGGTATTTGCCTATGCAGGACATGTCGCCTTCTTCACGTTCATTTCGGAGTTGAAGAACCCCAATGACTTTCCCAAAGCCCTGGCATTTTTGCAAGTCAGCGACATCACCATGTACATCGTCACGGCCGTGGTGGTGTACATCTATGCCGGTGAGAATGTCAAGAGCCCGGCTTTGGACAGTGCCAGCACAGTCGTCAAGAAAGTGGCGTACGGCATTGCGATTCCTACCATTGTCATTGCAGGTGTGGTCAATGGGCACGTCGGGGTCAAATACGTGTACGTGCGAATGCTTCAAAACAAACGGGATGATTTGATGCACCAGCCACTCCGACGAATCAACAAAGATTCCAACAAGAAGGAGTTCACGAGGTTGGGAATCAGATCGTACGGCACCTGGGTGTTGATCTGTACCCTCTCATGGGTGGCAGCATGGTTGATCGCGGAAGTGGTTCCTGTTTTCAACGATCTGGTTGGGCTGACCAGTGCCCTGTTCGCGAGTTGGTTCACTTTCGGGCTCAGTGGTATGTTTTGGATGCGACTGAACCTCGTGCAAGACCAGAATGGGAAGCTCCAGATGGTCCCCTTCAAGTTGTGGACGTGGAAGATGACTTTGTTGCTTCTGATCAACTCTTTGAACATTCTTGTGGCAGCAATTCTGGTATGTTCATGCTGTGGCAGACTGATGTCTCCTGATTAACATTTTCTAGTGCTTCGTCGGCATCTATGCCAGCATTTCAAGCATGATCCATAATGGAGCAACCAAGAAGCCATTCACCTGCGCAGCTTGAGCTTCAAGGGATGACAATGCGGTCAGTGACAGGGGTTTAGGAAGGTGTGTCGAGAGTATTTTCAAGACTTGTTGGACAAGGCTTAGTTGGATGTGGGATATTGGGATTGAAGGAATCAGTAATAATCTTACATGCATCACCGTGGAGGAGGCGATGATGTGTGGCTCGTCTAGAATGTTTGTTTTACAAAATGGGTTTGGGAATGGTCTTTGATGTCGTGTCTGTTGCCGGCGTCGTCTTTTTTTAGATAGATCTGGGTCATGGGTTGATGAGTTGATTATCCATAATAATGTTTTTTATTCTTTTGATTTGTGTGTTTTGTGTTGTTGTTGATGATGATGATGATGATGATGATGATGTTGATGATGATGTTTGTTTACCTTGCTACGGCGTACGGAAGTACTCTGTATGGGGAGTCCCTAAGTGGTGGTGATTCGGTGGCTACCGGGGGGGAGGGGGGAGGGAGCATTCGTGGGGAATGGCAAATGGCAAATGGCAAATGGCCCATGTTTCAACTGCCGAAGAGCGTCAAAGCAAGTGCCGTTGAGGACCGAACATCACACCACGACGAAGTAGAGAGTTCATGTGCTCCGTATCATGCCTGCCTCTTTTTTTTGCCAATTATCTAAGCCCGAAAATACTTGCCGGGGTTGGTTTGGATGTTTTTTTGCTTTTTGGGTCTTGGGGTCAATGTTCGAGGCCGACCATAGCAGTTATATTGTTTTATTCTGTGCGATGTGCGATGTACGAAGAGTCGGGGGTTCATTATTTTGGTCTTTCTTGGAGAGGATTTGGTTACCCCCTAAAATCTTGGGGGGGGACCAATGTACACGCAGTACAGTACGGAGTACCTACTACGAGTACCTTACCTGATCTACCTTACCTAGAAACTGCCCGCGGCATTGAATTTTCCCGCCTCTCATGCCCCCCGGGGATGGATCACGGCAATACTCCATAATGAATGAATGTCATACACATCATACGAGTGAGTGACTGAGTGAGTACTCTTTTGTATATAGTTTGGCGTTACCTGACAAGATGTAAATCTTGAAAAAAGAATACAAAAGAAGGTCAGAACTCATCATCATTCATCCTGCCCCCATTTAATCATAACCATCTCCTTGTCTTTTTTTTTCCTTTTCCAAGAGTACAAACATTCCCTTGACCGTGGCAATATTATCACGAGTGACTCTGCAGGACTTCAGCGATAAAGTCACCTTCCATGATTTGATTGACACAGATTAAGATTTGTTTCATATCATTTCTGGGATATACGAAAGTATGGAAAGATTACAACTTCACGTCTGCGTCGTCGGTGCAGGTCTGGGTGGTCTCGCGGCTGCCATCGGTATCACCAGAGCAGGCCACAAAGTCACACTTCTAGAACAAGCACCTCAGTTGGGTGAGGTTGGCGCCGGCATCCAAATCCCCCCCAACACGACCAAGATCCTGGCCAGCTGGGGAATTCTACCCGCCATCGAAAAGGTGTCGGTCCGACCCAACAACGTGGTGATGAGGTCTTACCGAGACGGCCAGATCTTATCCTCTCAACCTTTGATCCCCTTGTGCGAGGACGTCTATGGGTACCCTTACCTTCACATCCACCGTGCCGACTACCACAAGATCCTCGTCGAGGAGGCGACGAGGTTGGGCGTGGACATCCGGCTGGACAGTTGCGTCACGGGCGTCGATTTCGAACGACCTGCCGTGCACATCAAGAACCGACCGGACCGACCCTTTGAGTGCGATTTGGTCATCGGGGCCGACGGTCTCAAAAGTGCCTGCCGCGAAGCCTTGCTGGGGAGACCGGACCCTCCGTACTTGACGGGAGACCTGGCCTACCGGATCACGGTCCCGGCGGAGGCCATGCTCGCCCACCCCTTACTCGCGGATCTCGTCGCGGTCCCCAACATCAACATGTGGCTGGGCCCGGACAGTCACGTCGTCTGTTACCTTTTGAAAGGTGGCAACCTGTACAACATCGTCATCGCGTCCCCGGACAACCTCCCGGAGTTTGTCAGTCAACAAAAGGCGGACCTCGAAGAGATGCACGCCTTGTTCGAGGACTGGGACCCCAAACTCAGGGCCCTTTTGGATTTGTGTAAAGGGACGGCCAAGTGGAGGCTACAAAACTCCAGGGAGATGAGGACGTGGTCACACCCTTCCGGTCGCTTCACGTTACTCGGTGACGCTTGTCACGCGACTTTGCCGTATCTCGCTCAAGGGGCGGCCCAAGCCGTCGAGGACGCCGCGGTTTTGGCCAGTTTGTTCGAAAAGATCCAACACAAGTACCAATTGGCCGATCTTCTGACCATGTACGAGGCGGTCAGGAAACCCCGGGCGAGTCATGTGGTGAAGAAGAGTTCCGAAACTGGTCAGACAATCTATCACTTGCACGACGGCCCCAGACAGAAAGAAAGAGATCGTCAACTTTTGGCGGGTCAAGAAAACCCCTATGAAGGTTACCAGAATCGATGGCGGGACCCCGTGTTTCAAAAGTTCTTGTTCAGTTACGACGCATTTGAAGAGGCAGAAAAGGCATGGGAGACTTACCGTAAAGGTCAATTCCCCGGGACGGCGGGAGATTTTGCCAGGGAAGATCCGGAAGGGGAAGGTGTCAGAAAGGCAGGTATACAAGAGGTCCGGGAGTTGAGAAAGGTGGAGGACAGGGAGAGAGGAATGATCGGGGTCGCCGGAGACGCGAGGTTGTGATGAGAAGACTTTGTCCATTTTGTTTTTTTTGCTGGTCTATTGAGGTACGGACTATGTGTGTTTACGGGAGTACGGATGTGTTGTCTACATCTGAGATACAGGGTTCAGTCATGTTCAGTCATGTTTTACGTCCAGAACCATTTTGAGCTTTTGTACATATGTCGAACCAGAACGACGAAAGATTCGTCTAGAACAGAGAGAGACTAGAAGACATTTACTATATTCTGTCCTTGTGTTACGTACGGATGGAATATCCAAGCGACCAGAACAGCAACAATGGATGTTATTATGCAGGACTACAAATTCCCATGCGAGCTGAACACACTAGACAGAAACCCTGACGGCGCCTGGACCGGCCTGGGGTGGTAACGGGGTGGTGACTGTGGAGATGAGGTATCAACCCCCGGAGCGAATCCTACAATAGGCGGTAGGCCTTAAGCCTCAAAGACCCATCACACCTCCATGTGAAAGCTTGATTGAGCCCCCGGGAAGTTGCTTAACTAGATCAAGCCTTGAAGGCGCCTGCCATGTGGGAAATAGGCGACCCCGATGGTTCTGGCTCGTATTCGTCCAAAGCTTTGGTCTCTCCTCAACATCAACCAACAATCTCCTTTGGGACATTCTCTTCCCCTTTTTCCCCTCTAGACCATATTTTTGATAGCTCGACACTGGCTTGCTATTGATCCGGGGGGGGGTTCTCTTTTTCGTGGCTTGCTGAAAAGTGGTCTTTTTGATGCAAGCCACCGACACACTCTTGTCGTCTCAATGGTTGTCGTGTGGTGTCGTGTCAGAGCCGGCCAAATCCCTAGCTACCTACCTAGCACTTGCTGGTGGTGGTGAAGGGGAGGGATGGAGGACAGACAGGTAGGATGATGGTGTCTGTTTTTTGTCCTTCTTGCCCCGTCGGAGGGGGGAATCATTTGATATGAATGCTAGGTGAATCCCTCTGTTGCCTTCCCTCCCTCCCCTTCATGTCTGGGTCCTTTTCTACCTCGAGGAGACGACTTTCTCTCGTCAAACACCAGAAGTGACAACTACCGTCGCCAGTCCTTTACTTCTAGGTCGACACCGGAAGTGACTACTGTTGTCAGTCTCTTACTTCAAGGTCGACAACATGGCGTACAACATGGATGGTCAAAAGATTGATCCCATCACTGAAAAGCCTATCGTCGAAGCCAGTGTCACTGCTGTTCAAGACGATCCAAACACGTTGGAAGGCGACACGATCCGTCCGAGTCGTGACCTGAAATCTGCCATATATGCGATCGTCGGTGGTGTGGCACTACCGTGTATCCCCATCATCGTCGTCTCGGCAGTTCTTCTCTACTTCATCTTCAAACATCGCATCGTCCCACGAGAAGGGTGGCCCGAACTCTACGTGCCAAGGGACAAAGTGGGCTACAACAGTATCAACAACATCACCCAAGCCATCAAAGACGTACGGTACGAGGGTGGCAGACCGGCATATTATGTTGCCTACAACCCTTCCACCATCACCACCATCGCGTCGTGGACAGGCAGGGTCATCCCGTACCTTTCGAGCTCCATCATGGCCCTGGTGGCCTTCTTTGCCGCTCGACACATTGTCCTGAAGTCCAAGCGAGGGCACCCCACTGAATTGCCTACCCCGGAGCAGCTGACTCTCCTGATCAATTTACTCGGTGGCAATGGCTTCAGTCCGCTGAAAGACACCGTGCTCTACAGATGGGGCAGAAAGGAGAGACTGGTGGCTCCCCTGCCCGCGGCCTTTACAGCTCTCTTCGTCATCACTCTTCTGGGGGTGTTCATACCCATCATCGACACGTGGTTTGGTATCGCTGTCCATCCGGCAACCATCACTCAGCTATACAACACTTCGACTTCGGCCTATCATTCCTTTGGTCGCAGTCTCGATCGTGGCACTTCGGATTCCCCGATCTGCCCAGATGGCCCGCGCACAGCAGGAGACAATGATCAAAACTGGTTCTGGCCTTGTAACTTGTACATTGGCACGCTGCACTTGGAAAACATCTTTCTCGTCGGAGGGGAAGCCGCGTCCAAAGTACAACTGGACCAGCCGACCAACGACATGATTTCCAACTATACTGGTACCCTTCCCTCGTCACCCCATAAGCACAACGAGACCTTCTTCTTCTACAGCGACCAAAGGAGCAGTGCGGCTCTCGATTACAAAGCCCAGACGATGGGCATGGCCACGCAGTGCGACCTCGCCACAACTCGCTGCCACGCCGACTATTCCAACCATACGGATCTTTCGTCTTTTCGCTGCTCTGCCGGATTCGCTGGTGATTTGACCCAATGTCTTCCCAACGTCTGGTCCACCGACGAATCTTCCGGCTCTTGCGGAATGGGCATTGGTTTCGCGACGGACGCTGAGCTCTCTCAGGCTGCAGCCATGGTCAACCTGACGGATGGATACAACTACTCTACAGGATCCCTCCCGGCTCTGCTGCAGCAAAACCCCATGTATTTCGGAGCGTGGGCAATGGGCTATCCCGGCGACGACGAAAAGAACAATCTCTACAACAACATGGACCCAGAGATCTTTCCAGGCGGCCGCGCCAACGCGGTCTGGATGCTCAACTGCACCTCGACCATCTACGACGTCACGTACACCTACTCGAACGGCAAGCTGCACAGCTTCGACGCCACGCCGGCCTCTCCGGAATGGGGTGCTTTTTTCTCTGCCCCCTTTGCGTGGTCGCCCATCGTTTTGGGTATGAAACAGGCCTCTCTCGCCCTCGAAAATGCCGCGTACCTGGCCAGCTACACGGCCACCGACGCACAAGACATGGCCAACATCTGGGCCAACCAGTTTAGTCGGTCTGCACTCGAATTGTCCGTGGGCGTTTTCTCTCCTCTCGTCAACGACATTGAACAGGTCCGGAACAGTACTGTCCAAGTGGCCCGCATCCCATTGATTCCACTTTACCTGCTGTTGAGTTTCAAGTTTCTTTATGTCATTGTCGTGGTCATCTTGGCCATTGGAGCTTATTGTTTTACTCACCCTGCCGAGACCGAGATCGTCAAAGCCCAACTCAGCGTCAAGGGGTTGGCGGCCGCTCATTTTGACCAACCGGACTTGATGAGACAGGATGTCGTCAAACAAGTCCAATCTAGATTGGAACAGGCGAAAGGAGATGGAAACGGAGTAGCAGGACCAAGCAGCAGTCCTGAAGGTTCTTCTAGTACGGCATCGAACCCTCCACCACCACCACCACCACCACCACCACCACCACCACCACCACCACCACCACAACAACAACTCGGACGTGCAGCCACGGCACCCGTAGGAGGAGGCGAGCGAGAGGAACACAAACCGAAAATCGGTCTGATGCCGACCCGTGCGGGAACCTGGCAGTTTGTGCTCATGGCCAACGGGGCCTGGCAGAGCGTCAAACCCATCGTCCAGAGTTTCGTCCTGTCCGACGCCAGAGCCGGGGAACTGGGGACCGCGGGTGACGTTTACGCCGCTTGGAAGTGAGAATTTCTCTTGTTCATATAAAAAACACACGCAGGGAGGCGCACCCATGATGATGACACGAGGTGGAAATCCAAAAAGATGCCGAGGTAGTTTCGTCGCGTATACGAGAGACATGTATATCCAGATGATTTGATTACAGAGTGAACAAAAAAAACACATTCATCGGCTTCCTTGCAGTACCTAGTACAGAGCGCGTCATGCATTCAGTGCCGTGGTTCGTATTCAGTACATACCTGCCATTGGAACTGTCGAGGGCAAAAAGGAAAAATATTATCCAACATACAGTACTACGGATCGTTCCGTGTAGGCACGTACATATTGGTTCGATGACCACTGTTTCTTTCCAAAGGATCTCAAATCTAGGCACGCCTGGGGACGGGGTATCCCGCCTGACCCGGCTGGTTCGCCGGCGCGCCACCGAACCTGATGCCCATGTCGGGCGTCCACACCCCGCCGCCGCCGATGCTCCCACCCGCGACGTTCACGGGCACCGGGGCGGCGGCGGCGGCGGCCGAAGGCATGACCCCCGCCTCCACGGACGGGGGAGGTGGGTGGTGATTCCTCGTCGGCACCGGCGCCGGGATCCCGTCCTGCTGTTGTCCCGCCGGGCCCCCCGTCGGCCCCCGTTCGTGCCCCTGCCCGTGCGGCTGTGGCTGTGGGTTGGCGACCTGCGCCCGGCTCCTCGTCTTCGGTCCGGCCAGTTCTCTCCTCGTCTCTTCCAGGTTCAACCTCCCCATGTCTTGCCCCGCGAGCTCGGCCTCCATCTGACTGGCCTCGACGCGTCGTTCGTTGACCTGGGCCTTGCAGTTCTCCCTGAACCGGGTGACGTGCCCGGCCAGGTCGTTGTAAAACTTCCGGCCCGTCTCGAGGTTGCTGATGAGCTCCTTGTACTTGGCGTACCCGGTGTCCAACGCCTGCAGGGCCTTTTGCCGGTCGCGCGTGCTGGTGTCGCCTCTCCGCGCTTCGACGAAGGTCTTGTTTGCCTCCCGGAGTCGCGCCACAATCTGGTCTTGTTCTTCCTGCTCGGCCACCAAGATGTCGCGGTCCGAGTCGTACGTCTGTAGCCGCCTATCGAACAAGCCCTCGAATTGACCCGGTTCGATCTTTTGCATGGGGAATTCTCGCTCGAGTCTGGCCGCCTCGGCGAGTAGGGCAGGCCCAACATCATCAGCTTGCGCCTTCTCGCGGAGGGCAATGATGCGGTTCTTCCTCCGAGTCTCTAGACGAGATACCTCGTTCAGGCACGTGCGAAGGCGGGATGCAGCTTGGTCAATTGTCGGTGTCATCTCCACTTGTCGGGAAGAAGGCACAAATCGCTCGAGGTCACGATTTGTGCCGCTGAGCACTTTGAGAATGTGTTCGTTCTCGCGGAATTTGGCTTGTACAAGATTGTCGCTTGACGCTGCCGAGTTCAGGTACGTCTGGAGATCTTTCGAGCTTTGGTATAGCTTTGCCAGGGCGACTTCCGATGGCGGTCGATTCCACCTGTCCGTACCGTATCTCGACCGGGCCCTGTCATCTTCGGCCTTTTCGGCATCCAGAAGCGAGACACCTTCTTGGTAGATTGACAGGTCATTTGTCTTGAGTTTGGTAGTGTCTTCTATTGACCGTTTTATGCGATACAGGGCATCTTGTTGACGAAGCTCTTCGGCCTTTGAGACCAAACTACCTGGAATACCAAGTGGCTTTTCCAGTGCTTGTAATGAGCCGGGCAGATCGAGTGATTGGAGGACTTCGCGCACCCTCGCAGTCATGGCCTCAAGATCTGCAATGATCGATTGGTTGACCAGACGGTCTCGACGATCTTCGTATATCGACGCCGCCTGGTGGACAGCATAGGGAACAAGCTTCTCAAACAGAGGTTTTCCAAACGGTTGTCCTTGTCCGAGGAGCGAAATTCCATTTGTTACCTCTGCGGGTGTTTTTGGTGCGACCATGTTGGTGCGGTCGAGAAGTCTCAGCTCTGATTTTGGCGTGACGGCTTGTAGGTAGATGACATCGTTGTCCTTCTCCGCTCTCTTCAGATCTTCTTGTACTCTGGTCTTGAGTCCATTCAAATCTCCCACCACAGTTGCGTTGACCCATCTAGCTTCCTGAAGTCCCTCATTGACGCAGTTAATACTGTCTTTTAACCGAGCGATTTCTTCTCCGTACTGCTTGTTCTGTAAACAATACCTGGATTGTCTGTACTGAGCGGCCGCCGCAAAATGGTGGTGTTTTGCTTGCATGTGATGTATCCATTCGCTACTTACCGCTCTCGACTGACGAGATGCGTCTGCCGCGGCGATGTAGTAGTCCGACACTTTGGCTGCCAATTTAGCGACTGTCCCGTCGGACATATTTTTTTTGACCGTGATTTGCCAAAAGCATTCCTGTGCTTGAGCGAGACAGAGATTTTGTAGACTGTCTAATGTCACATCATCCATATCTTCGGGAGGGGAGGATCGCATCTCTGGTATGATTTCTGTTCGCATGAAGGCGAAGACCCCCGCCGCGGAAATTCCATATTCCGCCGCCTGTTTGAGTCCGTCAACGGTGGTCCAATTCGTGTGGGTCGATAACTGTGAGTACAGCGCGGCAAGGTTGAACAATACATTCGCCAGTTCGAACCTGATGTTGTTCTGCAAAAGTGGCTTGTCCCTATCGTATCCAATGGCGGGGTACCAGGGGAAGTCCACACCAATATCGATGGGGAATTTTCCTCCCAGGTACCGCAGTTGAGCGGCGTAGACTGTCAGACGCCTTATTCCACTGGTGTGAGGTTCTTGAACACTGATGGCATCGGACCGGAGGAAATCGATTTCTCGAAGATCATCTGTAAACATGCCCGGAGACTGGTCATATTTGCTGGAGATGTACTGTTTAATGGCAGAGGAGAGGTCGACCGAATGTGTCCGCCGAAAAGGTATCTCGAGTACATTTGATGCCATCTTGCATCGGGGTGTGGGAGGTAATTGTCACGACCAAATATTGGACATTGATTAATTCAACTATGTTGAAATGCGCAGTTTCCAGCTGCGTCAACATCAGGCTGCGATGGCCCTAAGATCTGAGCCTTGTGGTGACGTCAGTTACTTCGCGAGATCACGTGAAAATATGTTTCTTCAGCCTTGCGACCGAAGGACTTGCCTTGTGAAAGTCCCGGTGTGACCGGCCCGGTGCAATGCCACTCAACATCAGCTGTGCGAGGAACTAAAGATCTCACAATACACTATTCTGTGGATAACAGACCACCAAAGGGAAAGTGACAGCTTGATTCTCGGAGTCGCCTTCCTCCCAAAGTTCTAGTCGTAGAATTTTCTCCCAATCGAAAACTGTCGGATATCAGCGAAGCGGCAGGAGTCCCCGACGGAGAGAGCACAAGGACCCCACGTTGGATATTTCCTACGCCTTATTAAACTTGTCCTGCTACCGATTAGAGTGTTTCTTGTGTACATAGATTGTTGATATACGAATTGTTCGATTGTGAATTTCAGACTGAAAGAAGCAGATTGTTCCCGCGCACCCTCATTCGGACTACTTTTTTCACGCAAACAGGTCTTGTTCTCTACAGTACAATCTTTCAGCATGGCTCCAACCGCTATCAGCGACATTTTACCCTCGGGCCCTTTTGCCTCGAAATCGGTCAAGCCGGCCGACCAAGAACACCACGTTCACGGCATGGAAGACAAGTCACCAATGGCGGCCATCTCTCACGGCGACGTGATGCTCCCTGGTGTCCCTACATTTACAGACATGGCCGCTAAGCGTCAATGGCAACTCGAGCACATGGCAGCGGCTTTCCGCCACTGGGCTCGAGAGGGCTACGTCGAGGGTATCTCGGGACACATCAGTGTCAGGGACCCAGAACATGAGGATGTTTTCTGGACAAATCGTATGTGATGATTCTCTTATACTATCGCTTGATGGAAGAATCCAAAAAGAAAATACTAGTATACTGATTTTTGACCCTTAGCCCTCGGTGTACACTTTGGCCTCCTCAAGGCAAGTGACATGATCGCAGTCAACTTTGACGGCAAGGTCGTTGGCGGCAACCGAACTCGCCCTCCCAACGCCGCTGGGTTTTTGATTCACAGCGAAGTCCACAAGGCTCGTCCAGACGTCCACGCCGTCTGCCACGCACACACGGTCTACGGCAAGGCGTGGAGCGTGTTCGGCAAACCCATCGAGATGCTCACCCAGGACGCTTGCAAGTTCTACAAGTCGCACAGCGTGTACAACTCGTACGGCGGCGTCGTGCTGGCCAGCGAGGAAGGCGCCCAGATCGCCAAAGCCCTCGGCCCGACCAACAAGGCCGCCATCCTGCGAAACCACGGTATCCTGACGGTCGGCAAGACGGTCGACGAAGCTGCGTTCTTGTTTTTGTCGATGGAGCACGCGTGCCAGGGTCAATTGCTCGCCGAGGCCGCTTCTCAAGGCGGTAACATCCCGAAGGTCCTCATCGACGACGAAGAGGCCGCATACACCAACAAGATGGAAAGCGACTCGGAAACGTGCTACGCCGAGTTCCAGGCCTATTATGAATGGGAGGACTACCACACCAAGGGAGAGTTCAAGAAGTGATGAAAGATATATACTTATGAGGCATGTGACGAAGGATCCAGCGTCGTGGTACGTACGGGAGGAAGCAAAGAGACGTGTGAAATGACATGACAACTGGAGAAGACACAGGGGCATTGGCGGAGCCACACCTAAGGAGGCTGTACCAACAATTGTGTGCGGATCCATTCATTGGATTGAAACGGCCAGCCTTTGACTGGTCTTCTATTGGCTTGTGAGAAATCACCACAAATCAAAGCACATGCGTTTCGGGACAAGATGATGCATGGCCATCTGATCTGCACGAAACGTGTATGCAAATCCCTTCATTGGTTGTATATAACTTGGTGAGACTGCATTTGGCATAGAATTTTTGGAATCAAAGCACATTAGGTACAGACCAAGACTTTTTTTGATATCTAGAGTGTACCCATGGGCGACTCTGCATTTGATCAGCTACAAACCTTTTGGCCGTCCTGTCTTTTGATGATTTGATCGAGAGAAGTAGTGGATACTCGGTGGTTTCTCGTCCACCGTTGTTGGCAGTGCCCCGAAACCCGACACAATTCGAACCTTGATGGATGGCAAAGGGGGTTGTGAATGGACTTCATATCCAGTTTATGGAATGGTCCATCTGGTCTGTTCTAAATGACCAATGGGCCCATGACCGATCAATCGAGTTCTTGAAGTTGTGAGGAGGCCCAATACTATACTTGATACCTACTAACTGGGGCCTCTCGGGTGGTTCCAACTTCCAAGTGGTTTTGAATCCCTAAGCTATATGCGATCGGACCCTTCTCGGTGAGAGTCGGATATACCAGGCTCCAAAGAACAAATTCTATAGGAGTAAAATCCCCAGAGAACTTGTTTCTGTTTCCGTCTTTCTGAAACTTTGCATGTCTCGACGCACATAGGGATGCTTTTCCGTGGTTGTGGATTTTCCCCCATTTTCTAGCGACCCGTCCTTTCCGCATTGGTGGGTGTTTTTGTGAATTCCTTCAAGACGATCATGATCAACACCGTAGTTTTCGATTCTGGTTCGAAATCGGAAGCAGTCCACGTTTGGCTTCAAGGCTGATGCTGTTGATGCCGCTGCTGTACGGGCCCGTTGGCGTTTTGGCGTTTGTTCGATTCAATCCTGATCCACTCCGTCTTGTTGTTGTTGAGCTGGATTTCCATTCTGCTGCTGCTGCTGATCCCAACCATTCAAGGTCCAAGTGATGGCACAGCCGACGAGAACCCATCTCGAAATGAAGGTCCAAAGATAAGCCCTCCACATGGTGACCCTTTCCCACATGGGACGTTGAAGAAAACCGGCGGTCCACAGAATCGTTCCTATCAACAATGGTCCCGAACACTGACACACCGTGACTAGTCCTCTCATTACGATCGGATGAGCTCGGCCGAACGCGGTGGCGTACTCATTACCGCCAGTGGCAGCGGCCGCCTGGGCTTGACCTGAGCGTCGCCGTCGAGGAGGCATGGTGAAGAGTTGACTGTATGTAATGTCGAAAGGTTTGGGGGCTTTTGTTTGATTGATTGATGGGTTACTTGATTGACTTTCGCGCGCCGACGACCGCCTGGTCGAGACTTTTCCGTAAAATCGCAACGGTGACTTTGTCTGTCCCCTCTGAGCGGATTCACCCTTTTTGGATCATTGCCGTGTGGTTTCAAGGGACTGTAGGTGAGAGAACGGTCGGTTGTTCGAAAAACGTGAGGGTGACCACTAGGAATATACAGGTCGCACAAGCCGGTTCGAAGCGTTCACGCGTGGGGGCTAGGTCCTCGAATCAGAACCCCGAGGTTGTCCCTCACTCCCGACGGATCGTTTGGTTTCAGTGATGCTGCAACGGTTGGTGATGATGGATATGAAGGTCAGGGAGGATCAAGTGGTCAGCCGGAGGGGTGAGTTGATAACGAAGGGTGACGACGTTTGGAAAGGAGGCTGAGTTGCTTTCGCTCTACTTTGCCCTCAACGCGACCAAAGTTGCTTTGACCGATGACGAGTTTCGTATGACCAAGGACTGACGTAAGCCCAACAACCAATCAGACGTGCATCAGTTTACAATCTCGTATCCGTGACTCGTCGTATTCGTATGAGCACCACCACCACCACCAACTCGGAGTACGTACAGTAAATCTGCATTCCTTTTAAATGTCTAGCAAGTAAAAATGTAGATGCGCTTCATTGTCTTTCTCTAGCAAGTTCTTGGTATCTCTGTATATTCGCCCCCACAACCGTGAGCTCCGACCTGACAAAAATGTACTCCGTGTACGACCTCGTCCTTGTTCATGTCTATCTCATAACTCCCCATCAGTCCGCTCGCAAACCCAGGTTCCAATCCACGAAAAGAAAAATTCAACATGACCGGTCTAAAAAAGTTTAGGGCAAGGCTTCGTACAAATCACCACCCAAACCCTTCCTCTATGTAATCCAAATTGGCTCCCTGGTCCAACATGGCTCGCGACGCCCGTCGGACCTCGTCGGCCAACCCACCTCCCGCGCAGACACTTACCCCTACACAGCCCGTCTTCTGTGAGACCTCCTCTGCCATGAGCGACTGGACATCAGGTCTGCCGCGCAACATGCGGACCGTCTCACTGGGGCTGGTGATTGGTTGAGTCAGGCCGTGGCGGGTGACGTACAACAGCACTCTCAGCACTTCCCTCCGCCCCGGCATGCGCAGCACCTCGTGCATCCACGGGCGGATCCAGTCCAAAACTTCGACGGTGGGGATGACCCAGACGAGGGTGATTCTTCGGGCGGCAACGGTCCCTTGCGCGTAACCCTCGACGAGCTCCCTCACGTACGGAAGCTGATGCGTGATACCGACCCCGCCCGCGAACAGCATGACGGTGCCATAGCTGGCCAGACTTCGCTCGTCGCCGTAGGGTCCCTCGATGTACGCGTTGAGGCTCAGGGGGAGCCCTCTTCCTCCCCAGGCACGGTCCCACAGCTTTCGAGTGAAGCCACCGTGTTTCTTGACGATGAGGGATATGGTCCGGCTGCGCTGAATGTTCATTTCAACGTCCTTGTGTGGAACGATGGGTGCCTTGTCGTCGTCAAAAGTCCTCGTCGAATTGCTTCTGGAGAGGGACTGCTGTTCTTCACCACCACCCCACCAGGCCACCGAGAAGGGGTGTGCCGTCCAAAGCCCAACCGAGGGGATGGTCAGGAAAAGAGACTGCCCGGGCCGATGCTGCCATGGCCGCGGGGTGGTGATGGTGACCTTGACAGCGTCGCCTGGGAGGGTCTCCACGTTGGCCTTGCAGGCGCGGGACCCAATGCTCCTGTACAACATTGTCATTGACCTCCAAGCTCTGAATGCCGTCCAGAGAATGATGAAGCCCAGGAGTTGAGGACGCTGTGGCAGTCCATCCAGATGTATCCAGAGAAAGATGCACATGGCGATGACGAGGACAATGTGGAAATGGAGAAAGAACTCGTAGGAGAGAGCCCTGAAGACCTTGGGACTCTGGATGAGGATGACGGTGAAGGCGAGGACAGCGATCAGGCCACTGTAGATGAAACTGGACTGCAACGACTCCTTCACTCCAGCCCAGCCTTTCTTCTCTACTTTTGCAATCAAGTAGCAGACCATGTGCGCGATACCTTGCAAGATGGACACGCGGCCCAGCCAGCGATGCATGAGGTTGAAGGTGTCATAGGGGATGTTCAATAGCGATATCAATGGATTCTTCACCGTGCTCAGCACTATTATCGGGATGAGATTGACGACCGATAGACAGCCGGTACGGTTGCGGAGGATGGGTAGGACTTGCAATTCCGGCTCGGACCACGGAATTTCCCATACGCAGGCGAATACGTTTGTGGCCACGACCAGGAAGATGAAGAGGGCCTGGAAACGAGTGGGAAGTGTCCCGAGGTTGACATGCGGGGAGATCTTGACCTCGCGAGCGCGGCGGTAGTAGAGAGGAGCGTAGATGAGCTTGCTCTTGATCGCCGAAAAGTTGGACGAGCTTTGAGAAAAGTATCGAAGCGAGCCAGGTCGGTCCATCGACGCCAGGTGCCGGACGTACGTGTCGATGCGATGAAACGTGGCGTAGGCGAAGAGCAGGCCGGCCACTCCCAGCAACGCCCAAAGATAGTTCCAGGCCAAGGCCTTGTTCAGGTGGGCGAAATAAGCCTTGGTGGCGGCCTTTTGACTCTGCGAAGTTGCGGTTGTGCTGCTGCTGTCCGAAGACGCCATGGCACTCGGTACGGTCAATGCCATGAGCATTGCAAGAGGCGTAAGTACGGAAGCCATATTGCTTGTTGCTAGCCAGAGCAAGGAAAACGAGAGAGAGGCAGAGAAGCGAAACTTGAAAATGCCTCAGCCTGCTGAGACAAAAGGATGACAAAGAGGCTTTGGGAGTGTCACGGTAGGAGAAAGAAACAAAGAAACAAAGACCTACCACGCGGAAATGCCATGTTACTGATATACCTCGCAGCGGTGGTGAAGATGGAGCATCTGGCAAACCCTCGCCAAAAGTTGCGTGAAGGCTTGAATTGACGAGGTGACGAAGCGAGCTCGCCATTGCGCAACGTGGAATTCACCAGGGTCTGAAACGAATGTAGCAGGGGTTTCATGGATACCTCTGTCCTCGATACACAACCGCCTCCAGATAGGGTATCTTGTCGTCCCGCGTATGGGCCGGCCTGTGGGAATAGACTGGCAATGGAGGCCCAGCAATGGCCTCTCCTGAAGCTTTACCTGAAACAGTAGCCGTGGAGTATCAACGGTATTACAACTGGTATTGTGGAGCTGGATCCCAGCTTCATTTCGACGTCAAAATGCAGCATCGAGTCCAGGAAAGACAGCAGGAATGGTCACATGACCAGTGTTGACATCTGGAAGAGGGAGGACGGTGCGTGACACGAGGAGAACGGAGGACGGAGTGGAAAAGTTCGTGATCCGTACTCAAACGAATCCCCACAGTTATCATCCCTGATCGGCAGATACTTGTAGGGGTTTAGCTCCGCTCGTTGCAGGAATCCGGCTTGGTGCGAAGGGCCGGGCTCCGATTGGCCTTAGAGAGGCAATGATCAGGTTGTTTGAAGCGCCAGTCTATGGGGTCTGGAGCAGACATATCGGTGCTGTATGTACGGAGTAGGTAGTATACTCACATAGGTAGTGACAAGTCTAGCCGACAGCTGTCTGGCGTAGCGCACATGTGGAGTATATGAAGTATAGGTCCAGTATATTCGTAGGTGCAGAATACTGTATCGGTGGGCGAAGAGTCGTCAAAGGGTCTGAGGATTCGTACATTGGACACGAGTACAGTCTTCCGAAGACGCCAGCTGTGTACGTATACCCGGAGGACGGCAGCATTCTCTGCAGATACCCCCGTATGAGTAGGACACACTCAGGCCGCGTGCCGAATACATGGACGTCCAACTGCTGCACATGGTTCGCCGCCTCACAGAGCCTCCTAAAACACGCCAGGCTGGCGAGGCTACCGATACAAGTGCTCCATGGGTGCTTGTATGGGGTCCTTCGCTTGATCCGAAACATGGGTCACTGGCGGCACCTACAGCAATTCGCCTAATCCTGCTTCAACAATAACTCGTACTCCGTACTCTGTACATATTCGAAAGAAGACCCCATCGACCCACTTTTTGAGGCTGGTCTGTCCACGTATGTATCGTATAAGTTAGCCATAAGATGGCTGACGTTCGCTTTCTTGGCTCGAAGGTCCAGAAAAGATTGCGCATGCTGGTGAAGAATACATGTCCGCTTCGTCCTGTTTCGGGCAGGATACTATCCAAAATTCGTATATGCAGGTGGCCTGTGAATTCCTATTACCTCTTCTATCGGACAAGTACATTGGCGGCGCATTCCATTTCCGCATCCGGCGCTCAATCACAACAAGGCTACATAAGCAAACTCAACTCATCCTCAGAATCGATGTCGGGCCCTTTTTCTGGTCGTCATCATCGTATTCGTCAGTTGACCGACGCGCTTTACTCTTTTGTATTGGAAGTCCCCGTGCCAATACGTCGCAGAGTCGGGCGGCGCACTTTGTCGCCGTTGGGACTTTGTCAACAAGGGCCCAAGAGCCTGTTGGGCAGTTATGGCCACATGGCTGGCTCTGCTGGAACGGCCGCGTGCTGCCTTGCGTTGCGAGTTACTATCTGTGCGTTCGCCAGCGTTTTGATTAACGCTCGGAGCTGCAGCAACCCATTCCGCGATCAAAGCGTCCCATGTGTAAACCGGTTCGAGCTGCCGTGACGGAGTCCATGGAACACTAGCAATGTTTCGCTGCTGCTTGGCATGAAATGCTTCAATGATCGCCCCTGTCCATGCCTCGTTGGAGCACTGCTCAGGATTTTCTACGGCATATTCCTGCGCAGCTCCTACACCGAGCTTGGTAATTGCCAAATTCAGCCTTCGACAGTCGTCACATTCTATCTCCAACAACTTCCTTAGGAAACGGCGCAAGCCACCCTAAGTTTCCGCGCAGGTGCAAAGAATCATGGCTGTGACGGAGCCAGAGATCATAGGTAGGCACTCGTCGGAAAGGACAGAGTCAAGCCTCGTTAGCAGCCCCAAGTCGACGTCACCATCATGCATCAGACCTTGGAAAAGATTTCCAAAGAAGATGTGCGCGGCAAGACCACGTTGACTAGCAGTCATCTCCAACAGGATGTCCAGCTCAACAAGCGTCTGTACTTCTTTCGAGATTCTCGCAACCAGTGGACGGTAAGCTGGACGCGTGTGCTCCATCATACAAAGTCCAATCATGGCATTCCAGGCGTGTTTGAGTCTGTTGAAAGCAGCATCGGACATTGAAGAACAACATGCTTTACCTCTTTCGAGCTTCCCTCTACGGAGAAGTGCTCGTCGATCGGTCTTGCCAGACGGGGAGACAGACGTCACAAATATTGCTTCGAGTAGCTGTGGTATGGTACTGTTTGACCGTGACTCAGGTTCGCGGTAGGTCCTCATAAGATATAACAGATTTCGAAACCGTATGAATCGCTCAATCACAGAAACAGGATTCTGGGCGTCTTGAAGGACCCGGAGCGCCCATGCTATATTCGCAGCGTCTTGTGACGATTTTGTGGGCGATAACATCCTCAGGGAGGTGTCATCGGGCAAATGGCAGAAAGGAGCATCTGATTCATAACGCTGCTTGTGCGTGTCAAGGAGTGAGCGATTGATAGCTTGCTGGAAGTCAACCACTAGAGGAGATGACCATTGTGTCATGAAATGTATAGCCACGCCTTCAGATAGTACACCTGACTCCATCATTCGAGTGATCATGGAGATACCACACATACGTACCGCCGCCCTCAGTGGTGGCCAGCCCGTTTTCGGGTGGCCAAAAAAGTCCTCCATCTCTTGGAGGAAAGAGCCTATGATGTCGTGCCCTCCCGTCGTACCCATCGTGGCTGGCGTCGCTTTCTTTGTGCTGCTCGACAGCCTCTCTGGAGATTTGATCCAAGCTCATATCGAAGAGTGACCGGGCCCCGCGTCTTAGAGGCGCATCAAGGTCATCATTCCACCGCGACACTTCCGTAGTACTTGCGGTAGAGACTAGGAGGGTGCCCACGACCGACAAGCCCTGACTCAGAATGTTTTCGTGCTCTTGCGCAAGATGAGTGGTGCCGGAAGGCCAGTCTCGCTCGAATGCCACCCCCTCATCGGCGGTACTCTCCCTGTTGACGTCTGCTCTTCTCATGCTACAATATTTTCTGCACTGCTGTGTAGGCCGTTGCTTAATCGTCGCAGGGACAGAGGCCACAATGTTGTTCCGAGGAGTTCTCAGAATTCGTCGAGCCGCTGTCCGCTTTGACAGAGGTGTCGTCGGGGTTGCCTTTGTAGTCGTGATGGTCCTCACATTGCGAGAAGAATATGTTTTGGACGACCTTTTCCTCTTTCCCGTCGTACTTAACTAGTCCGATGGGACTTCGGGGATAGCAGAATCGTTGTCGACTGGTTCCACGTGCGATGAGCCCTCTTCTTGCGCGGCCAGAAATGCTACGTGCCATCTTTCCAACCTGTTGACAAAATTCGTGACTTTGCGGAGGGTTGTCTTGCAGCGGGTTGCTGTCCAGGGTGCGTCGGTTCTTCGTGAAGGAAGGCTATTGCGGGTGTTGAATCGCGGCATTGAGTATGGGTCGGTCTTTTCTCATGTTGTGCCAGTGACCATATACCGAATCGAAGCTGGCATGCGAGGCCGCCAAGTTTCAGACACTTTATTGCATATTATGTATGAATGGGGTGGAGTTACAGAGTATTCATCTTTGTCTGGTTCTGGTACAGTGTTTACACATTTCCTTTCTTAGACGCGTAAATTAATGACACGGTGAGGACATTCTCCATATATACTTCATGATTTTTATCTTCGACGTACTCCAGGGATACATTCGATGTCCATCCTTATCCAGAGACGATATACACCAGTTTCTTACCTCTTGCTTGACCATCTTTCAATGTGTTCAAGCCATCAGCAACACCATGGAGACCATGCGGCACGACATCAAAAGGGTGTACTGAGAATTTCCCCTCCCTGCACATGTTTCCAACCCAATCGAAGAACTTTCCAGCAGAGTCGACATCTCCCACTGCTTCTTCAGGTGTCGCCTGCTTCGGCATGCCGGGCTTGTATGCACCTTCATGCCCGGTGCCGACATACGTGTACATAATCTGGACATTGTCTGGGACGCCAGATTCATCATAGCTGTTCGCGCTGGAGAATACGCTCAGAATGCCTGCATCCAACATTTGGCTGATATCGACCCAGGTTTTATTTTCGGTGAATGCGTCGATGCTATTTAGAAGCTTCAGGTTGTACCGCTTTGCATAGCCACTCACCTCCTTCTTGACCTGTTCCATGCCGGGACGATAATCCAGGAAAATGTCTTTGTTCATCGAGGTCGAGCAGTGAACGCACGTACTCACTGCTCCCGCCACCTATGGCTATGATGGGACCGATTCCGGCCATCTTGGCTAACTTGACGATGTAAGTGCCCAACGCTGCCGTGGCGCCGTACAAGAGGAGCGGTTTCTTGTTCTTGTTCTTGTCGGCACATTCTTGGTCTGGACCTAGATCCAAGTCCCACGGCGCTGCAAACCCTTGACGGCGAAACAGCGTGATCGCGGCCGTCAAGCTCACCAGCGGAATGGTGCTTGCCTCCTCGAACCCCATGTCGCCGGGGATGGCAAACACGGTGTACGCTGGAGCGACCGCGTACTCTGCATAGGCCCCATACGGCTGTCCCAAGGCGTGAAAGGCAGCGACCCTATCTCCAATACGAAATTTGGACACCTCTGTTCCCATCCCGACAACAGTCCCTGCAAGGTCGTCGCCTGAATTGAGCGATACGCCTAGCATGAAGAGATGGAGCCAGTCTTTCGGGTTCGACGCGGCGGCTTGGACTTTGATCAAGACCTCGTTTGGGGCCAGAATCTGCGGCACCGCAACGGTGGTGATGGTGGTGGTTATTGGCTGCGTCGGATGGACCGTGACCGATCGCATTTCCTTCGGGAGAGGCATGTTCGACGGTTACGAAGCAAGTCTTTTAATTTCTATGAATCAAGCAACGGTATCGAAAACTGGTAAGGGAGGACTCAAAGGTTGAGGATGGAGGACTCAACTCAATGCTCGATGTCTATCGCTCTCAGGTACTCATAACACTTTTACGCAACCTCTCAAGGTCATATATTCCCCCTTGGCTTATAAACATTGTGTAACATAGACGTGTTCGATATGTGTATATTGCACAGCGTCTCGTAATCAGTCATCTCGACGTTTTGCACAAAAAAAGTCTTGATGTACAGAGTGTCTACATACTATCGACCCTACCATTTTGTCCCCACAATCTTTCTACACAGATGATTCATGGGCCAATACAACTCGACAAATGTTTATGCGCTCAACAATTGTTTCATACCTGTGTGATTGGTAAACGAGCGAGCATAAAAATCATTATTTTCAACCTATATAATATTTCCAGAGTGTCACACAGGGTGACATGTCAATCTCATAATATTACATCCTTGGTCGTGGATTTGTAAGACTCCAAAAGAAAACGCCACTTAATAGGCCAAGGCTGTCTCGACAGGGGGAGTGTTTGACTACTCGAACAGCAACTTGATCATTTGCAGAGGAAGACGAGTACGAGGACGAGTACGATAGAGACCGATAATCTGATGCGGTCATGAAATTAAGCCCATTTCTATTTACTCTCCCACTAAATCAATCTGACGGACCTTGTGTACGGTATTCAAGCTTCGTTCGTCTCTTTCAATGCCTTCTCCTTCGACTTGGCCGTCGCCCTCCAAGAGAAGATCAAACAGACGGCCAGGATGATCCCCAACCCGTCCAGGCCTATACCGAGATACCACGCACCCCTGTATCCCTCCAATTGCTTTCTCCCGCCATTGTTGACGTGCGTCTCGACGGTCCCTGCCATGCCCAGACCGATACTGATCGAATAATTGACCACGGTATTGATCAGGCTCGCGGCCAAACCTTGATGCTCGGGCGGCATGTGGTTCGACAAGACGATCACGCCGCTGGGGAAACTCATGTCCATACCCCAAGGGGTGACGACCAGGGCGACAAAGGCCTGTGCCCAAAAGGTCTGATGCACCGGCATGGTCGCCAGCAAGATGTTACCGACACAAAACGCCGTCATGGCGATCAACAGTACCCAACCTGGTTGGATCTTGCCGATGACGAAGCCAGTCGTGATGGCAGCGATGGCACCGGATATGGCGGTTGGTACGATCATGGCCGCAGTCAGGAGGATCGTCTGACCTCGCAAAAGTTCCAGAAATTGCCTTGAAGGAAAAGAGAAAAAGGTCAGTGAGTCTTTCGAAACACCAGAAATGGGTGGTTCATTTACTTACCACAGATAAAATACCCAGATACCAAAGCTAGCCCAACCAAACGCCTCACAGGCAAACACCAGTCTCGTGTCGCGGGTGAATGAAGACATGGGGACGAGTGGGAAAGTGGCCCTGTACTTTTCGAACCAGAAGAACAACGCCAACAAGGCAACGCCGACAATCAACAAAACGTAGACGTAGACCGTATCCCAACCCACGCCGGGACCTTGGTTCCACGCGAAATTGAACAAAACCAAACCTGCCACGCCGATGATTGTCCCCATGACGTCGAGTTCTTGAAATGTCACCGCTCCACCGGCGACCGGCAAGTCTGGGACGACAAAGACGACCAGGACCGCCACGACGACACACACCATGCCCAACACCCAGTACGCCCAGGGCCACCAAACAAACTGGGTGAATATCCCGGAAAACACGGCGCCGACGAGGTAACCCCCGGGCGCCGCCGCTCCGAACAGACTCAAGACCATGTCCTTTCTCGGGCCGGGAGGGTACGTCCTGCTGAGCACCGCGATTCCATTGGGAAGCATGATGGCGGGGCCTATCCCCTGCATGGCGCGACAGAACGCGAAAAAGATGAGAGAATGGGAGAAGGCACTGAAGCCCGCCACCAGAGACCAGACGGCGAACCAGCAATAGCCCAACACAAACAGCTTCTTGTGCCCAAAGAGGTCACCCCATCGGCCGGCGGGGAGGATGAACGTTCCCACCGTCAGAGAGTAGCCCGCGGGGAACCACGACAGGTGGCCCGGGTTGGTGGTGTTGAAGGTCCGTCCGATGACGTGGAGGGGGGCGATGGATTGAGCGAGAGCGGCCTGGGTGAGGAGCTGTGCGGACGTTATCACCGACACAAACAGGATCTCGTGGAAGAGGGAAAAGGACGGTGGTTTCGTGGCCGTGGGTACTCGAGACGCCGTGTTGGTCAGGCTGGGCTCTTGACCTAGAGTCGTGTGCGCGGTCTCATGTCGGGCCAAATCAGTGTTGTCGTTGCCGGACGGATGGCCATTTGGTGTTGTTGTCGTCTTCGTCGATGCATGTCCAATCGGTGCTGGTGAGTGGTTCTGCGATTTCGTCTTCTTTTCTTCAAGGACGGCATCCTCGTCCGATCCTGTGTTTAGTTCCCCGAGAGGCATATTGCAACTCTGTTGTCATGAAAGAAAGTGTGCTGGCCTCGGTATGGGAATGGATATTGATCCAGTCCTTGAGTGTGTGATATGGAATTCAAGCCACCAACCAGCAGGCTCCAAACTCCTGTATCTGGTGGAGAGGATTTCTGCAAAATATTCTCAATTAAATGGTCGAAATGTCGAAGTGGCCTTCTGGTAAGGTACCGGAACTGGATGTCCGAAGTGAAGCTAAGAAGCACGAGATCCAAGCATGATCGACGTCGGGTTGGTAACAGCAGAAGAGAAACGAGACATTGGAGTTCTTCTTGTACTCCGGACGAGTACGAGTAGAAAGAAAAGACTGAACAAACCGTTCCTAGATTACTACTTAAGGATATGGCAATATTGTGCTGGGTACATCGGATGGCACCACTCGTGGCGCGTAGATGAGTATCTTGTCTCCGAGTGACGGCCGCTTGACGCCACCAGCGGAATGGAAATCGACAAAAGTGCAAAAGGGTCCACACTGGATGAAAAATAGATACCCTCATCTCGTCCCGGACGAGAAAGAGATCGTCCTGCTGTATGTACGTAGCACAGTATTTTTCTTGCTCCCTGTGTACACTGTACTTTTCATCTCCACCTTAAGCCACATTCCGCTTGATCTCGACTATTATGTAGTTCTCCTCAGTGCGTTATGCACATTTGGTGGTAGTATGAGGCGGACTATTCACTGCCCTTCCGCATTGCGGCTCAAGATGTACCATGAGAGTATAGGTAAATAATTACATCAGATTCTACCACATACATACTCTACGGTGAGAAGCGACATGAATACAAGTAGTACTCAGATCTCCACAAACAGCGTGCTTTGTTGCAGACTCGAAATTGATTATCAAAGCATTGAAAATCTCGGATCCACTGGTGGTGCGTGTGGCGGTGGCTGTTGCGGATCTTCTTCCGCCCAGCACGATGGAGATAAAAGTACTCGGGACGGAGGAGAACTACCTCAGGGTATGCTTGCCCGAGTTCTCAGTGGGTGGTGAAGACTCAGCCATACTTGTATAAACCTTTAAAGTGTCTCCGCGGTGCTCTACTAGACCCTGTCTGCTGCGAAATGGAAAGTTCGCTGTGCGTGTGATCTTTCTCGGCTTCATGCCAGGCTCACGCTCGAGCATAGATGCAGTCTTCGCTGAAGCCGCTGATTGATTGGATAAAACCGGAATGGAAACGTTCCAGGATTGTCATCACATCGTATTCATTCCGTCTAAACATCATCTGCATGCTCTCGAGCGCTATGCAGACCAAACTACCTCTCAAGGGGACGCTTGGTGAGAGCAGCCAAATAGCAGTCCGCACTGCGCTGTTTATACCATTTCACGTCTCAAACGCCAGCTCTTTCCAGAATTCAGAGAGTTTTGGACGCTGGTAATCAATGCGCTGCAAGAGGAAGAAATGGGTGCTTCGTGAAGACGCGGACAGCGACCTCCGGCTGCGGCCAGGTACAAACCTCTACAAGACCAGCTTGCTAGCGGTCAACCAAGCGCGAGGAGCTGGCCAGTGAAATATGATCGTACAAGCTCATTCTGAGTCCGAGGCTGACCCTGCACCATCATCGTCATCGTCTTGATGGGCATCGGCATTCTTCAATCCTTCATGAAGTACGTATTCTTCCTTGATCAGAATTCCTCGAAGCTCCTCGGTCCTAGGTGTGCATATCTCGGCAGGCTTTCTTCCATGGCCATCTTTTACTCTGGGATCGCCTCCAGCTTCAATGAGCATCTTGGCCATTGCTTCTCCTAACTCGACTTCGCGTTCGTTCGCATATCGGACAGCGCAGTGTATCGGCGTCTCTTTATCTCTCCTCGTGATAGGGTCACACTCAAGGAACTCAATGTTCAATAGCTCGTCCATAACATCATCTGAAATTGTCAGCTTGAGGAAGCACACGGGGTTGAGGACCGCGCTTACAGGCCCCATAATTTGCGCAGACATGCAATAAATGATTACCCATAGTATCCGTGACGGTGTTGAAAAAGTCTGCTGTTTGCTCCTTGCTCTTATCCTTCATATCATTTAGGACTTCGTGGAAAAGCTCGACATTATCTCTACGGCATGCTTCGAGTACCTGCTCCTTATGGGAAGCACCCTAGGCACTGAGTCAGCAGGGTCAGACTATATCATCGTCAAACTCACCTCAACATCAGCCATGGTGAGTGTGAGGCACACCAGCCAAGGCTATAGCAGAGGAAAATGCCTCAGGTTGTGCCTCCCCGTGCTATGGAGCAGGCAGATGTGAATTGAGCGCAGTCGGTGTGACTTCAACCAAGAGAAGAATGAAGTTGCTGAAGCCTCGAACAGAATGAACGTTCGGAAACTAAATGGGTATTCTTTTGGCGTAGAATTAAGTTGTTCGTGGATGCTGGAGAGGGTAGGGTCGTCGAGTGTCTTACGCAGTCGTTGTTACTTGGAGAGTACCGTACGCCGCACGGGTACGGAGTAGTGTTCTTCTCGTTTGGGACCCCCTGTTCATGCCAAGTTCAGCCTCGACTTTGGGCTGCACTTTCTCCGAGCCTTATCAGATCCGATCCGAGGTTTTCCCGCCTAAATTCATCAACAGGTCCTTCCATTAAATGTCTGCGCGTGGTATGTGGTTATGTCTAATCTACCTAGGTAGCTACAGAAGAGATTGTGGTTCTTTTCGATACAGGAGGCTACTTGAATGTATGTGCGCCTCCGGCGCTTTGCATCGACACAATGCCTCCCACATGTTGGTCTCCTCAGTAAACTGAACCATGGATGCGGTTGACTGAACATGAACAGACTGCCCAAATTGCTCCAACAGTCTCACCATCGCACGGGTGACGCCTCGGGACGATAGGATCGAACGAAATGCCTTTACCTGCAGAACGTGTCCTTATCAATTCGTTCTTGATAAGCACTACACAGACAAATATCCCATGAAAAAGAAGCAAAAGGACGATGTTCTAGGCGAGGAGCAGTCGGATCTTCCAATTAACGAAGGTGTGTTTACATGCCTTCAAGGTCAAGCGATCAAGAATACTGAATTGCGAAAGTGCCTGGTGGCTGTCCCAATGAAAAGTGCGAGTCGAAGAAGGCATACTTCTATCAGCTGCAAACAAGGAGCGCAGACGAGCCTCCCACTTCTTTTTTTAAGGTACGACTTGGGTTGGGCGATTTTATGCAGCCGCTAATATCCTACAGTGCATCGAATGTGGCAAGCAATGGAGAGAATACTAGGTACAGGTTCAGCTCTTGGGTACCGATCAACACTCGCCTTCCATGCTCCTTGTACAAGACGCTTGAACGATAGAACAAACTTGCCACAAACACCTGCGCAATGGCGGCAGTGGCATTTTGATCGATTTTACACAGCGGCCGCCCCCGGGACATTGCAGCCTGGGACATATCAACTCTCGTGGACCATTGTTCATGGAAATGAAAAGACTTCATGTACAGCAAGAGAAGCACCATCCCGACTCGAGGACGGAGTACTACAGCACTAACACTCACCATGGCCATAACTCTTTCTTGACAGTAGGACGGCGTCGCCGTGGACAGCTTGCCGCAGGTGGGTGGGTACCAGTATCGTCAAGTAGGGCCTATGATAGTTGTAATAGTCCATAATAATTGCTGCGTTCAAAGCAACCTCGAAGGAGAAAATTGTATCTGCTCCAGTATTTACAAAAGCCCAATTGGCCAGCCGAACGTGAGGCAAAAAGATTGATATGCGAGTCCAAAAGAGACGTAAAAGTCGTCACCAATCATACTCGGACTGAATGGGAAAAAGGCGGCATGGTGGGGTTGAGCGTAGCAGAAAAAAATAGCTGCCACAGTGACCAGAACTGAGCTGGCTGACGATGATTCACACCAACTAGCGCCAAGCCCTGTCTTTGGGCCGCAGGCTACAAAATCTGCGCACACTCCTCTACAACTCTTCCTCCCTCCTCTTCGTCGCTCAGTGAGTCCCTCACACCCCTCTACTTCTTCCGCCATCAAAACTAATCATCACACAGCACCTCTACGCAAGCCGTGGTATCTGAGCATCGCACGCGAACTCTTCTAGTATCTGCCACAGGACTACAAGACTTCTTAAAACTCACATCACAGTTCAAAACAACCGCCACCATGGGGTAAGCAAATTCCATCTGCGCCTGGTCAAATTCCTTCTCTCTGCGATATCAATGAGCATCTCTGACATGTCTTCTATCTCTATAGTAAGGAAAAGACTCATATCAACGTCGTCGTCATCGGACACGTCGACTCCGGCAAGTCCACCACTACCGGTAAGAGATGGACCTTTACCAGCACAAATCAAGAGCAAAACACTCACACATATCAACAGGTCACTTGATCTACAAGTGCGGTGGTATTGACAAGCGTACCATCGAGAAGTTCGAGAAGGTAAGCCTCTTTTTGCCCTTCTTCTCTCACACTGGCCTTATCATGTCTGCCACCAAATTTTTGTTTGGTGGGGGAGGGGCAGGCGCAGTATCACGTGATGATAGGTCCGATAGACTAACAAACTTTCGTCTCACAGGAAGCTGCTGAACTCGGCAAGGGTTCCTTCAAGTACGCTTGGGTCTTGGACAAGCTGAAGGCTGAGCGTGAGCGTGGTATCACCATCGATATCGCTCTCTGGAAGTTCGAGACCCCCAAGTACTATGTCACCGTCATCGACGCCCCCGGTCATCGTGACTTCATCAAGAACATGATCACTGGTACTTCCCAAGCTGACTGCGCCATTCTCATCATTGCTGCCGGTACTGGTGAATTCGAAGCCGGTATCTCCAAGGATGGTCAGACCCGTGAGCACGCTCTGCTTGCCTACACCCTGGGTGTCAAGCAGCTCATTGTCGCCATCAACAAGATGGACACTACCAAGTGGTCTGAGGACCGTTTCAACGAAATCATCAAGGAGACTTCCAGCTTCATCAAGAAGGTCGGCTACAACCCCAAGTCCGTTCCTTTCGTCCCCATCTCCGGCTTCAACGGTGACAACATGATCGACGTCTCCACCAACTGCCCCTGGTACAAGGGCTGGGAGAAGGAGACCAAGGCTGGCAAGGCCTCTGGCAAGACTCTCCTTGAGGCCATCGACGCCATTGACCCCCCCTCTCGTCCCACCGACAAGCCTCTCCGTCTCCCTCTCCAGGATGTGTACAAGATCTCTGGTATCGGAACGGTGCCCGTCGGTCGTGTCGAGACTGGTATCATCAAGGCCGGTATGGTCGTTACCTTCGCTCCTGCCAACGTCACCACTGAAGTCAAGTCCGTCGAAATGCACCACGAACAGCTCGCCGAGGGTGTTCCAGGTGACAACGTCGGTTTCAACGTCAAGAACGTCTCCGTCAAGGAGGTTCGTCGTGGAAACGTCTGCGGTGACTCCAAGAACGACCCACCCAAGGGCGCTGATTCCTTCAACGCCCAGGTCATCGTCTTGAACCACCCTGGTCAAGTTGGTGCTGGCTACGCCCCAGTGTTGGATTGCCACACTGCCCACATTGCTTGCAAGTTCTCTGAGCTTCTCGAGAAGATCGATCGTCGTACCGGAAAGTCGATCGAAAACAACCCCAAGTTCATCAAGTCTGGTGACGCTGCCATCGTCAAGATGGTTCCCAGCAAGCCCATGTGTGTTGAGGCCTTCACTGATTACCCACCACTCGGTCGTTTCGCCGTCCGTGACATGCGTCAAACCGTCGCTGTCGGTGTCATCAAGTCCGTTGTCAAGTCCGAGAAGGCCGGTGGCAAGGTGTAAGTTTTCCGTCTTTCGATCCATTTTACTCCACATACTGATTCTTCTACAGTACCAAGGCTGCCGTCAAGGCCGGCAAGAAATAGACGTCTGCAAGAATCTTCGGAAATGGTTACTTCTGATATGGGGTTTGTTAACTCGTAACTCTTTTGTTGCCATGATCCAATTTTTCTGCCATGTCTTTTTTTTCGTCAGCGTTCAATCACCGACGTACTTGCTCCATTAAGGACAAGTGCTCAAAATTCAGTGTCGAATTCAAGATTTGATAGACAAGATTTCATGTCCTTCATGGGCTATCAAGTTAGCTTTTCAATAATGCAACAGGACATGGATGCCATTCAGTTTTTCCGCTTTCTTGTTCTTCCGTAGCGTGTAGAAAATGCTCATGGAGTAAGGTCCCATGTTACCAGGTAATCATGTATTCGTCCGCTTAGCATGTAATCCCTTGTAATCTGATGCGTGCGTCCGTTGCTTAGCCAGTCCGTCCGGCACCCTCTGGGTAATAAAACTTCAGCGCGGTATGTGAGAGGGAGAACCAGCGTGTCACGACGATTTGACGATGGGAATCACGCACGAGGCTACCAATATCACTGGAGTGCTCCCCAATTGTCATTCCTTGATATCAACACGAGTGAAATGGTGGCCGACAAACTTCAAAATGACGAGCACCGAGACACCAACAAGGACAATAATAACAACTAGTTTATTGGTCTCTTGGTCGTGTGCCCTTTGTAAAGATATCTCTACTACGAGTATGGCGAGTGAGATTGGTAGCCTCGTGCGTAATGCAGAGGTGGGTGTGCGTGATACCCATGGTCAAATCATCGGAGTTGTATATATATATTCGTGTCTAATGAGACAAGCTTCGACTTGTATTTGTCAAACGCTGGACACCATCCTTTACCAGCACGTGTAACCCCCATCGACAATCTGTCGACGAGTTTAAATTAGAACACTTTCTCTTCTCCCTTCTCCTAACAAAGTACTCGAGGGGATTCGCATTTGGAGGAAACTTACCACGTCCGACCCGTTCAGGTAACTCGAAGCGTCACTCGCCATCCACACGATGGTCCCCCTGAGTTCATGTGGCTCGGCCATCCTCCCCATCGGAATGTCCTTTTCCCACGAGCCGACCAGTTCCTTCCCTTCGTGCTCCAGCAGGCCCTTGATCAGGTCGGTCCTCATGTAACCGGGGCTCAAACTGTTGACCCTGATGCCCCTGGGTCCCCATTCCGTCGCGAGGCTCTTCGCCAAAGATCGGATGGACCCCTTGGAAGCATTGTAGGCTGCCTGCTTCTGTGGACGCACGCAGATGGTCGCCGACATGCTGGCGATGAGGACGATGGAACCCCGGATGTTGTGCTGGAGCATGTGTTTGCCGGCCTCCCGGGCAAACAGCCAGCTCCCGTCGACGTTGATGTCCATCATCTTCCGCCAGCGGGCGTACTCGTAGTTCTCGGCCTCGACGTTGTCCACGATGCCCGCGGCCGTGACGAGCACGTCGACTTTGCCAAAGTCTTGAACGATCTGGGCCCACGTGCTTGTCACGTCGTTCTCGATCGTCGCGTTGCACTGGTAGGCTCGAAGTTCGGGGGCAGGATCTCCGGGGTATGCATCCCTGACTTGGTTTGTTATTGACGAGATGGAATCTTCGCAGTCTTTGATGGCCAGGTCGATGCACGCCCCCCGGGCGCCGCTGAGGGCGAATGCCGTCAGAAACTCCTTTCCCAGCCCTCGCGCTGAACCGGTCACCACACAGGTCTTGTTTTCGAGGGAGAACGAAGGCAAAGTCCTCAGAGAGCGGCTGCTTGTCCAGAAAGGTTTGAGGCTGTGGCGTTTGGCGGTGAGTGACCAGCGAGGAGCAGCAGCCGGACGGCGAAGAGGAAGAAGAAGAAACCCTGGAAACATGTCGAAGGGGGAATTTGCACCGCAAGGATGGATCCTTGACACAGAAGTACGATCGGAAAAAGACAAACAATACTAACTTACCTGGCTATTTTGCTGGCAGTCCACAGAACGTCGAAGGACAAGAGTTGTTGGAACCTCGTTACGACCTTTTGTACCGCAAGGACCAAGACCCTCGTCCTGTTGTGACACCGTCCCACGGTCCAGGTGCCAGTGTGTGCCAATGCTTACCCTTTCCTTGTCCGGACCATGTTGTGCCGCTTGAGGGGGGAGCTGTCTAGGTTCAATACGAGGGCCACGATGGGAGGATAAGAGTGTACATGGGTTCATCTTCGCAGTCTCTGCGGGGTGAAGCTTAGCGGGTTCTGCGGGTTACTGACTGACTCGCTGACTTACCCACCTAATAAAGGATAGTAGGGATACAGTACGGAGTACGAATGTCTTTTACTGCCCCTCTCTAATTTATCCTCTTGGGTTTCCGCGCATGCAGCCCTAATGCAATGCCTGCAGCCTTAGCTTTGGGGCTGCTTTTCGTGCCCCCTACGAAAGACGGCCGACATGCGGTTTCAGCTCAAAGTAAGTGTACTTGCAGCCACCAGAAGGAAACCCAATCTCCGGGGGGTCTTCCTGTGCGGCTGATGAGTTTTGTAGTACGTGGTGATCTTTCGTTCTTCCTTCTTTTCCCATTGAATGCTCTCCCCGATCGACTTGATGCAGTGACGCACCCGAACACGCGCAAAACTTGAGAACAACCAAAATGTCGTCAATGTTAGAAGTTCGCGACCAGCGCCGGTCCAGGTCGAAATCTCCTGGCGGGCGGGACAGGGACAGGTCAAGATCTCACTCGCGCGACAACCGCGACCGCGGGACGGGCGAGCGAAGTGAATACGGCAGACGCTCGAGCAGCAAGTACGAAGTGGATGAATCGGACGACGGCGGTAGTCGCAGGTATACCGAGACAAAAAGGACGTCCAGTAAGAAATACTACGAAGAAGACGCATCAGAAGACGACGACCGGCGCAGGCGCACAAGGTCAAAGAAGAAGTACGCCGATGATGATAGCGACGAAGAAAGCAAATATCGTTCGTCGAGGTCTACACAAGAGTACCGAAGGCGGGAAATTTCTGTGTCGGATGATGACAGAGGGTACACGAGGCCGAAGAAGAAGTCAGACAGTGACTCGGACAGACGCAGAGAGAGGGACAACAGGAAGAGCAGCAAGAGATACGATGATTCAGATGGGAGTGAGCATGACGGTTCCCGGCGAGAGTCCACCAAGCGCAGTTCGCGCGTCGAATATGCTGAGGCGAGACCTCGCGAATCCCGTCACTCGAGCTACAACGGCGCAGAGACACGCTACACGGCCCCGGAGGCACCGCCACCTTCGAATCAGCGATATGCGTCCAACGGCCAACGGTATGCGGAAGTCGACCAGTACAAATACGCTCAGCCGAGTGATTACACCTCGAGAAAACCCGAATATGAGCGCTCCCGACTGTCGGACAGCAAACGCGGAGTTGGAGATGGTTTTGAAATCGACAAGCATGACAAGAGATACCGCGAGGACAGATACGAAGCTCGAGAATCCAAGGAAAAGAGATATTATGACGACAGATATGAGACTCGTGAGCCGAAAGACAAAAAGTATCACAATGACCGTTATACCGCCTCATCAGACAACGTGACCAAAAGGATGTCTTCTTTGGCCGTAGGGGGTGGTGCGGCCACTCTTGGAGTCGCGGGAATGGCTGCTGCACATGCTGCTGGTTCCAAACCACCTGCGTCGCCTCTACTAGAAGCGTACAAGGGCACCTATCAATCGATTTCGCCCATGCCATCGGCGCTGGTTCTTGCAAACCACAAAGACGATTCGGATCTGTCCGACCTCGATCTGGATCTGGACGGCGATTCTGATGATGACGACCCCAATGTTGATCTGAAACGAAAGATTCGCAAACTGGAAAGAGAAAAAGAAAAGTACTCTCGAGAGCACAGTAGTAGAAAGAGTGCCACAAGCCTGAGCACCATGACAGAGATACGTCCCCGACGGTCGTCCAACCTTGAGTCTCCGCGGGAAAGCACCATGATAGAGATCACTCCTGGCGGCAGGCGAGAACGCTCTAGCTCCAACGTGAGTATTCTTTCCACAGGCGGCGGCCATGGGAAGAAGAAATCGGTCTCGTTTTACGATCCAGTCGACGACGCCAAACGCATCGCCGCAGCGTTAGCTGGCACGCGTAGCGCACCCGATCCCCGACCGCTGGTCCAGATCCTGCCGTATTTGTCCACAGACGATCTCCTGGCTTTGCGCGCCGAGTATAAAAAACTCGTCAAAGTGAATGGCCAAGGCATAAACATATGCAAGCACGTCAAGTCGCGATTACCTGGCAATCTGGGCAAAGCGTGCTATGCGACCGCCCTCGGTCGTTGGGAAAGCGAGGCGTACTGGGCGAACTCGTGGTACCAAGGCGGCGCGTCACGGAGGGAGCTCCTGATTGAAAGTTTGATGGGCCGATCCAACAGCGACATTCGCGAAATCAAAAACTGTTTCAAGGACAAGAAGTATTCGAACGACCTCGAGAAATGTATCCGGACCGAATTGAAGGCCGACAAGTTCCGCATGGCGATTCTTCTCGCCCTCGAAGAGCGTCGCATGCCCGAATCCAGCCCGCTCGACATAAAACTGATCCGGAACGATGTTCAGGCCCTGGCACATGCGTTGGATTCCGCGGGTGGTGAGTCGGACCTGATCCGAATCATCGTCGTGCGTAGCGACGCGCACCTTCGCGAAGTTCTTCGCCTGTTCGAACGGACCTACCGCGTCAACTTTGCCCGCGAGATGATCACCAAGTCGCGCAACCTGGTGGGAGAGACTTTGGCGCACGTTTTGAACGGCGCCCTGAATCGACCCATGCGGGACGCGCTGCTGCTCCACCAGGCCATCAGCGAGACGGCCCCGGGCAAGGAAAGGACCGAATTGTTGATCTCGAGGTTGGTGAGGATGCACTGGGAACCAAAACACCTCGAAAAGGTCAAGTCGGTGTACCGGGAAAGGTACGGGCACAGCGTCGAGGAAGCCATCAGGCATGAAGTGTGGGCTCAGATGAAGACCCAAGAGGGACGGATCTGTGCCGAGTTTTGTGGTGCCCTCGTCGAGAGTAGTGCTTTTGAGAGGAGGGGTGTAGGTGATATGCCTGTTGAGATTATACGATAGACCAGGACAGTGGGTAGGTCGGCGGGTACCAGTAGTGTGGTACGCTGTCCGTTGAATAGGGCCAAAGCAGCAAAGCATCAAACATTTCTATCTGGATAACGAATATACTCTAGAGGAATCAACCAAGAAGGGCCATACATTCGTACTCTTTGTCTCGTCCAAGTCATCGCTTCTCGGATCAATCGTCGGGCATGCCGCTGTCGTCGGAAAAAGTAATGTCAGGAATGGGAATCGCCCTGATCAACTCGAGAGCATGCAATGTCGAAATGCGATGGGACGGCGAGAGTCTTGTCAGTCCTTGAATTATCGGAAGCAAAGCCTTCAACTCCGGTTCGAGGACGGGCACATGTTTTTCAATCTGCCTCTCCGGCCGATATTCCAGCTTGCCTGGTTCCCATTTCCATTTCTCGGGGCCGCCAGCATCGCCACCGCCCTTTCTGGCCGCGGCTGCTTCTTCTTCTTCATCAGAGCTCATTTCCTTCCACTTTGACTGAGTGAGAGTGAGAGAGAGAGAGAGGAAAAAGAAATCCTGAGGCAAACAATTACATGGTTGTTGATAACTCGCGAAGCCTGTTTCCTTGTCCAGTTCCTACTCTTCGACTTATTTACCTATTTTCATCAAACGGATCCTGATAAGCATACATGCCCACACCTCGATATTCCTTTCAAAAGAAGAAAGAAGAACCTTTCCCATAGGACGGACCATCCCTTGACATCGGCACTACCACCCCAGCAGCAGCAGCTGCTGCATTACTGCTGACGCCGCAACGTCGTCCATTCACCTAGCAATTGGTCAACGGCGTCTGCACCGTCAGCCGTCCCCATGAGTACTCCTAGTCCGGTGACCGACGACTGGGGCTCTTCTGCTTTAGCCTTGCCCTTGCCCTTTCCTTTGTTATTGGTATCACTCAGATCCACGGTTTCCATGGCGTCCTCGTCCTCCTCGATGGTCTCTGCTACTTTCTCAGCACCACCACCATTTGTTTGAGTGGTGGCCTTGTTATTATTCGGATCTGATGAAGACGGGGACGACGACGCGGCGGTCTGTCGTGGTGGTCCAATCGTCGCACCCTCACTCTCACCCTGAGCGATGGCAGCTTGCACACTGGCCGAGAGGATGTCTTTCATGCGAGCGTCCTGTTCGGGAGACCATCCTTCTCCTCCCGCGGCTGGGTTTCCACGAGACTCGTAGGCGGTGCCGCTACCGCTTCCATTGCCGTTGCCGGTAGAGGTCTCGCCAGACCCTTCGATCAGAGCGGCAGGGGCAGGGCGGGAAATCGATGCATTCGACGGCGTGTCCAATTCCACGCGAACCTCCGGCAAGGGTCCCAATCGAGGTGTGTGCTCTATGGCGTCAGCGGACATCAACGGTCTTGACGCGTCGCCGCCTTGCGCGTGACCAGTAATACCGACGGGGTTCATTTCGATATCCCCAACTCTCGACGCAGGATCAGGTCGGCGACCCGAAACCAATGCATCTGGTAATGCTGCCCTAAAAGCCTCGGCCAGCGTCGGTCCCGAGTCCGAGTCGTCGGGACTATCGTCGCCATTCGAGTATGGTTGGTAGTATCCTCCTCCGTTTGAAGCTTGGTTGTAGGTGAGTACATTGTTGGCGTCCTCGGTGATTTGTTCCGTGGCGAGGAAAAGACCAGTATTGTCAAGTGTCCTGTTGGAAGAGTTTGTTAGTTTCTGAGGTTTGATGTGTGAAGGAGCAGGAAAGAAAAGATAGCACGTACTGTTGAATCGAACTCACGGCAGAGTAAGGACTAGGCATCGAGTTCCAAACTTTTGAATACCACGTATTACTCCGGCTGAGACCGTTTGTACTCCGCCTCGTACTGTTGGTCCGCGACTGCAATGAATCCTGACGTCGACGAGTTTGTTTTTGAAGCACCGAGACTGATATGCGTGGTTTCTGAGGCTGGTGGCTTTGCTGCTGCTGCGTGCGGGCGTCCCTGTCTAGTTCAACCCTTACGACAATACCGGAAGAGTGGTGAAGCACGGACGACGACTGCTCGACTTTGACCAGGGCGTTTTCGACGCGGTCGAGACAGGCCTGTATCGTAGACGCCGCCCTCGCACGGGGGCTGGAGTCGGCGTACGAATTGTCCGAGTCGGGGGGTTTGATCATGGAGAGCGAAAGGCTGGCACTGGCACTGCCGTGGGGATCCGGGCGTGACTCGTGAGAAGGGCTGTTGTCTTTGTTGTTGCTGTCGCCTTGTTGAAACGCCTCGGTCTCTCCGCCCAGGTCCTTGATCATCGCTTCGTACCTACGCGTGGCGTCCTTGTTGGCTGTGACCAGATTCTCCAGCAGTAGTTTCCGATAATGATCGTCCTGTGGTTCTTTGACATCCCTGCAGCAACATTGTCAGACTAGAGATGAAGACTTTCCGGGAAAACGAAGCAATCAACTTACCCGGCTTTCATGTCTCGAGCATAGCTCAACACGCTCAACATCAGGACCAGTGTGCTTCTTAGTCGCTCGAGGTTCGCGGCGAGGAGGTCGACTTTTGGGAGGAGAAAAGGATACTTTAATCGTTCGAGCGGCGACAAGGCGGGCACTTTACCGTTCTTCACGCCTCGTTCCCGGGCACTCTGCATGGCTTTCCCGATGATGGTGTCAATCTCTCGAAAAACGCCCTCGCACTCCCGAGTGACCTCGCGCGTTGTGGCCGTGGCCGAGCTCGAATAGATACGGCCGCGGCCATCCTCCTCCTCCTCCTCCTCCTCGTCGTCGTCGTCGTCATCATCGTCCTCCTGATCGAGGTTGACCCCGAGTTCGTGCAAGACCGAAGCCGTCAAAGACACATTGTTGGCTAGGTCTTTGATCTCTATCCGAGCGGTCGTGACCGTCTCGGAAAAGCTGTGAAGCTTCACGGCCAGCTTGATGCCGGACCTGGCAATGCCGATGACTGTCCCTGCCAGTCCTTCGTCCGCCATGATTCACCGGTTTTTCTTCAGAGTGTTTATAACCAAGACCGTCAATAATTATAAACACACACACACATAAAAATAACCCCTGAGAAAGAGAACGTTCACTCCATGACCACTCCCCCAAATACTGATGGACGGACGGAGAAAATGGATAGACGGACAAAGACGTTGATGCTAAAACACACACGCACACACACATACACACTCGATAGCTAAATAAAAAGAAATGGTTGATTGATATCCTGCAGCTTGTTTTATTGATGAGTTTACCGAACATTCGACGAACGTTTCACACGGGGAGCGAAAGCTGAAATTAAACATTTAGTCCGTGGCTGGCCTTAAAAAGCTGACTATATTTAGTGGCTTCCCGCTTAGTGGCTCGCGCCGTCGGTCGCAGCCTTGTCTAGAACAAGGCACGTGAGTGACAAGGCTGAGGCGGATCTTGTGGAGATGCATGGGAATCATTTTGCACTGGACGATGTTAGTTATACGGATACTGTACGGAGTACATATTGATGAGCCACGGTGGAGAGGATATATTTGATTCCGCAGACTGTGGCAGTGTCCTATAGCTCGCACAGCCTCGCCCACAACTGACGCTACTATCATATGTCCCTGTACGTACTCACCCATGCAAGAGTCTATATCTAATATACATCATCCCTTCTAGAGCTTCTAGCAGAATCCCAACACCCATGAGCAGAAAAAACCCTTACCTAGGTAGGTAGACAGGTATTGTGCCAACCTGACACAACATGCAACATTCAGTAAAAAAAATGATCAACCTTCAAAAACATTATGGTTCATCTCAATCCCATAATCTTTTGCCATCTTCCGCATCTGTTGTTCCATGTCGTCGTCCATGCCTTTCCCTCTACCAAAAAACTGCTTGAGCTTACTGTACCAGAAATAAGCGTCTGTTGCGAGTAGAACCATCTTGAAGATCAAATGACTTCCGAAGTTCTTCCACCGTTCACTGAAACTCAAGTTCTTGTCCTCCGCCAAAGCTCGACTTGCCCAGTTTCCGGTGATCTTGATGCGGTTGACGGGACTGCCGAGGAATTGATTGTTACCCTGGACAATCCTCATATTTCGCCCAATGAAGATCAACTCTCGAGGCCATTTCTCTTCGTCGCCCAGGATTTCCTTGATACCCTTGCGCATGGCCTGCTGCATCTCGTAGTGGCGCTTCTTCCTCTCCGCCTCGCTCATGCCCCTGATGCGCTTCGAGACGGTGTGATCGCCACCCTCGTAGGGACGCATCAAGGTCGCCGAGGCGAAGATCTCGGCATTGTTCACTCCCCAATCGCTCACCACTTCCTTGAGCGTTTGATTGTCGAATGTCATCAACGACTTCCAGAAAAGGGAGTACTGGTGTCGAAATTTGGGCGACATATGAATATACAGGCCGTGGTCGATCAGGACAAGCTCGGAGCGTCCGTTGGGTAGTCTACGGACAAAAATGTTGCCTGGGTGAGGATCGCAGTGTACATAGCCCCAAAGGAACATCTGCGCCGAGAACAAGTCGATCATGGTCGTCATGACTTCTTTCAGGTTGAGACCGAGTCCTCCTTTGCCGTCCTTGCCACGCCAGTAACTTCGATCTGGCTTCAGTTCCTCGTTCGACGAGCGAGATCGGTGTTGGAGAGAAGTGATGGGAGTCTGCGGAGGATCAAGTGGTGTACCGTGGCACCCCGGGCTTCCCGTTCTCCAACCACCTTGCCACGGTCGTGTCAGAGCGTCCTTGTCCCACAGTCGGACACCTTCAATCCACTCGGCAGTCATGACGCGCTTCGTGGTAAGTTCGTCGTAGACCTTGGGAATGTAAACCCTGTCCCGCAACCTTGGTTCACCTTTCACCAACTCGGCCATACGCTTGGAATTTTCTGCCTCGGCCTGGAAATCGCATTCCAGGAGCAGCCGCTCTGTGATGTAGGGCACCAAAGTGTACAGCGGAAGATCGAACCACCAGGTGTAGATCTTTGTGACGACCTTGAACGCCCACAGATCCCAGCCAACCTGCTGTGCAATCTCCTTCTTCTGGATCTTGATGGCAACCTCCCGACCATCTTTCAATCTCGCCCAGTGAACCTGCGCAACACTCGCACTGGCACGGGCTTTCTTCTCCATGACCCCAGCTTCAGGATCTCCATCGAACGAGACGCCAAAGACCTCCTCGGGGGTCTTCCCACCGAAATCCTCCATGATGACCTGCCGCACCTCGGCCCAGTCATTCTGCGGCGCATCGTCGAACATTTTGGCAAACATCTTCTGGAACTCCGGCGGCAGGATGGCGGACTGCATGGCTATCGCCTGTCCGATCTTGAGATACAGGCCGCCATTCGCGCGCAGCACGTGGAACAACCTCGTCGCATTGCGCGCGTGCACTTCTGCAATGTCGTCCGCAAATGGTGGGTCCTCACGGAAGTTGATCTTGTAGTCCAGCGCCGTGGTCAAGCCCGCCACGAACGTCCGCGTACACCGGGTCAGGCTCGAGGCGTAGAATTGCCTGTCAACCACGTACGCCGCCGCACCGAAGAGGGAGAGATACGCCACTCGTCTTATCCATTTCCTCGTCCGTTTGAACTGTTTCGCGGGCACCGCTTTGCCGAGCGAGGCAGGGGTGGGAGGTGTGAAGGCTGGTCGGGGCCAGGACTGGGAGAATGAACGACGCTGCTGCGATTGCGGTGATAAGCGGCCGGGCGGAGGAGATGCAAGGTGGTGGTGGTGATAATGATGGCTGCAGCGAGCGCAGATGCGCCCTGCTGCGAAGGCCATGAGAAGATAGAGAGAGGTCAGGACAGAAGAAAGGACAGTTTCACGGCAGCATCTCAACAAAGGGAAAGATCGTGTGCACACATGGTCGTGCAAGTAAAACCGACATTGAACTACTAATAACTGCCTGGGGGAAAAATTATTGTATGACGCTTTTACTTATGAACGAGTATCGGGCCCGACTCCGTCTTTTTACTTCGTTATCTCCGTGACCGTCTTTCCTCGGGTGAGAAATCTACATGGGCCAATCACGTAATTCAGAAGCCAACAGCCTCGTTTGGAGAATGATATCTCGTCCATGTGCAAAGATCGGTGTAAGAGAATGCAAGTGTCCTCAATACATAGCCATATGTATGCCGTCATCTAGTAATCACACAAAGATGGTGGCCCTGTTGATCGATCACCCACGTGACGAGGCTTGATCTCAGCCTTGTAGGCCTCAGCCTCGTCTAGTCCGTATATCGATATCTCAAAAAGTTGCCTTGCCGTCGTCATGCGCAGCCGCAACAACCCAAATATTTCTGGATCTTTATTCTGTATTGTCATTGATTCTGGACGTTAGTGTCCCTCTCCTTCTCCTTCCATCCTGTATCCTCTACAGTCTACTTTGTTCTCTTCTGTTTTCTCAGTTGTTTTATTCCTTCTCATCGCCTAAATCCTCCTCCGACAATGCCTCGCTCCAAACAAAAGTCCCAAACAACCCTGCCTCCTCTCCCTCCCTCCGCCGCCGCTCCTTCGACATTCACCGACTCCCTCCCGCTTCCCACCCTCATCGTGTTCGACCTGGACTACACCTTGTGGCCGTTCTGGGTGGACACCCATGTCTCTGCTCCCGTCAAACCAGCCAACCCCCACCCTCAACACAACACCCGCATGCTCGACCGATGGGGCGAATCTTTTTCCTTTTACAATGACGTTCCGTCAATCCTGGCGGCCGGCAGAGACCGTGGCATCACCTTGTCGTTGGCAAGTCGAACCCACGCTCCAGATTTGGCCATGGACATGTTACGTGGTCTTCACGTTCCCTCCTCGACCACCACTACCACTGATATGTCCGGTAATGACTCGACGAGAAAACTCCAATCTACAAAACCACTTCGAGCCATAGACTTTTTTACACATTCCCAAATTTACCCTGGAAGCAAGACCACACATTTTCGTCGAATACAAACCGCGACCGGTAAACAGAGCGGCGGGAGTAACGCCGTCCCTTACCAAGACATGCTCTTTTTCGACGACGAATCTCGAAATCGAAACGTCGAGACAGAACTGGGAGTGACTTTTTGGTTGGTAAGGGACGGAGTGACAAAGGAAGAAGTAGACGCCGGCGTTTGGGAGTGGAGAAGGAGGAGAGGAATAACCAAAAAGGACCTCCTGAATCAGCAGGATGTCGAAGAAGGAGAAGAAGGCGTTGTATAGTAAAGTCACAGCTTTAACGATTCGCAAGGTTTCTTCTGGGATACGGAAGGAAATACCAGACACACTAGACAGCATTGGCAAAGAATGAAGAAATTCCATCAACGTAATAGATTGATCTGTGCTGTTCTGTAGTACACAGCTCTCTCTCTCTCTCTCTCTCTCTCTCTCTCTCTACCCCCTATTGTACATATCCGCTCAGCCTTTTTCTTGTTCTGCAGAGTGCACATCTCCACGCTGCATGGGCTGTGGCTGGCAGGACCGTTTCCTCGTTTCAATCGAGGTTCGTTCTCGGAAAAGAACATCCATCTATGCTCGAGAGACATCACCCCTCGAGAGTACAAGACATTACTTCCAGGCCATAACCTTTCCAATATGTCGCATGTATGGCGGCCAGCTCTGGTTCTAATCTAAACCATGACCATGCTTCTTCTTCGTCTGTCGTCTGTCTGTTGTTTCATCTCGTTTCTCTGTCGCCATCGCTGATTAACACAGCATGTTGTTGGTGGTGATGATGGGGTGGGTGAGGATGGGTATCGGGTATCAGATTACATCGCTTATGGTACAGGTGCTGTTGTTGATTTGGACGGGGAGCTGAATAGCCCATGTTCCCCGGTCGCGATCGTCGCTTGTTCTTCCCTCGAGCAGATTGGATCCCAGGCTCTTGACACTGGCTGTGACACAAAATTATCGAGCCGGCATCGAGACTCGGATCCATTGAGGAGGGCAAGAGGTTCTCTCAACCCCTCGACTTTCTCTTTGAACTCGCCGGCATTGCAATTTCAATAAGTTGGTCACCATCGTCGTCATCGTCATGATCATCCTGACCTGCGAACTCGGAGTCCTGCTCGTCAGGGTCATTCATCCCAAAGGCACGGCCCAACTTGGCCTTTTCCAACGGGCTCAGTACCTCCTCGTCAGAGCTGTTACTGCCGTCTGTCGGGGCCACCATTTCTCCCATTTCTTCATCTTCGAAAACTTCCAGAGGTCGCCGTTCCAGACTCGTTCGAGCCTCTAGAGGCGGGTTCTCGGGGTCAACGTCGGAGCCTGTATCAGATGATGAATCGTCTAATGACCCTTCGAAGTCATCATGTGACGAGCCTCTGCTGGGCGCAAACAAGCTTGTCAGTCCCCGACTAACCGAGAAATCGTGACTGGCTCCTTCAGCCTTGCGCTTTCCGAACGTAGTAATGTCTTGCTCCTCTTCATCCAGTGAGAAGGGGTCTCTTTCATCGTTGCCCAACGCAGCGAATGGGTCATCTGCTTCGGACCCAAACTCCGAAGCGGCCACTTCCTGTTCAGCCTCTTGCCTGTGTCTCGCTAGACGATCGGCCAACCGTCGACGGGCACGCGATGGTTCGATGTTTAGTGGTGCTGGCGGAGGTGGTAACAAGGGAACGGGCTGGTCAGACTGCATTATTAGCCTAAAAAATAAACAGTCGTCGTTTATTCGTCACACTCACATTTTCCGTCAGACCCGAATCAGCAGCTGCCAGCTGGCGATGCTCATCCTCCTCTGCATCATCCATATCCTCATCATCATCATCTGATGAGCTCCCAAAGCCACTAGAGAGCGAACCATTGGAATTGTAACCTGCACTAGTGGCGCTTCCATTATTCGACAGGTCAATACTGTCTAAAGGTTGACCACCAAGTCCGGCAGCAGCCAGGCCACTCGATGCACCGAAACTCTGTCCTGCATTAACGGCGCTCAACACAGCTTGTCTCGGTCCGAGCCCATTGTCAGGTCGGAAGCCGCCGAGGATTGCGTTGTCACGCTCTCTGGTTTCGGCCAACGTTTTAGTAACGTATTCTTCCCACGCCTGGGAGTAAATATAGTCCTGAACAGTCGGGGACAGAAGTTCTCGGGGGTGTCGCTCGCCGAATTTGACGACTTCTTCGGCCACTAGTGTGAGATGACCCATGTAGCCAAGCCGCATATTCTTGCTCTGTTGCTCCTCATCGCTTCGTCGCTGGCCTTCAATAATAGCATCTGTGATGCGGCCAGTTTCGAAGAGATCAAAGGCAACTAGGCGATTATGTCCTCGGTCCATAGGACCATTAAAGACCTGCTGGACAACATCGTAGACTACGTTGTGAAGGAAGTTGTTCCACGGAAAGCGGAAAAAGAAAGACTGCGGCGATGTTAGTGTTGTACTAAGAAGGGGAAACCAACGTACCAAGATCGTGGGCACCACCTTGTTCTCGATGAACATGATCTTGAGGTAGTCTCCAACAACTGGTGATTCAGCGTCCTGCTCTAGCAGCAAATTATGCATGGTGTCGTCTTGAGCGGTCTGAAACGAGTCACCCTCCGGTTGATTGGTGTGAGCCGCCTGTTTCGTGGCATTTGGGCTTGTCTGAGGTTCGGGACTGTTGGCCGTCGGTGTTTTATTAGGATCAGATGAAAACAGAGGCGCAGGCTTGTCGTCGGGGTGTTCAGGGACATTCGCTTCGGGCTCATTTGGGGGGGATGTCATGACGGTGTCTTCGGGGTTGTCGAGACTCATTCGTCGCACTGTTTCATCCAGATTTTCAGTCGAGGTTGTAGACTCTTTTGTTGATACATGTTCAAAGCTCTTGATGCCTTCTTTTGGAGCTTCGGTTGCGTCTGCAACTGCAACCTTCTCAAAGCCATCTTCATCTCCGAGATTAGCAATGCGGAGCTCTTCGGTTGAAGCTGACGCAGAAGTGGTGAATGCGTTCTCGAAGCGCGAGGAGGAGACCGAAATGTCGACAGCGGAATCTTCGGACTGTTTGTGAGTCAGGAAGGCTCCTTGTTCTCTCAATCGCTCCCTCTCCGTATCTCGCTCTCTAATGATCTCTTCGCTTCCAGGCTCGTTCAACAGACCCATGTTGCTGCAATGCAGAAGCTCTGCCATCAGTTCGCACGTCTTGAATCGGTCAAAACCCAAAGGTTCAATGTGAGTGCCCCATGCAGATTTCAGCACACCTCTCTCCTCGATGGTCGTGATTTCGCCTTTCGTGACAGTATGTTTCGAACTGAGGATAAGTTCTGTAAAGTCAGGCACGTGTTGAGCGAACAGCCTCAGCAGAGTACCAAGATAGATGGGGTCGTGGTTCGTGGGAGGAGTATCAGTGCTATGTCCTTGATCCGGATCGTAGTCAGAATTGTTCTTCCGAATGACTTCAATGACGATGCCAACACCAACGGTGAGAGGATTGCCGCCCTTAAGCATGTAGGAGATAAGCTGGGAAATACATTTCTCCGATACAAGTTGTCGAGTCAGGCTGTTTGGGCCTATACAAGACTGCTGGTCCTGTGCAGCATTTGCCGATATCGTAATTATGGCTTTGAGAAAGTCACCAGCAGAAGTCTGAGTGGACGAGTTGCACTCTGGAGAGAGATTCGACAGCAGCATGGGAACAAGATCTTGATCATGCAGCCAATCGACAATGCCTGCTCCGCCATCTGACTTTTCCAAGCTGATGATTTTGAGCAACAGGTCCATCACCATGGGGCAGTCCACGTGTTGAAGGATAGCGGGAACAATGCCAGGGAGGGATCGGAAAAAATCCAGCATGTCTTCCGTCTTCTTTTCCAGTAGAGTCTCATTGACTTTGGTGAAGTAGCCGGCTTGAAGAGGGTCCAATGGAGCTGGTCGACGCAAAAAGTCCCAGAATTCAACCAGGTACGGCGTGTTGGCCATGATGGATTCAGTAATCGACCATGTTTCACAGGAGAGAATCTCGCAGGCGACAAAGGCGTATTTCAGTCGTCTCTTCTCCGCCTTCTCTTGCTCTTCATCATCGTTGTTCTCCTGTTCATCCTCCATAACTGGATCCTTGCCCTTTTCATCCTCGTCGAACTCATCGGTAGAGGGACCCGGAGTTATAACATATTGCAGCAGGGTGTGGAGATGGGCATCCTCACGGAGGAACTCGATCAATTTTGTGTGGTGGGATTTGAGTTCTTGAATTAGATCCGACTCTTCCAGCAAATCTTCGAGCTTCACATTGGGTTTGTCAAGGAGGGTGTCGATTGTTGAGATATTGGAGTAACCTCCAAAGCGCCAAAACATCTTCGCAATGTTGACGTCGATGCGATCGGTCGCGGTTGGTCAGGAGAGGCAGTTAGTGGTGGTACAGAGGCGGAGGAAAGTGGTCGAAATATAACAGGCCGTGGACAGTCGTAACTCGTGAAGTGAGGACTGAGTGAGACATAGAATGGCGTTCCAGCGCTGAAGAACCATCGACAGTCAGTCTCTTGAATAAGCGTAGATGTTCGGTTGCGAGGCAGAACAAGTGTGAATTCTCCTCGCGAGGCGCATCAGGTGGGTGCGTGTGTAGACTCACCTACTGTTACAAAGGAATGACTGGGAGGAAAGCTGGACAATGAGGTTTAGATGGGCGCAGAATTGTTGTACAAGAAACGCAGGTCGCGTGGTGAATGACAGTGCTTCACCGGCTGCTGTGTTGGATGCCACAATCGCTCAGGGCACTTGGCAAGGCGAAAGTACGGAGTCAATGGAGAGGCCAGTTTATTTGGTATTCGGCAGCCACTGCGGATGCCGATGCGCTGTCGTGCTATTTTGCCGACGGTTAGTACAGCTATGGATACTCCGTTTCTTTTTCTTGAACGCCGGGGGCGGGCTGACTGTTGGCGTAGGATGCCTTGGGTCTTTGTAAGTAGGTACTGAGGTAAGTATACACAATGCAGTGCTCTTGTGACCTCAGCCGCCAACAGGATCTAAGAATAGTGGATGGTGTTACAGATGCCAGGCACAAAATTGATAATACAGAGAATGGGATACAAGCATTCGTCAGGGAGACTGGGAAAGGCGATGCACAAATTCCGCAGCGCTCGCTGGGGAGAAGGGGAGGGACAGGGATGGGCTTCTTAGTACCAAATCCCATGCCACAAGAAGATCTGCAGGTCAATAAATAACATTGTCATGGTGGCGAGCGCGACACGACATAATACGGACACTGTGCTCTCTATTGTTAGTAATAGTCTGTACTGTTTGTACGTGTGTTCCGAGCAATAAAAGCTCGTATTGTTGCAATGCACTTGTTATTCCTGTACCGCCTATTTTCCTGGCACTTCTGGAGTACCTGATTTCCACTACAGAATACCGAAGTAGGGGGGGTTAATAATCATTCTCTGAGCCTACATATGCCTAACAAGTCCCCAGGATGTACCTGGTAGTTTAGGCATGTTGGGCACCTAGTGTTCTCCAAAGTCACCTAGTTTGACTTTTCATTGGGGGGTTCAATGCCCCTTTTTCTTCCACCCATAATTCGCCGTCGTGCCGCTGTCGTTCACAAACTAAGCGCGCCAACTACGTATCTGTATGGACAAGAAGCCAATCTCACATATCCTCAGCGTGGTTTGCCGAAAGCCACATGGCTTCACGAGCCTTCACCATGTCATTGTTATCATTGAACCCTTGTTCAGAATCTGCGCGCAATTTATTTTGACTTGACACGTTGGACCCGGCCAAACCTCAGCTCTTCAGTCTTGAACCAATGTTCCTAAGAGTCACAACCACTATTATTACTGCCCTTATTAATGTCTCGGTGCTCGCCATTCCCATTATCCTTAAGCATGTCTCTTGATTTATTTGTGTTTTGTCCGATTACTATTTAACTCAGATTGGTTCGAAAATTGGCCATTGGGGGGTACTCCAATAAGTATAGCATTGTGCGTAATGCAGAGATGGGTGTGCGTAATACCTATCGCCCAGAATACCTAGGCAGGTACCTAGTATCCACGAAAGACGAAAGAGAAGAAATCAGTGTCCCGTACGAGTACTTTTAGTGTTGGGACAATTGTAGTATATGACCATCAGCGTAAGGACACTCAGCACCAATCATGGAGGCCGGGGAGCATGTCCGGAGGACGCCTTGAAACATCGTCTGTATATCAATACTACGGAGTACAATGTAAGTTTGACTGTGCTCGTCCTCGCTACTCCATTCTGCATTGATTGCCGGAACTTTTAGATGAGGGTGTGACTTATGGCCTTATCTTTACTCTGATATGCCAGTGAAATGGATCCTCAAAATCCGCTACAAGCGACGAATGACAGCCTCCCTCTCTTATCAACGGCTCTCCGCGGCTTGCGATAAATACTTGGCCATGCTGTTGCACACGCTGCCAGCTTCATATTAGGTCTTCTGCAAGCACGAAGGTATGGGTACGGGGTATTCATTGAGGACACTACTGAGTAGCTTTATCCATTTGGCATCGCCAGTGTATTGCGACCTATGACGATCACGTGGAATACCCGACATTATGTCAGCAGAGCCGCATACCGAGATGACGGCGCCAACAATATTTGGGGACGTGGTGAGACGCGCTGTAAGTAGTGAATCCCTTCCTTCTTGTTGCGTTGCAAATGTACTACGTATTGACACACTAACTCTGTTTCCAGTGCGACCAATGTCGAGTGAGAAAAGCAAGTCGACACTCGAGCTCGAAGAATACTCCAACTTGAAGCATTACTGACCGCCAGCAGATACGATGTAATAGACATGTTCCCTGTGCCCATTGTTCGACCATAGGCCAACATTGCTCCTTCACAAGCACTGGCCAGAAGACCAGAGAGCCAAGGCAGCGTATTTTGATCTCAACTCAGTAGTATGTTGTCTCAAGGCCTACATAGGTCTTAAGTTGCTGGCTGTATAGGTTGTGCTGCGTGACTTGTTTCAAGTTCCAATGTGGCGCCACTGGATAGAATCATATGCTGATACACTGAGATTTGTAGCGAAAGGAAGATCGATCAGATCGAGCATGGCCTCTCCAGAATTGAAAAGGGTCTTCACACCCTTTCTCGGGCTCAGCGGCGAATCGAGTCTGTTCTACATGCAAACCCATCAAACGCCTCCCCAGAACTGCCGACATCAGCAAAGGCGACACGGCCTTCTGAAAAGCACTCAAGGAGCTATTCGGTTGAGAGCTTGCTTTCTACCAAGGGTAAAAGTACCTGCTTCGATGCTCAAGGACCGGGCTTCGAAGGCGATAGCTCTATAACTGCCCACGCAGCCTTCGCCAGCACCTTTGTTGATCATGCTGTTCAACACCGTTCCTATAGGGACGCTGGACCGAAACTCAGGGCAGCTATGGCTGCTTTACACGAGCTTCTGCAGATGCAGAAAACAAAGGATGATGATCACTTTGCTCATGAGAAGCCTTTGGGCCAAGATGGGCTTGGGAACTTGCCCATGCCTCCCTTGGAATTCATATTGCCCATCCTCCGCGAACTTAAGAAAAAGGTGCCCCTGACCTTTACATTGATCTGTGTTTTTGGTAATATCGAGTACTTTACCGAACAGTGCCGCAATATCTATTTCGCGACCGACACCTTCACACAAGCCACATTTGTGATCGCCAATGCCGGATTGTACTTTATTTTGCAGGAGAAAATGGTTCTCGCGCGACATTCAGGTGACGAAGGATTGATTGCCAGTCATCAAGCTCATCTCAACATCTGCCGGGATAATCTGGAGACAGTCTTGGCTCATTTGAACCTGCTCTTACCAGCACAGCGCGAGAATGTAATTGCCCTCGTGATGGGCGCCAGTTATGCCATCGAAATTTCTAAACCGTCTCTCGCGTGGCGCCTCAATACCGCAGCCTGTCAGTTGTGCTTGACTCTAGGTTATCATAGAGCCACAAACCAACCCGGAGAAAACGACGATGTGAGAAGGCAGAGAGCAGTGCTTTTCTGGCTCGCTTATATTCTGGACAGGGCTTTGGCTCTTCGATTAGGACGTCCGCCGATCCTTCAAGATTATGAGATTACTCTACCACGACAGCTCGAACACCTAGGAGAGTTTGAATGCCACAGAGAAACCATTCACAATTTCATGGTGCATGCAGAAGTTCAAGGAAAGATATATGAGGAATTGTATAGTCCAGCCGGGTTGGCTCGGCATGTTGAGCAGCGAAAGGAGACAGCACAGAGATGTGCGGGCATCCTCCGGGCGAGGGTGAAGAAGATGAACGAAGAACGGGAAAGAGCTCGCCATAACGCTGCTGGCAAAGGCATTGAGATTGCCACAATGTTGTCCATGTCGGATGAGTTAGCTATGTTATCGACTCTGACTCTCATCTATCGCTCGATCCCTCCAATCCCTGACGGTGTCTCACGAAGCGTCTCAAGAACCTTCTCCGATGATTGTATCGAAATGGCCAGGGAGGCAATGCACGTACACCTTGAATGTATCGAGCTTGTCGAGAAATCTCCGACGTTGGCAACAGCATATATGCACTGGTAAGTCTTAAAATCTGTCAGGTAGATCTGGTCGTGTATGTCTATCATCACTAACCACCCTTTCTTCTTTTCGGAACAGGATCATCTTGTTTCAGCCCTTTATACCATTCATTGTTCTTTTTTGCCATGGTGTCGAAGGGTCTGCGATTGAAGATCTTCAGCTTATCGAGCGCTTCATGACATCTTTGGAACCATGGAAAGGTTTGTCAAGCCAAGCGGATAAACTCTTCCAGCTTTGCCGGGTGCTAAACGATCTTGCCCGGACATGCGTGGAGGCGCGACAAGCGGTCAGCGGTCAACGGCAACCAGACGTTTGGAATCAGATTGGCGGGCTGAGCTTCTCAGCCAGTCAAAATGAGAGTTTGCCAGGACATCAGTCTGAATTTATAGATCAAGACATGACCATGGAACTTGGCTTGGACACTTGGGATTGGGGACAAATTGATCTCGTGTCTGGACCTGAGAGCTATCAGGTCAGCGACCTGTTCACGGAATACTACATGCAGCTTCTGGACGCTCCCAATGCCATTGCGCAGGGGCCGTTGCAGCGAGGTCCAGCTGGGCGCCGAGATGGGTACTGAAGGGGTTATATGTGTTCATGCTGCCTGCAAAGGTCAAGTCCATGTACCAACACCTGAGTCGTGACATCTTCCCTCCTTCGCACTATGAAAATTCTGCAGGACCCGACGTACGGCATCAGGAAGCAAAAGCTGGATTTCGCTCATTTTATTCCAGAGACCCATTGCTCAATTTCTTGTCCATGTGTGCTCTCCATTTATCGGCATTGTTCCCCAACATCCACAAGCATGCGAGTCCACTGGTACAAGCAACCAGCCCGACCAGGGTCATGAGCCATCCGTGACCCGTTTTGGAAATCAAAGGCTGTCCCACAATAGCCCCAACACAACTGAAGATATTCCGGACGAGGTTGTTTAGAGCAACTCCGCTGCTAGCCTTTCGTGGCATGAACTCGGTCAGCATTGTTGTTGTGGCGCTGAAAACCAACATTGATCCAGCACCATAGAAGAATGTGGCGATCGATGGTATGATCCAATGCAGTTTGTACTGGACGGTCCAGCCATACCAGATCAAAGACCCGGGATACACTACGGCAGATATCCATGCATTCTCTTGCATTCTATCCTCCGGAAGATAGATCAGGTGGCCACTTGCATCACGACGACCAGCTTTTATGGCTTCTCGAATCATGATTCGGTCTACCCACGGCCCACCCAACAGAGATGCTGCGACGTAGCCTAAGGAGCTCGGGACATAAAGTAGGCCTATTATCAGTGCCGAAAAATTGTACGGTGCATCGGCGAATGCCGACTGGACTGAGATATTCAGGACATACAGGGACCCGAATGTTATAGCCGCGTAATATACCACAATGAGGACTGCAGGGAATTGTAGGTACAGCACTACCCTCAAAGGGTCGACAAAGCCACGTTGGAACCACTGTGCAGCGCTTCTGGAAAACGTCTTTGTTGATTTGCTCGAAACAGCCGGCAGCCCTTGAGGTGAGTCAGTCGACGTGGGTGGCGAAATCTGGCTATTTTGCTTGATCAGAGTCTCCGGCAGAGCGAAGATGACGAGCATGAACACCACAGCCCCGAAAGCAGTGAGGAACCACAAGTCACTCCGCCATCCGAAACGCTGTGCCAGAATACCTCCAATGATGGGTGCAATCAAAGGCCCCAACAGTGGTCCTAGATAGTAGATTCCCATGGCACGGCCTCTTTGAGATGATTCCCAGATATCAGCAACCGTGCCTGCACCTACGGACTGCATTGAAGAGGCAGCTCCACCAGCAAGGACTCTGAAGCCTATCAGCATTCCCATGTTCGTGCTGAATGCACAAGCAAGCGTAAAGGCGACATTAAAAAAGAAAGAAATCAGATAGACCACCCTTCTCCCAGACTTCTCGGAGACAGAGGACCACCACAGGGGAAAGATGCCCATTGAAAGCATATACAATGCGACGGAGAGGTTTGTGGTGGTCTTTGAGACCTCGAAATCTTTAGAGATGTTGGGCAAAGCAGCTGCGCAGAGTTGTTAGCTCGCTCGACGCTGCATCTCCTTCTCCTGGACCAAGCCTTACGATAGAACATGGCTGCACCCATCGGTGCCGCGGCTGCAGCAATTGTGACGATGGTAGTGATGAACCATTTCTGCCGGTTCGAATAGTCGTATGGGTTGTCGACCCGAGGGATCAAAGTTGGAATCTTCGACTTGCCCGTTGACAGGACGTTAGATGCAAATGATTTTGCAACATCCGCCGATGATATCTGTACCTCCTGCTTGCAGGCCACTGCCCTCTTCTCACTATTGACCTTCATAGTGGCGAAAGACGACTCCGAGCTTCAGTACTTTTTGAGGAAACTTGAGAGGTCAAATGCGCTGGGTGTGTCTTTTACCTGGAGAAAGCGACATCTTTCAGCCGAACCATCGGAATAAGACAAACCCAAGATTGGCCTTTACGTCGAAGAAGACCCCCTCCGTCATCTTGTTAGACATATCAGAACGACATAGAAGCCTGCACCATCTGCGTGGGTTCTAGCAGCAGCCTGAGACCCTAAACTCGCAAAGTCGACCTCCAGAGCACATGGCCATGACTTCGGCTTTCCGCGGACAGGTCAGCCTTGCCGTCTTCTCGGTTGCTTCAAGACGACCTTTTCTGGGGTCCCGCAGTGGATCTAGTCTGGACTCACATATCTCTGCCGTCTCTCTGAATAGTACAATTACCTACTCGAGCAGGTATCGCCGCGCATCTCCGCTGAAATATCTGTGGGCCACTCAGGTTTCTAGAACCGGGACCTAATGCTAAGCAAATACGAAGAGCAAATGAAAATTCATTAACGATAAGAGAGAAATGAACGCGACTATGAATGCGTCGTTAAAGCATCGCATGGTCTGAATTACATGCATCACTGTACCCTTGGGCACGTCAGATTTCAACGAACCAGGACATCCCGATATACTATTGTCACTACGGGAATTTTGAGCACGAGCCACGAGATCTTGGTTGCCGAGAAGAGATTCGGAATTGAAGGGAAAATCCATCAGGGATTCATCCAGCTTTCAGAATTCGTCAAGGCACGTTCGCACTTTTTACGAGTTGCCCTTTGGATAAAGCCTCGCAGAACCTATCACCAGCATGGGTGAAAAGAGAGGATCTTCTTCTGCGGTTGAATCCCAGCCATACAAGTGGCCACACAATTTCTCCCTGGCCCCAGACAACACTGCCCTCATCGTCATTGACATGCAGGTGGATTTCTGTGCGCCTGGAGGTTACTTGGATGCACAAGGACTTTCGATAGAATCTACGAGGGCGATAATCCCTCGTATCCAGGCTCTCCTGGACGCTTTTAGAAAGGGCGGATACCAGGTCTACCACACCCGCGAAGGCCACCGACCAGACCTGTCCACCCTCTCGAGCCGAGAACTCCTGCGCAGTCGCAACAACCCCAGTGGCAAGGGCATCGGCGACGCGGGCCCTCTTGGCAGACTCCTCGTCCGCGGCGAAAGGGGCCATGAGATTATCCCGGAGCTGGCCCCTTTGCCGTCGGAGCCTGTCATCGACAAACCCGGCAGGAGTGCCTTTCAACATACCGATTTGAAGTTGCTCTTGGACAATCGTGGCATCAAGAACATGGTCATCTGTGGAGTCACCACGGATGTGTGCGTGACGAGTACCATGAGGGACGGCAGTAAGTTACCCCCTTCCCTTGCCCAAAATCCCGTGGCTGCCGCTTTTCCTGTGTTCGTTATATTACTCTGCGAGAAATTTCTCTGACTATCCACCACAGATGACATGGGACTGGATTGTCTTCTTGTCTCTGACGCTTCGGCGGCTGGACAACGGCATTTACACGAAGCTGCCGTAGCAAGCGTCTGCGAAGAAGGCGGAATCTTTGGTGCCGTAGCGACCACCAAGGCAGTTCTTGCAGCTATAGAAACTACATCGTCATGATTCTCTCTTTCAAAGATAACTCCTGATATTCTATTTCAATAGATGTATTTTGGAACCACCAAACCTTTCGAGTCTTTCAAATGCCGATTAGCCGGTCATGTACTGAGCAGCCGCCATCAGCTAGAGCATCCTGAAGACGCCTTTTTGTCCTAAGATGAGCTATCTACAACCAAACCATAAGCAAGTAAATCCCAAGATATCAATGATAATTGACAAAGTCACACCGAGCCGAATGATTAGCTTTTGTCAGATTCTACCACTCGCCATGTCCTACCACCAAATACGATTGAATCTCCCAGTTTCGTGGTCGCCGCCATCGCCCATTCACAGGGAAGTTTCTCGGCTCCAGAGGTACTCTTCGGGTCCTTTGCCCAACGTCCTCCATTTACTTGTTGAAATTGCCATCGCTCCGCGTAGAACTCGGTGTCTGTCTGTAGTATTCCCTGACAGTAACCGTCGATCCGCATGATCAATCCGTTGCCGCCAGAATCCGGGTTGTGTTGTTCTTTCGCCGTCTCGACCACCAGGAAGGATGGCTCGGAGGAGCTCAACTTGGCTCCGAGCCAGTACTCCTTGAACATTTTCGTCTTGCCCTTGACGGTCAAGAACCCAACCTCCATGACGTCCCCGTTCGACAACAAATACATGTCGGCGCCGTCGACCCCAAACTCTCGGGACGAGTCGATGGGGTGTTCCCACTTGACGTGGGCCACGCAGTCGTACTCCGGACAGCTGTCTGTGCCCCCGGGTAACCAAGAAGTCGAGAGTCCGGCGGTGGCAAAACCGTTGAAACCGTCCGACTTCTTGATCCCTTCGTATCGGTCGTCCTTCGAGCCAGAAGCGAATCGGACGTCGACGTACCTCCCTGAAGGTGCCGTCAACACCACGACCGAATGATTTTCTGTGGGCGGATCATAGTCAAAGGACAAACCACGTCGAATCTCCACCAGTGGCCGGTTGAGGAGTTTTCTGGCCCACGAAGGTAGTTGCTGAAACTCCGGGCTGGCTGGATGAGGAGCAGGTATCATGATCTCTCTGTTTCTCTCTTAGCGAAAGAGTAATCGGTAGCTTGTTGGTCCGGTGGAATACGAGATAGTAGTATTTCCGTTGTTGTTGTTGTTGTTGATTGATGATATCGTGGATATCAAGGTCGTGATCTTATGAAATTTTGAGACATTGTTCACAAGTCCTGTTGAGTCTCCTTTAACTTGCCGCGACCCACACATGGGGGCGGCTATTATATAATGTACGGAGTCGGAGGAAGCCTCGTCGGGACCATGAAAAAGGTTGGTTCTGGGTATTTTTTGATACCTCGAATCGATGACTGTACGTGATTTGCAAAAGCTTTTGAGGGGTTGATTGTCGTTTAATCAATCGGAACCAGGACCCCGACCGATTTGTTTCAGGAAGCACGATAAGTGAGGACGTGTGTTCCCGTCCTCCGGTTAATGCTGGTGGCAGGAATGTCGTTGCGAAGAGGCGAAAGGACGGTTCGAACGCGCCTCGCCAGCCTCGCATTCCCGCAAACCCGCGGGCACCGAAGCCAAGGACACTTACAGTACTGTGTGTATGTCGGGACATCTTGTTGGTGGAGAGTTTTGTTGCTTATCAGAATATCAAGTCTCCCGGTCCCCACTTTTTCCACGGCGACAACAATTTAGCTCTAGATAAGGGATTTCTGTCTTGTGAGGTAGGAGTAGCTGTACGCAGTATTCGATACGGGGGGTATCGTTTTGCATGGCTTGGGCATCTGGAACGATATGTATTCTCATCGTTAAAATAAGTTATATACTTGAGAGAATGCAGCAGGAGGACAGTCTCTTTCTCGAGCAATGGAACTCCGACCATCACCGTCTTGAGGATATTTGGAACTTTGTGTCTGATTTCATTCCACAGCAGTTAACCCTGTTTTCCCTTCCTGCTTCCCTGCTGGTCTCTTTCTTTTTCTTTCTCTGACCAGACCTGATACACACGCTCTCTCCCGCGAGACTGGCCGTTGACTGTTCACAATGTCGTCCAAAGAACCAGAGACCAAGAGTACGCTCGCAGCATCCCCGGCTGGATCCATCAGCGATGGACGTGTGAGGGCGATCGACATTGAAGATGAACGTCTACAGGACTTGGGTTATGAACAACACATGAAGAGAGGTTTCAACATTTGGTCCATGACTGCCTTTTGTCTCACTGGTCTAGGTCTTTTGCCTAGTCTCGGAGGTGTGTTCCCTTCTTCCCCCCTTCTTCTTGCCCTCTGTCTGTTACGCAAAGCAAATCCAGAGGCTCATCATGGTAAAAAAAAGGAACCATATGGTACAGCTTGGGCTACCTAGGCTTGGTATCCATGACATGGGGTTGGTTGACTGCCGTGGTCTTCATCATGATGGAGGTCCTAGCTCTGGCCGAGATGAGTTCTTCAATGCCAACTGCTGGAGGATTGTAAGTACTTACCTCCTACCTAGTTTTCAACCATCTGTTTCAAGATGTCAACCGCTGACTGACACGTTTGCTTTTCTATGATAGGTATTATTGGTATGTTATTGCTAGCAAGCCATCACCACCATCACCGTCAAAGGGGAGCGAGTGTGGAGTCTAATAATATGTCTCAAAACAGGACTTATCGTTGTGCATCTCCAAAGCTGAAAAAGATTGCTTGTTGGGTCACTGTACGTCAGACATCCTCGCTTCATGTAGAAAGGGGGCATCAGCAAAACGCTGACAAGAAATTGACAGGCATGGTGCATGGTTTTGTCATGCTCTCTTGGTGGAGCGTCCTTTTTCATGACCCAAGCGGATATGATTCAGGCTTTGGTGGTCATGTTTCATCCGGATTTCTCTCCTACAGACTGGCAGACGTACTTGGTAAGTCAACGTCCATGTTCTCAGTGCAGGAACTGTTTGGTGAACCACTGGCTGACAAACGTACCTCTACACAGATCTACCTGGCCACCGTGATCGGGTTAGTTTTTTCGGATCCCACTCAGACCACGGCGCGATGGACATCCTTTACTGATTGAAACGCTAGGTGTGCACTGGTCATGGTCCTTCCTAGTAAGGTTTTGGGTCGTATCAGCAACGTCTTCGTCTGGTTAGGAACATTGACATTCTTCGTCTTGATCATCGCCTTGCCAATCTACGCGAAGAAGAATCACCGTACAAATTCGGCAAAAGAAATCTTCACCTCTTCCTACAACCAGACCGGATGGTCGAACAGCGGACTCGTTTTTCTCTTGTCGTTCCTCGTCCCTTGTTGGTGCATTAGTGGTTATGACTCAACTGGTACGTTTGCTTTTCTTCGCGCTGTTTAATTTTGGTCTTTCACACACACACACACACACACACCAAACTGACACTTTTTCTAATCTCACACAGCCCATCTCGCCGAAGAGACCGAAGACGCCGCTCGCGTGGTACCTCGAGCCATGTGGGTGTCTTGTCTCAGCGTGGCGGTGTTGGGATACATCTTCAACGTCGTCCTGGCTTATGCCTCGACCGACATTGACGCCATCTTCGCATCTCCCTTGGGTCAACCCTTGGGTGCCATCTTGCAACTCTCCATAGGTAACGGAGGCTTCACGAAACTACTTTGGATCTGTACAGTCGTGTCCAATTTCGGTGTCGTCTTTGTCAACAACACTGCCGGGACTCGAGTCTACTTTGCCTACGCCCGTGACGGGGCTTTGCCGTTTGCCAACTGGTTGAGTCACGTCAACACCGTCACCAAGACACCCATCAACGCCACCATCGCTCTGTCGACCGTGTTTGCTCTTTTGGGTCTCATCTCGTTGGGTTCTTCCGAGGCTCTCCATGCCTTCTTCTCGGGCTCTTCGCTTGCTGGAGCAACGGCATATCTGATGCCTGTGTTGATGAGGTGAGTAAACTCGAAAACATTCGAGTCCTTGACCTTTCACCTCCCAAAATTTTGGTTTCTAACAATCACTGTCGTACAGATGCATATACGAAGAGAATCCAGATTACAAACCCGGTCCATTCTCGTTGGGAAGATGGTCGAGACCTGTAAGATGGATAGCTTTAGTGTGGACCGGTATGTCGAAACCCACTCGCGCGATGCGTGCTCCTTTTTTTTGAAAAAAAAGTACTGACATGTCACTATTACAGTCTTCACTCTTCCAATCCTCGCATTCCCGAAAATCCCCAAACCAAACATTCACACCTTCAACTGGAGTCCCGTCTTCTACTGTGGTCTCTTGGCCCTCGTCGTGCCGTGGTACTTTTTGCGTGCTCGCAAGTGGTTCACGGGTCCGATCCCAAAGGGAGCAGAAGAGTCTCATGTTGGTTTCCACTGAATACAGAAAGAGAGAAGTTGCTATACCACGATCAAGCAAAGACAGCAGCAACTGTTGAATTGACCAGTCATGAAACGGTAATGCAAGGATGGTTGTCACCGTAGGTCAACCGTCCATGTCAGTGGATGTTCTCTCAGTCTTGAAATATTTATACCGTGGATAGAATGGCAGTTTTTTGTGGGTGCCGATGAAGTGGAGATTATATCAATACTGCACTGTTGGTTGACGATGTATAGCGACGTACACGTACGATATGAACATCTAACCATTAAGGTCAGGTCATCAAGAAAACAAGGATTCGGAGTCTGTTTGTTTCTTGTGGACGTATAGTAAACACCTGATGTTATGAATACTGTTAGATATACACCTCAAGCAGGGCTGTTCACAGGCACATACACGAGAAGTTGCGTTTGAAGAATAATGACGATGAACATATACATAACCATGCTCGACACTTTTCTCACTAAACGGGAGCATCGACAAGATCTACTGTTTCCACACGTAACACACACGCTACACAAACCATCCCACAAACATCACCTCTCAATTGATTTTTGTTGATCACTGTTCTTATTTCACAAGAACGCCCTTCTCTCCTTGGATGCATTGACACTAGATACAAGATCCTAGATGGTGAAAGAGAATCTTCATAGATCCCGCCCCTTTTATCAGGGTTTATGCCACCTGTGACGCGACGGTCGGATTGGCTTGGACCAGTGAATCCCTCCATAGGGGATACTCGACCGACCTGACAAACTTCTCCTCGTACCGAATCCCCTCGTCCCTGTCAACGACGCCCTCTGCAGCAGGGAGCACGGGAGAAATGAATGCGTCCCAGTTAGGGTCGAAGAAGAACGGTATCGAGATTCGTAATGATTCGGCATTGTGGCAGACGCGGTGCAGGGTTGACTTGTATGCCCCACGGGTCCATTCGTGCAGCATGTCGCCGATGTTGCAGACATAGCAGCCCTACACACCCAAAGTAGGAAGGTCAGTTTCCGGGCCCAATGATGATGCAGTTTGGCTGATATGACACGAAGGCAAAAGGTCTCTTACCTCGATTGGGTCAGCCCAGATCCATTCTCCAGATTTGCTGAGTACTTGCAGAGACTTGGGGTTCGAGTCGGTCAAGAGAAATGTCAGAATACCAAAGTCTGCCGGTTACAAAATTTCTGGTTAGCAGGGTTTTCTAGACGTCGTTGCTAGAGCTCTCGTTCATACCTGTATGTTCTCCAATACCTGCTTGTTCCTTGGACTTTTCCTTCCGTCCCTCATAACCCAGGATACGAAGGTTCCAGAATGCTTTGTTGATCCGGTTGAGGAAAATGCTCTCGTCCACCTTGAGTCCAATCGCTATAGCCTTCATGACTTGAATTCCCAAAGTCTCCAAGCGTTCAATATATTCTTCCGCGGTCTCTCGGAAGTCAGACGGGGTTGAAGGCCATTGGTTGGGACCCATGCCCGTTGTATATGGTGGATCTCGTGTCTCGACAGGGCGATAAACATCTAATGCCTGTTTGTGGGAAGGAGAATGCCCTTAGGAAAACATGGTTGGGACAGTCGGGGATGTGGAAAATCGATCATACCTCGTGCGAGCCCTTTTCGGGATTGTTGATCTTCAAAAACCCACGTGCATTGTCTCCCCCTTCGGCAATCTTTCGTAAGGCCAGTCGTTTCTTTTCTTCTGGCGTTGCAGTTTCGAAAAAGTTCCGTGACTTGGTCAACATATCTCCAATTAGGTTCATAGGTACGCCATGGTTCTTGAGGTAGAAGAAGCCAACTTCTCGACAAGCATTGTCGATCTGTAAAGCGACGGCCTTTTTCTCTTCAGGCGAAGAAGCATGGTCAATGAAAGCGGCAAAATCTATAACGGGCAGAGAAGCAGCCATTATTGTGGTGACAATTGAGTAGCGATGATGATGCCGTTCAACGCTTGTCTATCTGTCTCGAAGTTGTCGTCTCATGGCAGCATTTTATCTTTGTAGGTGGGCTTTCGTAACCTTGTAAAACGATCCGGTAAGATGAATGGTAATGTCACGTTATGGATATTGCCGACGTGTAAGATTCGTGGAGATGGCAAGGACGATATCGCTTGCTGGGCTGGCTCGGGGCCCGCGGGATTCCGGTAGCCATCGCCGTATCTACTTAGGTTGTTGACAGCCATGCTCTTAGCGACGCCACTATCAGGCGGCTGTTTGTGACAGACGAGCTTTGATAAGAGTGTCACTTTCGTATCGCAAGCCGAAGACAACAAAATGTCTAACAGAGCGTGGGAGTTGTGAACAGGATTATGATAAAGGGTGTAGAGGACCCATGTAGTCCGAGCAAGCGTCCTAAGTACGAGTGAGTACGGCGGAGCAGATTGGTTACATAATGCATAGACGAAGCTAGTACGAGTACGGATTGCATTCGGGGAACCTTCTATTTCTAACTCTCGTTATCATGAATGCTTTCTGTGCTATGCTGAGTATATGTACATAGCATATAGATGTCCGAGCCTTCTGGTCTTTGAGAAGTAAGAGAACGGGCCAGGACCATGCATCAGAATACACAGTGGTCCAGAGAACGAGATTGAAGGAGGAAAATGCTCACTCCTCATTGAATCTTAGTCTCGGGCGGAGCTCTCACTGCAACTACATGTAGAACGTTGTATGGATTGCCGAGAAGCTTGTTTAATTCTGTCTTCAAGACCTTGAAGACAGGCGAAATCTGCGACGACGGAGGACCTACAAAAGTACATTGAGAACATACGCTCGATACTGGATCTACTCGTGTCGGCTGATTATCGGAAAAACACCTTGGGTAATCTGCCTGGTGTGTACTCGGAATGACGCAGGCTGCCTTCATGTTCTGCTCACCAAACATTCCACTCCGCCAGAAATCCCGCTCCTGCGATCAATGACAAAGACCTCTTTGCACATGGTTCGATCGAGATGAATCGTCTATTCGGATCTAAGAATACTGCCCCAAAACCCACCCTCAATAGTGCCATTTCAAATGCACGTCGCCTTTCCCCTCATTCTTGACTTTGTGCCTTCTAACACCGGGACAGGTAGATACAAGGGTAGACTCGATCGATGTCAAGTTGGCCAAGATCAATGCCGAGCTCTCCACGTACCAGCAAAAGCTGAGCAAGATGCGCGATGGCCCAGGCAAGCAGGCAATCAAACAGAAAGCCCTCAAAGTCCTTCAGCGGCGCAAGATGTACGAATCACAACGAGACCAATTACAGCAGCAGTCATGGAATATGGAACAAGCAGGAATGATGCAAGATAACCTAAAAAATGTCATGACCACGGTGGACGCGATGAAGACCACCAACAAGGCGCTCAAACAGCAGTATGGCAAGATCAACATCGACAAGATCGAGCAAATGCAGGATGAGATGGCCGATCTGATGGAAATCGGCAACGAAATCAACGAGAGCATAAGTCGAGCATATGACGTTCCTGAAGACGTGGATGAGGCCGAGTTGGATGCCGAGCTCGAAGCACTGGGAGAAGACATGATGTTTGAGCAGGAGATGGGTATTGGCCAAAGCACACCGGGCTTCCTACAGGATGAAGTGGCGCCGCCGACGTTCGTTGACGAGGCGCCGGAGCAGGCGAAGGTCAAGGAGGCTGCTGGCGGTATTGGTTAATATTCCAGGGTACCTCCATATCTTGTTTTCTTATTTGATCATTGGTTGTGGGTGGAATTCGAGCTGGGAGTCACGGCGAGCACCGGTTGTGAATTGCAGAAAGAAGCTTCTTGAGTGTTCGTCAATTCATGATCCATACAAAGCATCCTTGACTACATCTCCTGAGTACTTTAAGTGTTCTTCTTCAGGTCTTGCGTCCATGCCTTCACTGCTTTCGGCCCTTCATGTGCAGCCTTGAAAAGCTGCCTCTCGGTCTCCTCTAGTCCACGCAGGAAATCTGCACCATCACCGAGGGCTCCTCGAGGGTTATGTGCTTGATCGGCAACCTCCAGCGCTCGTGCTTTGAATGTCTAGTGCCGGTGTTAATAAGCCGTCAACTTCGCTCGTGGTTATCGTAATAAAATTACTTACATCGATGAGCGTGTCCAGTACAGCCTGGTCATCAAAAAGTTCCATTACACGTGCAGATAATGCATAAAAGTGTGGTGCTTGAGCCCTCAAGTCAACCGTCCTCGGGTCCGCTTTCAATGCATTGATCACTCGTTGCTGAAGAGGCGCGGGGAAATTCAGCGTGACTAGCTGAGAAGAACCAGGCGTATTCCTTCAGATTCGTCAGTATCGTACCTCCTAAGAGACGGCAAGAAAAATACCCTGTTGACACAGCAAGCATCACACCCAACCACATGGGTAGTTCGATGGTCGTGCCAGCTTTTATCTTTTGATATCTCAGCCCCTGTCTCGAGAACTTCAAGACGTGTTTCTTCTTACCATTCCTCCGGCATTGCCATCAAGATATCCAAGTCCCGGCACATCGAGTTGAAACGTACAAGGGATTTTCTGGGTCTCTGTCAAGATTGCATCAACGTTGTAATAGGACATTTTTCTGGTGCTCTATATGACCGTAAGATCATCTCGCAGAACGTCAATAATGTTTTCTGTATGGGCTCAATTGTATAAGACCAGAATCAGTGACTATATGTGTGACGGAGGAAGGGAATATTGTGATATTGGATGCCATGCAGGCCCTTGGTCGGCGTGTTTTGGCCAATAATACGCGTCCAGATCCTCAGCCTCGTTCACGCGCTTCTACCTTGATTCCCCGACAAGGCTGAAATTCAATCAATCCCCCCATCTTGTCATCGCTTCCACCCACCAAGGCACCTCGTTATCCTTCATTCATTCAGTACAATGAGCACTCAACATGCTCATCAACCATCTCAATCGACGACATCCGTCACGCGACCGCCAGTGACTGTAGGACAAACCACACACCTCGACCCGGGTGCATACGTCCGTGGCACACATGCCATCACACTAGGTGAACATATTCTCATCCACCCACGCTCTCAACTCATAGGCGTCCACGGCCCGCTTTCAATCGGCGACAAATGCATCATCTCAGAGAAAGCCATCATCGGAGGTCCTGTGCAGACATCATCCAGTACTACTGATTCATCTGGGAGGCCACCGGGAGGAAGTGCCCAACCGAGCCCCCTGATAGGTCAGGAGGTAGACGACGACAATTCCGACATAGATCCGGTCAAGACGACAATAGGATCGAATGTCTTCATACATGCCAGCTCACAGATTCAAGCTGGAGCAACTATCAAAGATGGTGTCTTGATCGAGCCTCACGTCACCGTACTCGCCGGCGTGACGGTGGGATCACACGCCAAAGTCTGTGCCGGCGTCACAGTAGATCACGATGTGGACGAATGGTGTGTCATATATGGCAAGGGCAACATCAAACGACGGAGGAAACAGACAGGGTCGAATGCGGCGGATGATGATGCGGCAGGGCATGCCGAAGCAGTCGAAACGATGAGGCTGAAAGCTATGGACAAGGAACGGGAGGGAACGACTACAATATTGAAAATGGCAGCTAGAATGGCAACCATGGCCAAGAAGAAATAGTCCTTGGAGGCTGTCGCGGCTCAAGCTCGTTGTAGAATTATGGTTACGAAGAGTCGAGCTGATGGTCAGCGAAAGTCCCATCCCAAAGAAGGGAACCATGGAGGATTCGCCTTTCTTGGTCATTTAGCACAACACTGCAGGTAGTACATTGAATCCTAATAACAGGTTGTACAGGATACACTGGCCACATTCGACCTCTTCATCATTACGACCAGTCATCCTATCCGTTACTCTGGCCTCTCAGTTTCATGAGATCCGCCTGACTAGACTTATGCAGATATTGACCAACCATTTGCCAGATTCAATAAGGGATAGCGCAGACTATGAACTTATTCCTTGGTCGTCAAGGGCGTAAATATTTCGGTAAGGGGTGTGAGTAGTCAGGTTTTGGGCGCCCTCATATTCTGACATAGTGATTTGACGCGACGCGACGACGCGTTGAAATGCCAAGACCATTTCGAGATTGGCGCCTGTTTCACGTGTTCTCGACGACTCACAACAATAGAAAGGACAACGAGAGAGTGACAGCAAATGGCCAGCGACATCGATTCTGGACCTTCTTACATCATCTTCAGGGTTAGCAACCCTAAGATATAGCCATCACACCTACTATCTTCACCCAACTCATGGCACGATTACGAAGCGCGCGCTCTGTTAGCCGGAAGAATTCTCCCATTTCACCTCCCAGACCATCATCTTCATCGGCTCTCCACGCCCAACCGACCTCGGCCCAACAGCCACTGCGCGCACGAAGTCACGACATCACTGGCGCCCATCAACAATGGCAACATGTTGTGCAAGGGCTAGGTACAGTGGGCGAAGAACCAGATCTTCAACAGGACACTCCCCATGATTCAGCGTCCATTCAATTTGGGTCGGACACGTCACGGAATACCGAAGACGACCTCGAGGACCTCGATCGAGATGCGATTATTGATGTCCTTGCCGACCTCTACGACGACTCGAACAATGTCTTTGCCCTATTTGACAACCTCAATGACAATTCTCTCCACAGCTACTGTGACGCCCTGTGGAAGCAACACTCTTCTCCACGATTGCGATTTCGTCGTCGCGAGGCGCAATTTCTGGGTGGTCTGGAGACATACGGCACCAGCGACTTCATTCTCCCCGAGCTGATTGTCTTGAAGATTGCAGGAAAAGTCAACATCCGTGATGTGGCTGTAGGCCCTGCCCTCCAAACCCTTCCGATCATCTACATTGCGAACCTCTCATCGGCGATTCTTCACGTGTTCAGCCTATTGCCAGAACACCAAGCCACGTTCACACAACACATATACAATGATATGTGTCACGAAGACGATGATCTCGATGAACGTGTCCCATCCGCGTTTGCAGGTCCAAAGCACTATCCGCTGAGCCCAAAGTTAACAGATGATCTTATCGACCTTAGTGTTGACGTTGTTACTCAAGTCTTCATACAAGAAGCCCAGGAGAAGCTCGCCTCAGAAATATATTTTGACCCGGACAAATTGGCCAAAAAGGTCTTCTGGGACGAGCACGATCATTATCAGGGCTATTCATCAACAAAGACGCGGCCTAAAGCCATTCAACGCCTCAGTTCAGTAAGGAAGCACTTCAGGACTGATTCGCAGAAGCCGCTTGATCTCGATGGGCTTAGGCAAGAGTTTCCTTGGCCGGACTTTGCCTTAAAGGTCTTGAAATGGTCACTGGCACGCAAAGCAGAATTAGACAACTTGGTCCGGGGATTAGGTGGTATCGACACGATCATTGACGCCATCAAGTCGATTGACATCGCTGACCTCGAGGATGCGAAGAAGTTAGCCGACATGGCAGCTACAACATCGGCGGATTATGTCGCCGCCGCGACAGAGCAGATATCGCCTGTAGTCACGACGGAACGGCAAAGACCCGCGACAGATGCCGGTAGACTGAGGGAGTTACGAGAGAGGCTTTCGGCCAGGATATCTGAGGCCAGCATTGAGCAACCGAACAGCTCTCCACGAGGGATCACAAGTGGATTCCAAGCCGTCAACCAACGAGAAATACCACAGTCCCCGTCAGTAGCAGAGGATAGTGGAGAGGATGACGTTGAAGGTATAGTGCAGGAGGCTGTAGAGGTCGTTGAAGAAGCTGTACAATCCGGAGATGTTGATGACAATGCTTCGTATCTTCTCCATGAAGATGAGGAACCAGCTGGGCCCGATTGGTTGTGTAAAGACCCCACACAGGAAATCGAATCAACACAGCAGACTCGCATGGTGCTGTCCGTTCTTCAGGGTCAACAAGAACCGAATGGCCCAGAGAATAGACGGCAAGGAGAAGACGGCACCAGCCAACCACATAAACGATCTTTCCTCGATCGTCAGCCCAACGCTCACAAGGTCAATTTCACCGAAGCTTCAGATGACGAAGACGCGGCGAACCCTCCCAAGCCGACCAAAAGGCCCCGACCGATCGAACGTGAATCCGAGTCTGAAGAGGAGGAGTTCCAACTCGATACAAGGCCACCTCCGAAGAAGGTCCGGTCTGACGGACCCCAGGGTCGTCAGCTTCCCTGGGACAGGAGTTCGCGACGAGCTCCTTCTTCAAACGTGAGTGTCGTGGTGCCCTCGAAACCGACGGGCGGTCGTGCCACAAGCACACAACCGCGGTCCACACGCGCGAGCGCTCAACCGTCCGGGCAACGCATCAGTGTCGAGATTGAGAAGGGTGCCCCGGCCGCCTCCCACGGAGCCCCTCCTTCCAGCGCGCCGCCTCCTCGACATGCACAGTCCTCGAGTCGCTCTCGTCGCGACACCTCGCCGCCTTTCCCCGACGTCCGCACCGTCAACGCCGAAGCCAAACGCAACACCCAACTCAGCCGGGCACTCCGCGGCGGTGCCGCCGTCCAGGTCCGCAGAGGGTGGACGGAAGCCGAAACCCACCGCCTGATCGAGTTGGTCGAGTTGGTCAACGGGCCCCTTTGGGTCCGAATCCAGGAGGAGGACTTTGCGCACGCCGATGGCCCGGAACTGCGCAATCGAGATCAGGTTGCTCTGAAGGACAAGGCCAGGAATGTGAAGATGGACTTTCTCAAGTATGTGCTTTGCCCCTAAAGACCCGTGGAAAATTTACTCTTTGCGCTTCTCCCCTGCTGACTTGACCGTCTTTGGTGTTTAGGGCACGCCGACGCCTTCCCGCCGGGTTCGAAAAAGTCAGTATAGGGAATCGGATGGTCGGCAAATTGCGGGAATTGGGCATCGACTACGTCGAGGGAAGGTTTGAAGGTACCTACGACGACGACGACGAGGTGGATTAGCGAACTGGGTCAGTTGAGTGTGGCCTACAACGGACCACGTGGATCGATGATTGTATACGCTTTTTCTTTTTCATTTGTTTTTCGCCAGGGGAGTGGTTTGTTTAAAGCGTTCATGGTGGTTTTCCATCCTTTTTTTTTTCCCGAGTAATTGACTCTATAGTGTCGAGTCGCGATGCGATCTTGGACACTTGCATTGGTGCTAAATACCCATGGGCTTTGTACGGGGAGTTTTCTAGCAGATTGGAGATTGGAGATACAAGGACCAGCCGGTCTCGTGGTTTGTACTTCCGGTACAAGGGCCCTCGGGGCATGGTGAAATATCACACAACACACCAAGACACAAGCAGTACACAAATACCCTGCAGGGTCATCAGTCACTTTACGGGGGAGTAGGCTACTTCTACCTTGGCTACCTCAAGTATAATTGAATTTCGGCGGAAAAAAGGCCAAAAAGAAGGGGGAAAAATAAAACACACCTCAAGGTCAATAGGATATCATTGTCATCAACTCCGACACCTTTTTTGGGAATTCCAAAAGTCGAAAAAGAACTTGGCCCGCCTGAGAAACGTTGCAACACAAACCCTCCCTATCATCATTCGTGTCGTGTTTTGTCTGTTTGCTTGCTTGCTTGCTTTCACAAGAACACTGATAAACAAACGCCCCCCCTTCACCCAATGTTATTTAACAAGTAGTGAACAAGAAAAGCTCCCTTTGAATTGGGTATTCCAATGTCATTCACAATTGATGCATGACTAGGCCAGGGGGGAAAAAAGAAGCAAAATGTCCCAACAGACACCATGCTCAAAACGAAATTTCTTCATCACAAAATTGCCTCTCCTCTGCCTTGTTTCACTATACAAATCCCTTGATCGACCCAAAAAAAGACACAAGCCATGCAACGCAAACTTCCCCAATCAGCAGAAAACCCCCCCAAATTACCTCAAGTGTCATTCATATCATGTCATTGCAAATTCGGCCAACTCTCTTTGTTGTTGACTCCAGTTCTCCGGATGGTCCATGTCGATACCGTGCATCTTCAAAAATTGTTGTTCGGCCGACAATGGTTTCTCGACGTGTTCAAAGGGCGAAACCCCCATACCGCCACCATCATACTCACCTATGTTTTCAAATGGAGACATATCATCAAGGCTACTGAGGTCCAGACCCTCGATGCCCTCGAGGCTGACGACCCAGGGGTCCTCCTCCTTCTTCTCAGGCTCTGCATTCCTGCTCTTCACAGCTGGTAGCTCCTTATCGCTCGTCTCGGGGCTCTTGGACTTATCGGTCGATGTATCTGTCAACGCGCCGTTTGGACCTTCGTTGATCTTCCGCCATCGTTCGCTTGTATTTCGATAAGCCTCGTAGAACTTGGCTTCGGATTCCTGAATCTTTTCCTGTGTAGGAAACAATTCTTCCCATTCATCTCCGCCAAAGGCGATGCGCATCTGATCCAGTGTGATGTTGGTATGTTTCCATGGGTCGTCGTCAGTTTCACTAAGAGAAGTCTTAGCCGCGGAATTACCAGCGGCGCTTTCGCCCTTGATAGTGGCAGTTTTCGACTCGGTCTTGGGCTTCTTGATCTGTTTCATATTTTCATCCAGGTTCAGCGCCGAACGCAACGAATCTTTGAGGAATGCGAGAGGGTCGGTGACAGGTTCCATGTCCAGCCTGTGAGTCACGTTGTGGTGTTGGTCGAGTTCGGCCTGGGTAGCAAAGCCTTTGAGTTTGTGTTCACAGCCCTGCACGGGACACCTGAAAATCTGCGTTGCTTTCGGTGTTTTCATCTGTTGAGGTGAAGTCACAATTGGTGGCGTACTACCTGTAGCTTGTGGCTGGTTCTTCTTCCGCCTCTTGGGCTCCGCTGGCAGCTTCAAGTCCTCCTGTTTCAATCCCGGAGTACCATACCAAGCAGGGGCACCTTGACCCTTGTCGCCGATCTGGAAGGGAGGTTGAGACGACGTCGGGGCGGGCGGAGCCTGGTTAGCTTTGAGTGCCTTCTTTCGTTCAGCTTCCTGCGCTTGCAAGAGGTTGAGATTTTCGGGAGTGAGCTGGGCTGGTTGTGCTCGTGCTTTATTCTGAGGGATCGTTGCAACAGTTTGCTGGAACTTTGCCATGATATTGTTGATGATGGCTTCTGCTGTCTCAGGAGTAATGCTGAAATTGTCTACAACCTCGAATGATTTTCTTTGGTATGCATCTGGCTTGTACTGTGACATCAGCTGAATCTTCTGTGCGGTAAGCTGCTTGAGAGTGGCCTCGTTCTGATCCATGCGATAGCAAGCCACAAGAAAAGCGTCAAATCTGCCAACCATGTTCTTGACATTGTCCGAAGTCAACATCCTCGTCAGTCGCTCTTTGCTCGCCGGGTCCATATTTGGGATCGGCCGCAGTTTAGGCATGCTCGATTGAACCTCTTTCATGATTTCGTATAGTCTCTTCCGCAATTGTTGCTCTCGTTGCAAATTCAAGTACTGGTGCTTCTTTGCTGGATCGAGTTGATTATATTGCTCTTTTGATAAGTGCGGAAACTTGTTCTCAGTCTGCAGTTGTGGTGGTTTGCCAAAGGTCTGATTTTGTATCTCAACTACATCGTCATCACTGGGACGCTTGATGGCTTTGTTATCGGTCTGTGACGGCGACGGCCGAGGCTGTGATCCTGCTTGGCCAGATGGCGGACGAGCTTGTGCTTGACTTTGCTGATTTTGTGGCGGCTGCATGGGGAACTGTTGTCCTTGCTGGGATGTCGAGAATTGCATTGGCTGAGACATACCCTGCGCACCACCTTGCTGGGCTACTTGCTTCTGACCTTGTTGTTGACGTTGCCGCTGCATAATCAGAGCACGGATCTGCTCGTCACTTCTGTTCGCTAATTGTGGGTTTGCTGCTCGAACTTTTTGCAGATCGATGTGATTTGGAAATCGCGGAAGCCCAGAACCCATGGGAGGTTGCGTAGGAGTTCCTTGTACCTGACCCTGCTGCATTTGCTGGACTTGTTGCATTTGCTGCGCTTGAGGCATGCCGTTGTTCTGCTGCTGCTGCTGCTGTTGCTGCTGTTGCTGCTGCTGACTGCGAGTTCTCATGATATGAGCAAAATGAGAGGCTTGGATGTCAAGTACATGAGAGACTGGCCAATTCGGGACTGGATTTTGAATCAGCCATTGTTTTAGCTGATACCACGTCCTCATTTCGGGCACTGCTGCATGCTGTCTGATATTGTTGAAGACAGCCGGCGGCACAGGCTGTTGGTCCATGACTTTCATTTGTTGCGAGTTCAACTGCTGTCTGGGGCCTTGCTGCTGGCCTTGATTTTGAGGTTGCTGCTGTTGCTGCTTCTGTTGCTGCATAGCCATTTGGCGTTGCCTCATCATCTCTTGATTCTGCTGCATCTGTGATTGCATTGCATTCATGTCCCCGGGTTGCGACATGGCTCCTTGCGATAGAGACTGCATCATCTGGGCCCCTCCAACGTTGCCGCCGCCGAGAAAAGCACCGTTTTGCATTTGCTGGACTTGAGAAGGCTGTTGCTGTTGTTGTTGCTGCTGGTTTTGCATTCCTTGGGGCTGCTGAGACAGACTCCTTCTCATGTTGCCACTGTTCTGGAACTGTGTTAGAATGTTCTTCCATTCACTCTGCGGCTTTTGTCGCAGAATTGCTTGCAACGGAGCTGGAAAATTTGCGAGTGCTTGCTCTCGCTTGTGCTGCTCCATCTGTTGCTGCTGGCCTTGCTGTTGCATGCCATTATTCATCTGCATCTGTTGTTGATTCATCATCGGTGTACCAGAAGCTGGCCGGGAGACTGGTTGCGCCGGACTCGACCCCGACACATTGGGACCAACTGGGCGATTGATCGCGGACAATGGGGTGTTGGATTGAGGCATGTTCTGTCGCTGGTTTGCCATTTGGGCCTGAGCTGCTGCAGCCTGGGCACGAGCCTGGGCCTGGGCCTGGGCCTGGTTTTGGGCTTGTAGCTGAGCTTGCTGCATCTTTGTTGCTTGAGCGGCTTGCAGACGCTGTTGCTGAGCAATGAAGGCCGGATTGATGTTTCCCTGGCCTTGTTGGCCCGCACGTTGCTGATTAGCCATCATCTGTTGCTGAAGCCGCATTTGTTCGGGAATCATTGCTTGAGCATTGCTAGCAGGGACCACCAACTCCCCTTCACCTTGGGAGCGCAAGCCCTCTGCTTGTTGACCTTGAAATCTGCCCATGTCCCCCATCATATTCCCACCGCCGTTGATCACTTGATTCATCTGTTTGGGCTGACCTTGTTGTTGATTCATCATGTTACCGTTATTGTTCATCTGACCGGGAGCAATTCCAGTCTCCAACTGCTTGGCTCGGCGAAACTCCTTCGTCGCAAGCATTCGAAAGTAATAAATAATAGGATCAACAGCCTTTTGACTGAGACTTTGCCTGAGCTGAGGGTTCATCTTTTCGACGATACTCCTCATTTCCTCTTTGGGAGTGCTCTTTGCAAGTTCGGCCGCACGGAGGTTGATGGCCTTGTTGTCATCGGCAGTCAGCTCAGCGACTTGGCCTTGCTTCTGTTGATTGTTCGCTTGCATGTTCATTTGCATCCCGGGCTGAGGCTGGTTCATTTGCGCTGGTTTGACGGGTTGTTGCTGCTGGTTCATCATTGGTGACCCTTGCATTTGCTGCTGCAACAGATGGGGCGGTATGCCCATATTAGGGTTCATATTCTGCATCTGCTGCATTTGAGCGAAGTTTTGGTTGGGCATTTGCATGTTCTGTTGCATTGGCATCTGCATGCCTTGCATGACTCCCGTGCCACCTTGATTCATCTGTTGAGCACGCCTGTCGCGAATCCGGCCCAATTTGTCGCTGCATGCTCGTACGTAATCTTCTCGGCTGGCACCTTGAGTGAAACAATTTCTCTCGAATTGCAGGGCAACCTCGATAGCACGGTGCAAGTCGACCGGCGGCTGGACCAGACGGAGCGAGTCGACAAGCAGTTTGACCTGACCAGCACGTTCTCTTACACTGACGTTGGCCTGCCAGCCGGTATAGGGGCCCTGCGAATTGAGAAAGTCGAAAATATGTTGCTGGACGGAGGGATGATTGAGAGTCATCTGTCCTCCTGCGCGTTGAGGCATCCCTCCGGGCATTTGGCCTCGCATCTGGCCTCCCATTTGCCCGCCCATCTGCGCTCCCATCTGAGGTGCCATCTGACCGCCCATCTGCATAGCCATCTGCTGCATATTGTTTGGCATGCCCCTCCCCATCGCAGCCATGTTCTGAAACTGTTGTGGGTTCATGATGGTGGAGGGCAGCGACGAACCGCCAGGGCCGTGATGTGTCTCTTTCTGATCATCCGTGTAAATGTTGGACCCCTAGTACACTTCGCGGTTCGCGTGTGGTCTTGGTTTTCGGATGTGATCGGCCGGAGGAAGGTTGGGAGAACGAGGCGGAGCGGGGGTTTCAGCAATTAACAAAGGCAAGATGACACCGAGTATATGCGCTGGTGAAGAGGGGTGTGGTAATAACGCAAAGCCCGGCGCAGGTGACACCACTCAATAGACAGCGACTCGAGGATTGTTCGGTGTAGAGTCTAGGCGTGATCATGAAAGTAGGAAGAAATCGAGGTCCATGAGCAAAGAGGGAATATTTGGGAGAGAGAACTGTTGGCTTTGAATCAGTCAGGCATGAACCAAGGCTGACACTAGTGTTGATGAATATATGGCGCCTGAAGCGGTGGAACAGACGGTGGTTGGATAACCAAACGGGCGCGTCGCTGATGATCCAGCAAGCAAGGATGGTACAATACTTGATTGGGGGGCGGGATGGAGTGTGGTAAATGGAACGTTGCCCAGCTCAGCAGCGAAAAAATACACCAGGAGTAACGGTTGGTAGAATATGACCAGTTAGACTGATAAAGTGTCTGTCCAGCAGTAGTATGTAGAGTGTACGAGTAGTAGGAAAATGTCAGGTATGTAGCGCAGGCGGAGGAGGAGAAGTGGATTTCGAGAGTATTTGGTTGTGACTACTGGAGATGGTGAGGCAGGGAATCACAGACAAGGCAACACAAGGCTAAGGTAAGCAAGGCTCTTCTTGAGGTCTTTTGCCCGCATATGTACTCCGTACAATAGGCGGCCGCCCTAGAAGGGTCCATAGCCCTTATACTTGTAACAGTGAGCCTAGTACGCCTAGTTCGCGCTGGTGACCCCCCCAAAACACAAAAGTAGGTATCCGTGCCCAGGTAGCTTAACCCGCATCCTTCTCTCTCCATTCCGGTCACTGATGACGCAGCCTTGTGGCTTCTTGTAAAGCCTCGACATTCGTTCCACTCGTGGTTCTTTTCGTTTAAATCGCTACCGAAGTAACTCCCTCACCTTTTCCGCTGATTCATTCCGCCCTCATCCGTATTCTCGGACTGTCTCTGCAATCGACGAGGCTGCACTCCGTACATCTCTCGTCTCCTTCTTCCGACGTCGGTTTTGGCCCAGAAACCCGTTTCTCTTCGCCGTCGCAGTATCTGCAGACCCCTGCCTGCGCCATGATCAATCCACTTCTTTGACCGATACCAGACAATTATTGTATCATGGCGACCTCAGTCGGCTCAGATGTCTTCTCGATTCTAGCCCTTTTGGTCATCTCTACTGCCGTTCTCCTTCTTCTGCGGCACTATCTACCTCTCCGAACCACTCCCGCCTTTCTCCTAGTTCCTATTTTCCTCTCCTTGGTCCTTCCTACCAGCGCCATTCTTTTGGTACCAATCGACCTCGCTTCGAGCGCTCGAGAAGGAAACCATGGCGGCAAGGGAATATGGCTGCCGGGAAGAGCAGTATTGGTGTCCTGGAGGATCGTCTACTGGTTGACTTTCTTGTTAACATGGGTGGTCCTCCCTCTGCTGGGTGAATATATGGACGCAGGCTACCGCGATTCAAGCTCTCGCATGATATATTCATTGAGGTCCAATGCTCGATACCAGCTCATTGTCCTAACATGCGCCGTCGCAGGCTTGGTCTACATGATTTTCTCCTACGGCTTCGACTTTACAGCCATTCGCGCATTGATCATGGCGCTTGCCTACGTCTGGGGCCTCATCCTCGCCATCTACCTCATGGGACACGGGCTGGTCGCAATACCTAGGAAGATGTTCAGGCGATCCGATATTGCTGGTAGTTTGCGTGCTGTGCAAGGTCGAGCGCCAAAGGTGCACGAGAAACTCGAAGACGCCATCCTCTCGCTAGAGGAACTCGAGGCACAGGTTATGCAACTCAAGCAGAGGAAGACTGGAACTGCCCGAGACTTTCAAGAGTGGATTGATGAGCTCGTCGACCTCACCGGTCAGCCCGAGTCTCGCGTCTTCAGCAACCCGACCACGTTAGACGCATCAGCCAAAGTGCCTGCTGTTATCACTGAGCGCTATCTGGCCGACCTGACACGCCGTCTTGTGCGTGCCAGACACCGGAGAGCCCGGTATATCCTCGAATGGGACGGCATTGTCCAATCTGCATCCGATTTGCAATCCATCATGGACTCAAAAGCGTCCAAGAAACTCGACTTTGGACGTTCCTCGTCTCGCTTTTCCATCCTCACGCCATACACGCGCTATCATCTACACGTTCATGTTATCCCAGCTTTACGTCTAACCCTCGGTGGTCTGTTCTCACTTGCCTCGCTAGCGATCATATGGTCTGAGATCATCAAATTCCCGGCACCGCACCTTTCCGCAGTCAGCTTGACTGTCATACACCACCCAAGCAATAAGAATTATCAGATTGGACTTGGTGGCCAAATTTTGGCTTCATGTTGGATAACTTATATGTGCGCGTGCGCTCTGTTTAGCGTCAACGATGTTCCAACGTGGAATCAGCGTGCGCTGGTCAAACGAAACACCTATGCCGAATCCGCGTGCTGGTATGCTGGGCAGATTGCCAAACTAACCGTACCTTTGGCGTACAATTTCTTGACCTTCCTGCCTCGAGACATCCACCAGTCCAGTACCTTTTACCAGTTCCTCGGACGATTGATCAACCTCACGCCGTTGGGGACGTGGTTCGATTACCTCTTCCCAATTTTCATCCTCGTTCCGGTGTGCGCCACTCTCTTCAACCTGTATGGCCGAATCAAGTCAGCCTTTGGATTTGATATGATCGAGGACGAGGACGAGGAAGTGAACCCTTCTGGGTTCGGGACTGGAGGTTGGCGAGAGGGCCGGGATCTGATCGCGCGAGATCTCCAGGGCAACCGCTCGAGCACGCTGGGGCTCAGCGAGTCTCCGCGACCCAGTTCCGACGGCTCCAGACCAACGCGAGGTGCTGCTCCCACGAGGTGGGTGCCTCCTGCGCAACGGGCGGCAGGGCCGGCGGCAGTGTCGTCGGGCACGGCAAACAGACCGGCGGCACGAACCCTTGATCCGGAACCGGAAGAAGAAAACTTTTTCACGCTGTTTGGTCGACGGGTGAAGAATACCATCGACACCATCGACACTCCCAAATGGATGCAACCGACTCGGTCAGCCTCGAGCCCGAGTGGTGGTAGTGGCGGCGGCGGAGGCGGGTTCAAGAGGCCCAAGTGGTTGGGTGGTGGTAATGACGACTCGGACGCGTCGCATTCAACAACACCTGGCCAGAGACCCGACAACAATAGTGGGAGCGGTGGTGGGAACAATATCCTCGGCCTGTTTGGGTCGAGGAGTAATGACGGGCGGATCATGATTTAGTATATATATTCACGGAGTATGTACATTCTATACGGAGTAAGTTTATTCTTACTCTGGACATAAAATTCCTGTATGATTTGACCTCGCCTCTGTGCATGCAGAGCTAGCCACCTAACACCTGGCTAAGGTAACAAAAAGACGCCGACCACCACGCTGGCATTCGCTCCGTAGCCTTGGTTTCGATTCTACTCCGTACACGCTGAAATACAGTTGTCATCTTCAGTGCCACAGTTGGACTGGATCCTAGAGAGTCCAAGCGGGAAAAAGGAGCACCAGACATTTACCTTTGTACATATACTAGTATCATTCGGAAAAGGAAAAAAAAATCATCATCATTTTTACATAATTTTCACAAAAAATCTACATGATCAGTTTTGGCGTCAGGTCGTAGGGGTATTATATTTCTCTCATGCTTCCTGATCCTGCAGGTGGCGGTGGCGGGCCCATGGGATACCTTCCGTCTGCTCCCATCCCAACAGCGCTGGCTGGAGGAATTCGAGGTGGCCCTCCACTCATCGTCATGCCCCCTCTCATGCCGTCTCGCCCTCCTCTTGTCGACATACGGCCACTTTCACCCATTCCTGGGATCTCAAAATCGGGATTGCCAGCAAGAAGAACGTCCCGCTTCATCTGGTGCTCCCGCCTTCTGGCAGGTCCCAGCGATGCGAATTCACCACCATTACCTGGGCGCCAGTTGGGGTTGATTCCGCGCTGGCTGACCGATGTGAAATTGCTCGTTTCACTCTCGGCAGGCGACCGAGCTCCGGGAAGATCTTCGTATGAGTTCGAAGGTGGTAGTGCCAGAGAATCGGGTCGATATTGAGGCTGTCCTGCGGTCAGAAGCGGTGGCACCGACGGAGGCTGCGTGGCTGGATTATGTGGGATTGCGGGCATCGTCTCGGGATCAGAAGCGAAGCGAGGGTCGACGTCTTCATAATACACATCACTGCCCCCGGAATTTACACGTGGTCTCCGTGGTGGGCCACTATATCCTCCCACGTGACTGCCTGTCGAAGGCAGTTCAACAGGGGAAGTATATCGTCCAGGTGTTCTTGTTTGAGCAAAATCCTCATGCGACACGTTGTTGTTCCACTGTGAACGTGGAGGAATATATCTGCGCCTGTCAGTCTTTGAGTCTCACGGCTTTCACTTTGACTTACGGATCTTGACTCTGTGACCTAGAGTTAGACCTTGAATTGGTCGGCAATTCTGCAGCTTGAACTGATGGTAAAGTTGGCATGGCTGGAGGTGGAGAAGCTTGTCGTGGAGCCCCAACGGGCGATTGCACTCTGCTCCCATAACCAGAGCGTGCTGGTGATTGTACTCGGGCTCCATACGGAGCCAGTTGTTCTTCGGGGCCAGTAGTATACACAGATGGGCTTATGGCATCAGCCCGGTTGGGCGGAGCATTCTCGATATAAGGAGTCGAGCTGGCGATTGGACCAAAGGGTCCCATCCTATCCGGATACGAGTCTGGGGGTGTTGTTCTCTCGCCTCCATTTGGTGGATAGCCTGGCGGTGGTCGATGCTGACCATCCGCCATCATTGCACCTGCTGCCATTCCTGCGCCTATGGCTCCCATGGCCGCCGCAGGAGGATATCCCCCTCTTCCACGGCCGGTGTAGCCTCCTCTCATCTCAGGAGAAAACCCGCCCCGTCCTGGGTAGCCTTGTGATGGAGGAGGACCTCGACGTCCGTATCCTCCTCCTCCTCGTGGATAAGCGCCTCGTGGAGGAAATGTTCCCCTGCCGCGAGAGCCATATCCTCTGCTACCTGGGGGTGGCACTGAGCCTTCACGGTAAGAACCGGCTGGCGTACGCTCTTCACCAGATTTCCTCGGAGGCATCATTGCGCCAGCAGCAGCAGGTATAGGGTTCCCGTATTGATCGCGCCGTTCGTCAAAAGGCGGCTGACTGTTCGATCGGACTGAAGGAGGGGGATAAAAGGTATCGGAGTTACCATCTCTAAGGGTAGTCCCGTCACTCGTCAAGGCTTGTGATCGTAGTGGCAGACTCTCCTCGTCTGGCTTCCCAGACTCGAATGTCGCAAAGGCAGGCAGTCGGTCTGCGCCAGGGGCTCCATTGACCATTGGCATAGTAGGTTCGGCTAAAGCGAAGGTCTGCGCAGGCATCTTCGATTCTTGAGCTTGCCTGTTGTAGAAGTTCTCGCCGCTCATTTCAGCATTTTCAGCGATCCTCTTCTTCCGTGCTTTGCGAGATACCAGCGTCCTCCTCATGGCACAGGTAACCACTCCGGACGCCGTGATTAGAATAGTTGACGCAAGAACAATCCACCCGCCCCATTGTAAATGAGGCACGAAAAGTAGAATATCAACAAGGAAAGCCAACAAAGTGACTAGTAAGGTAGGCAAGAGCAGGATTAGAAGGCCAAGAAGGTATCGAGCAGAGTGTGATGGCGAATGCAAATGAGCGGCAGCGGCGAGAGCAAGACACACTAAGTTGCAGAAGGCGGCGACCGGATGAACAATGAGTAGGGAGGATAAAGAGTGCCTGGTCGAGGCAGGCAGATTGAAGTCTCCATCACCTTCTGAACCAAAGACTCCATCTGTAGAGAGACTTAGAACATGTATAGGAGACGGAAGAATTGGTCATTACCCGTAGTATAGCCCACTCGTATACCGCTACATCCTGTGGTAGTACAATAACCAAAGACACCAAAATTGACACCCTTGTAGGTTGCGATAGGGATCGACTTGACGACGGGAGTTGAGATAACAGACAAGAGGAGGAGGACGAAGGATATTAACAGCAAAACCGTCAACGGCGTAGCGGGTCTAAGCATCGTTCAGGCGGACAGTGTGGTAAGATGGTGTAGACAGAGGAGGAGAGGATCAGGTGGATGGCGCCGGCGCGCAAAGTGGGAGCGAAAGATAGGTGCGCATGGATGGTGTTGTTGAAACGAGTGAAAGTAGCAATCTGCAAACAAGACTCGAGATGTGCTTGGAAAGGATGCCGACAGCGACAACGACGACGACGATGATGATGAGGCCGACGGTGGTTGAAAGCACGGGAGTAGTACAGAAGGTGTTTGAGATAAGTAACGTAACCACTGACCGGACACTGTAGTCGAGATAGAAGGTGGAAATGGGGCACTAAGTCGAGGCTGGGAAGGTGGTTTGACGGGGGTTGAGAGGCGAGGCGCAGCCGTTGCAGGGGAAAAACAGGGCACAGAGGACGCTTGAGGGTGGGAGCGAGAGAGAAGGAGTGGAGATGCTTCCAGACGGGCACTACTGTCCTCTACCAGTATGTATGTACTGTAACTACCACGATGCCCTAGTTCTTAGGTTATTCCACCTAGGCTACAGGCAGTTTAGGCGCCTTTAGCAACCATTTCCCACTGGTCCGGCGTCCTCTAGGTAAGCTCAATTAGGCTGGTGTCCTCTTTTCCCCCTCCGTGCTAACTCTGCAGGAGTACTCCGTACTGTAGACTTGCGTACGAGTACTCGTCTAGTCTCCTCTCCAAAGTCTTCCCCAGTCCACGTTTATCTCGAAAACAGCCAACCAACATCAGCGCTACGGACTTTATGCCGCCTGGCTCATGTATGTTTTACATCTGATCCTGTTTTGGTGCCTGAGGCATGGTCATGGCGCCAATTTGAGTGGAAAGACAGCGAGGAACCATCATCCGTACCGTATCTCACAAGTACTCCGTACTCGTCGTCGCAGATCCTGGAGGGCAATCACTACGCAATCTTAGGGCAGATCCGTGGGTCAAACAGGAAATGCTGCGGAACAACATGCTCTGGATCTCGCTTCCTCAGATGTTGAAACTCACAATCTCCTCTCCCTAACCCGGCCGTGTCACATATGGTGCTCCACACACGCGACTTGGTAATAGTATGTCATGTATGGACTAACACTCCCATGTCTACGCACTCACTTAGCTATAACTGCAGGCACAGAAATACATGTCGTCCAAAAATGAGAAATCGCATTTGACTAATGACACGTCAAATTCCTGAATATAATGATATGGTCTTTACTTTTGAATTTGAAGTATTGGGGCGCGTTCAAGATCGCATCTTGGTCGTTACCTGGGCGACTTTCCTTGGCTATTGCTGGGGGGTTGACCTCTCCAGCTTGAAGACTATTAATCTTGCCTAGCCACATACGTATTGTCCAGACCAGTCAGGCTCAATGGCATGGACAATTTGACGTCGATTTTTCCATGATATATAACCCATCCTCGGAGTCAGAAACTGATTTCTTCATCCCACTGAGAGGAGAATGCTCGTCACATGACCAAGGCGGACACTGAAATTTAAAGTCGGCCAAGCTTCTGAACAAGCGTGGAATTGGCGGGGCAATTTTGCAGCTTATGCACCTGCCACCGACGTCACCAACTATTCAAAACTCATGCCCGTAACAGGTTGCAGGGATACCACCGTGGACTGCAACTCGTTCATGACTCTGGTGAAATTTGCAGTCTACCTGGAGAGCCACTATGCTCTTGTTGAATCAACACCACCTCACCGCCATGGAAAGGACGAGATCTCCATGAGTGCGCACGCCTCTACACCAGAATCCCTTCTTTCCTACACACTCGCTTGCCATCTACAATCATGAATGACCCTGGCCTTGACGAACCCATCGACAATGCTGACAGTCAGGTCAGAGAAAATGTCGCTTCCCCAAAAGAGACACCGGGCGAGGATGATATGGACGAGGAAGAGGAGGAGAGAAACTTCTTGATGCCTGCGAGGTGGTGGTATGCGTCAACTGGCTTCCCCCTAATTGCAGGTACATTTGGTCCCATGGCAAATGCCTTCAGTATCTGCGCTCTCGTTGAGAATTGGAGAGTCAAGATCCCGCCTGGTGGAACAGAGGAACATGGGATTGATATCAAAGATCCCAAATGGTATGCTCCCCCGACGAATCATCGTACCATATTGATAGCGAACAGGTTGATAGCTGTGAATGCAGTATCTTTGGTCTGCGCGCTCATTGCCAATATGTCCTTGCTCCTCAACATGGCACGTCGAGTACCTTTTCAAATTGCACAGCCAATAACCATCATCGGCTTCTGGGTTGCTTCGATCCTGCTCATTGCCCTCGTTGCCGTTGCCTCCCATCACTTCCACGCCGCGGGAGTAAAGCATCAAGCACTAACTCAGGCATATTACTACGCCATTTTTGCCGCGGGGCTTTACCAAATAATATCATATCTCATGTGTGTTACCGTCTATGGCGCATACAAGGGCTATTACAGTCGAGAATTCAAACTCACAGTCGCTCAACGAACCTTGATGCTCCAGACCATCTCATTCCTTACGTATTTGCTCTTGGGAGCTCTCGTTTACTCGCATATTGAAGGCTGGAAATTTCTAGATGCAGTGTATTGGGCTGATTTCACCACACTTACCATCGGAGTCGGTGATGATTATACCCCCAAGACACATTTGGGACGAGGCTTGCTTTTTCCTTTTGCCATGGGGGGTATCATCATTCTGGGTCTTGTTGTCGGCTCTATTAGGTCACTCATCCTCGAGAGAGGGAAAAAGAAAATGGCTGCGCGGATAACCGAGAAGACTCGAGCTAGACTGGTCAGAGAGATCGACAAGGCAACTCGGAAACGAATCGATCTGAAGCGTCATATCACAATGGGACTGGGTAAAGAAACTGCCGAGGCCCTCACTGTCAAACCCGGTGACGATCGAATGGATGAGCAAGACAGAAGGGCAGCCGAATTCGAAGCAATGAGAAAAGTTCAGGATCGCGCGATGACTGAACGGAAATATATGAGTCTTGGGGTTTCGTCTTTTGCGTTCGCATTTTTGGTTAGTCGCAGAGACTATTTCTGATGAGGGTTTGTACTCATGCTAACGAACGCAGTGGTGTATCGGCGCATTAGTATTCTTCCAGGCTGAACAGAACCAGCAATGGACATATTTTGAGTCGCTGTATTTTTCCTACACCACACTTTTGACCATCGGCTATGGCGACTTCGAACCGATCAGTAACAGTGGCAAACCTTTCTTCGTATTTTGGTCGCTTTTAGCGGTGCCGACCTTGACCATCTTGATATCAGACATGGGAGATACGGTAGTTAAGGCCATTAAAGATGCTACCATCTGGCTTGGAGAGGTTACTGTGCTGCCGAGCGACGAAAGCAGCATGAAGGATCGGCTGATGCACGGTATCTATAGGTCTACTTTGGGAAAAGTGGGCTCCCCTCATTTTGATGTTGAGAATAAGGCCGGGGAAGAGTCCGGGTTTCAAGAGCTACACCCTGGATTGGCAAAGCTGTTTCGAATTGGTGGTGGTGAGCGGCCAGATAACACAAGAGATGGCGCCAATCGAGACGAACTGGCCAGAGACTTTGAGCAGTCCGAACGAATTGATGAAAGCGAAGCACATAAGGAGGGAAAGTTCGGGGAAGAAAGTAAGTTCTTTATTGATCTGTCATCGACGTTAGTGCTTACATGGACAGACGAGCATCATCTTCGGCATGTTCTCATCTCGCAAATCCGAAGAGTCTACGCAGATACTACATCTTCTACACCGAAGCGGTACTCTTATGATGAATGGGTATACTTTCTGAAACTTCTAGGTGAAGATGAGCGGGACTCTACGACACACAAGCATGCCTCCGAACTAGAAGACCCGACGTTCCACCATGACAAGAATCCAGCTAGCAAGAAGCTGTTAGACCAGACTGGACAAGACTCAGCTTATGGAAAGGGCAGCGACAAAGGCCAAGGTCAAGGCCAAAAGAAGTTCCAATGGAGCTGGATCGGCAACAGGAGTCCTCTGATGGGTGACAAAGAGGAGGCCGAATGGTTGTTGGAAAAGCTATTTGAGAGGCTCGAAGAAAGCCTCCGGAAAGCACTGAAAGAAGAAGATAATGGAGCCAAGAAGGGAAACGAAAGATACGATCCCAGTGAGAAGCAGCATGACAGGTGCGAGGAAGACGACTCTGGTAGCGAGGAGACCATCACGCGATGTAAGGAGAGTAGCCGGAGTCAGGAGGAGCAGGAGAAGACAAACCCTGCACCTTTTGATATTACCAGATGACTTTTTGGACCTTTAAACATTAGCGATGGCGTCGGGTGTACTAGGTCGTTCAAGATGCTTCAACATGTTGAGAATGTGTATACCTGAATGAAATGAATGGACTGGAGCATGATGTTGATCTTACGGGTGTGACGATGGTGGACAAATCTTGCGTTTGGCGGAACAGCCAACACCGGGGGTTTAAAGATGTGATATGTCACATGTCCAACGAATAGGACATATCTTTTTCACGAACTGCGTACAAGGGAGACCCTTCGTGTTTACCCTAGGTAGTTGAGCAAAGGTAGCAACAGCATGGGTCGTACGTCGTCCGACGCGCTGCGTCCTACAGTAGGGGCGAAGTTGATGGGGCGAAAAAAAAGAATCGACCAGAATACTCCTTACTACTGTACGTGTCGAGAGCCACGCGAGGACAAATATAGAAAGGCAAGTAAAGTTTGAGGGCGGTGCCGTCCGAGTTTGCACCCTAATACGGAGTAGGTCAAAGTGGAAAAAGAAGGAAAAAAAAAAAAGGTTCAGGGGCCGACAGCCTCGTCTCCGCTCCACACAAGGAGCCAACTCAACCCGGTGAAACTGTGTGTTAAGGGAGTACGTCTTTCTATCAAACACTACGCCATGCCCCGTTTTCATAAATCATGGATCTTTTATCTGGGTAAGGGATCCAACACACACCAACCCGTACTTTTGTGCTTCCGACACCCACCATCATTTGAAATCAAAAACCCTTGCTCGATGGAGAGAGAAAACGCGCCGTGTCCATCCCGTCAGGTCCACGCCCGAGATTGATACATACACTGATCTTGTGATTTGTCATTGATATTATCATTAGCATTACCAACGCACTGCCCCATTCTCCCAGCACAAAATACACTGATTTTGCTTGCTGATTGTCATAACTTCATCATCGTCCCATACAAGTTCTGCTGTCGCTCACACCATTCAGCTGAGTGGATTGTTCACCCAGAAACTCCTTCCCTCCCGTCCACTGTTCAACCACTAGAACCAGAGTTCACTGATCTGCAGAGATCCGTTCACGCATGATACGCTTCTTCGCCACCTTTACGCACCGCTTACAGTAGATGACTCCACACAGTTTGCACTTCCACGTGCCCGACTTTTTGACTTGGACGACGACACCGGGCTGGTCTTGAGTTTCTGGGGGGCTGCTGCTACCATCCGACTTCGACCCGCAATCATCCTTCAAGACGGCCACTTTCTTAAAACATGACATGCATTCGATCTCGACTCGGTCGTCCTTGCGGGCATCGACCCCGACCAGCCAGAAATCGGGAATCCCAGCAGTGCTGAAGGTTTGAAAGCGGTGCCTACAGCCCCAGACGTCCCATTGCTCGTCCCGAGGCTCGTTCCCGAGATCAAAGTCTTCCTCCCAATCTTCCAAGTCAGGGTCGTCCAAATCTGGAGTCGCGTTGTCATCGAATTCGGGAAGTGACGGTGATATAGCATCAGAAGATGCAGGTTCCTGCGTGTTTGACGTTCCGGCGGTCGCTTGTGTCTGTGGTTGGAGGGCCTCGTTGGCCATGATGGTGTTATTGCCACGTCCACCACCGTTTGGTCCCACGACGACAACTGTATGGTGTATGCCGTCGCTTGCAGATGGACCACCACCCGGAACCGTCGTGGGACCACCATCTCCACAGGCGACATGGGCGGCGATGTCCTGGGCTCCTCCCTGCTCACCGCTCTCTTCCTTTGCTGTGTCTGACTGAACGTCGCGTATGTCTATCGCTATTAGTAGCGCTGCGAATCCTGGGTTGTCTGCCGGTTCGGAAGACTGCTCAAGGCCATTGTGGACCGAGTCAAAGTCTCTGTGGGTATGGGCCCCATCAGTGATGGCTTCATTGGCTTCTTGATCTCGTGACACATTGGGTCCCTCAGGTTCGGGCTCATCGTCGTCATCAAGATTGGTATCGGCCTCAACCTCGGAGTCTTCTTGGGGACCATTGCCGTTTTCTCGGGCTGTGCGACAAGGTCTCTCGTAGCAAGCGTACAAAGGGCGTTGACAGTCCCAGCACCAGTGTGCACCGCACCTACACCTTATGTGTGGACAGCCGAACATTTTTGCCACCCCCATTCCGCACTTTGGGCAGGTCTTGTACGAGAAGATGCCAAGTATAAGTTCGCGCCCGAAATCCCCTGAACAAGAGTGTCCTTCGTTGGCAATCTGTTTGCAATTTGTGCACACCCTGGTATCGCAAGCAGGACAGGTGACCTCGGAACTTTTTCCATCGAATGTTCTAGGAGATAGAAACTTTGAGCATTTCGGAACCGGACAGTAGAGAGGATTTATGGTGTTGAGCTCGTCAAACCTGGACTTGTAGGCTTCGAGATCGGCCGGAGACAGAATTCCGCGGGCAGTGTCGAAGTGAATGACCTTTTCGCAGCATCTGAGTGGCATCCTGTCCATGTCCTCCATGGCTGCCTTGAAATCGGCCTTCAAACAATCATGGCAACGCGGGGCTTTACACTGTAGACACGGAACTACACGGGCTGAATCCTGAAACTCCGTCATGCAGATCCTACATTTAAGAGCATCTGTGGGTTCTTTCTTAACATTACCCGCGTTGGGCTGGTCCTGGTTTGGCTGCACGTTGTCTTCGACATGGCGCTCGGCATCAAAAAAGCCGCCGTTCGGTATGACAGTATACGCGCGGTCAGCAACTGTGATGATCCTACGTGATTGAAAGGCCTGGGCTGCGTCCGCGGCTGAGGAGAATTCAAAGACGAAGTTCTGCACGATCCTAGCGGTGCTGTTCAAACGAGTGTTTGAAATCTTTGCTCCAATGTAGCCCTCGGCGCCAGTAAAATGTCGCTCAATGTCGCCCAAGGAAGTGATGGGGTCGAGTGGTACGTCTTCGATGATGAGTGAGGTAGGTCCTGCATATGCCATGATCGACAGAAGGAGTAATGTATCGGTACAGTCGTGTGTTGACGCAGGCGTCCGGTAGTCTGAACTAGTAACGAAGGTTGAAGGTTGAAGGTAGGTGATGGTGTTGTTACTACCGATGGTGAACGCGGAGGAAGATCGTCGAAAATAGGTTCGAAGACGGTGAACAATTCTAGATGAAATCTTTCCAGCCATGCATTTGGGTGGGGGAAATAGTATGAGACTGAGACGCCCGGGGCGGCGAATTTATTGAAAGAGTGTCAATACTTAGATGTCTGAGGGTGTTTCGGGGTATGAGAGAGTTCCTGGAATTCAATACCTCGTCAGTTGGCAAGTACCTCGTGACTGTAAGGCTGAAGTCACGGTTGATTTTGGTGTGTGAGGCTGGAAGGCGGCAAGGCTGGCGGAATCGTTACAAGGCTGAACGTCTGATCAATTACAGGCAGACAAGGCAACAACTTTGATTCATTTAGCATCACAACACTGCTTATCTGGGATATTTGGTGCTTTATCGGATAGAATGACAATCGATCAAGAATCGAAAAATGATGTCGACCTCAAGTCCTTATAAACCTTCCCAAAGAAACAAACAGCAATGCAGTCGATCGTTCAAACTTGAGTCATGTTTGTACGTGGCCGGGCAGCCCATTAGGCGAGGTTGAAAATGATTGGCAGATGAACCAGGCAGTGCAATTGCCTACCAGCCCTTGCAGGCGGTTGCCTGACACCATCGACTGCTATACAGACCCATCGATTCCTTCAACATTCTCGGTTCGGGATTCCACGTGGTGTTTGGCTGTAGTATGATCCTGTTTGAAATGACAGCCACCCGACGACGATCAGCTCGACGACAAGTATGTGAGTGATGTGTAACATGTGATTAAGGCGAGTTCTGGTGTTACAACACCTCCTTTTAGATATAGGTGACACTGAAGGGCGGAATTCAGTCTGCAGTCAAGAAGAGCTGGAGCAATGGAGTACAGACAACAGCCTTCGACAGAGATCAGTCGTTCTGAAGCGAAAACTTGCTTTCCCTTTGTGATAACCTGCAAGATATAGTTCGTACACGCATTCATCTGGCTCTTGGCCTTCTAAAGTCATTCCAGCATGACATGGAGCTAGACAATATAGCGAACATCATCAGGGTAGGCTAATCACTTACAAATGTCAGGGCATTCCTTCAATGTGGAGAATCTACCTGAATATCTCGTCGGCGATGGATAAAATGCAGACGCCTTTGCAAAAACGCACACGACTGAGCAATGAACAATCTAGTCGTTGTAACTGTCTTTTTTGGTGTCTCGGCGCTCGCCAGTGTTTTGAGGCTTGTCATTCACATTGTCCTTAAGATCGTCTCTTAACTTGTATTTTGTCGGTTGCCATCTGACACATATTGGTACCAAAGGGTGATAATGGGGGGGGCACTTCGTTTTTAGCCTGTTCTTAGAATCAATGACACTGTGATTTCGAGAGTGTACTCCACATGGACAAGTACAGATGATCGCAAGGGAGCACATTCCCCCTGCATCTCCGAGACCGGGATGTAGTCCTTTTCATCTGTATTCCCCGTTTTCTGTCCCTCGCCGGCTCACCTCGGTTCACTGCGTGTGCTTGTCCGTAAACCCCTACTGGCAAGATGAGTCTCCGCCTCATCTCGAAACCACAAATCTTCACAACGTGGAGGAATTCCGAGAGTAGTACTTTCGAGAGCCCACATGGCTTCTTTTACATGCTCATGTGCCAAACCTCGCTTGTCGTCTCGCGTCTTGTCGCAGGGTCATTCGGGTCTCGCAATTCGTCCCTCACCTCTCTACTCCAAGTGTCGAATTTGCTCGAGCACTTGCCAAGGGCCGTCTAGTTGAGATGACCAGGTTCGAGTGTGCATATCCTACCTATCAGCAGCGGTCGCCAAGTCATATAGAGCATGGAAAATCCCCACAGTTCAGACCGAAGGGAATGACCTGGGGGAGAATACAATACCAGCTATATACGACAGAATGCCCAGAAATGAGTACCCCATCATTTAGCGAGACCCAACCAACAGGGGCGAACCAATTCGCCGGTGCTTTTCGAGATGGCTCATGAATGTGTGGATGTTTGGAGAACTGGGGTAGCCAAGGCGTGGAGTGCCCAACACCAGGACAAAAGACGGTCGTCTTGGCTACAGATGGTCAAAATCGCCATACTCAAACTGGAAGCGAAAGCGTCTTGTCTCCAAAGGCCAAGATCTATAACGCGGTAATAGAGAATGCACGCACAAGTGGCAACATGGGGGTTGGGAATTTCCCGTTTCGCTCTGTCGAAGATAGCTATATAAAGATGATCCCGAGACCGTCAAGCCCGGCAAAGAGTAGGTAGCCTAAGTTTGGGAAGTACTCGAATCGAAGAACCCTGTATCAGGCTCTCACTACAACAGGATCCTCATTCACAAATATAACTCACACGAGGGAGCTGCGCGAGTAAGGACTCGAGAGCGGGCAGTACTGTCGACGGCACTAGTCCCAATCAGGAAGTCACTGATTCAACCCCCTTCATCCTACACCTACGCCCACAACGCAGACATGGATCCTCTCGAAGCTGAAAACAACATGAACGCTGGTACGAAGGAGCAGATCGAGGCAGTTCATGCCGAGAAGCTTGTCGACGAACCCCAAAAACACGAGGCCCCTACGTTAACCAGAGCCCAGATCCGGCGCTTCATGCTTCAGGTCGACCTTCACGTCTTGCCCATTCTTGGAACGATATACGCGGTATCCATCATAGATCGGATAAACATTGGGAGCGCTAAGGTCCTCGGAATGGCTGAGGATTTAAATCTGGGAAAGGGGGAGCGATACTCGGTCATCCTCATGTTGTTCTTCCCTGGGTACTGTCTAAGTGATGTGCCTTCCAACTGGATTCTCACCAAGGTTCAGCCTCGACTTTGGCTATCCTTTCTGACGTTCTCATGGGGCGCCGTCCTTTGTGGAATGGGCTTCGTCCATAATTGGCAAGTCATGGTTTTCCTCAGATTTCTCCTTGGTTTGTTTGAGGGAGGTGTTCTCCCTGGTATCACGGTAAGTAGTCACCACTTCCAGGTTCACAACGAGAAGAGAGTCCTTCACTTCTCGTGCTCCCTTGTCCACGCTGACGTTGTCAACTCATCCCAGTTCACCATATCCTGCTGGTATGATCGCAAGGAATTACACAAGAGAATATCAGGGGCATATGGATTTGGTATCATCGCCTCCGCATTGGCAGGAATATTGAGCTATGGTCTCGGCCAACTTGATGGCGTGAGAGACATGCGAGGTTGGAGATGGATATTTTCCATCGAAGGAGGATTTTCTATGGCCTTGGGTCTCGTCGCAATCCTTTTTATTCCAAAATTCCCCGACAGGACGAAGTGGATCAAACCAGATCAAAGGGTTTACCTTTACAACAAGCTCAAAGAAGATCGTGGAGAATACAAAACTGGCGAAGTCAACTGGAACTCGTTTGTCCAGACATCGAAGGACTGGACTCTCTGGGCTCAAGGCACAATCTACTGCTTCACCGTCGGCACCGCCAATGCTGTTGCGTTCTTCTCTCCTACCATCATCAATGTAAGTATTGGTGTTCAAGTGTACAACCATTGAACAAAACTGACAATACTCACAGGGGCTTGGCTACTCTGGTCTTCAAGCCAGTCTTCGCTCCGGATATCCATTCTTCGCAGCACTTGGCTTATTAATGATCACAGCATACATCTCTGATAGATATCAGATGAGAGGAATTGTCGCCATCTTCAACAACTTCGTCATGCTCATTGGCTTCATAAGTATGGCTGGGTCCCCGGGAATTCTGGTGCTTGCTAACAAATGTGACCAGTTATGCGTGAAGGTTTCTCAGACGAAGTCCGATATCTAGGGATCTTCTTCGCTGCCATGGGTGTTCATTCGAGTGTTCCTGCACTACTGGCCTTCAATCAGTCAAATATCATAGATTCGGCGGCTCGCGCAGTGAGTTCTGGCGTTTTAATTGCCTGCGGCGCCGTCGGTGGTATCATTGGAAGCTTGATCTTCCGTGGTCAGGATGCGCCATCATATGGTCCTGGAATCTATGTACGAAATTTCTTGCATTTTTTGAGGTTCTTTCTTTCTAATGGTGTACAGACAACTATTGGCCTTACAACGTACAACATCCTTGCATTGACTTTCATGGTGTGGACGTACCACAAGAGGAACAAGAAGGCTGATCGTGATGGGATTGTCATCGGAGGCGTGCAAGGGTGGAGGTATGCCCTTTAAGCCAGGAGTTGGTCTCCATTGTGGACAACAGTATGCTGTCGTCATTGATGTTGCATGTTTATGTCTGGGATGAAAGAGTCAGAGATATTACAGTCATACGGCTACTAGCCCTTTCTTGCATGTTTCTCATGACAACGCTGCAGCAGCTCCATTATATCACTGACTGTCTCCCGAAGCACTACAGCCAGTTCTTACTACTAAATCAGATCCTGATCTCGATGTCACCGGTCATCATTATTGATTTGTCTCTGCTTTAACTTGCAGATGCTCTGGAAACGTGTTTTGTGGCCAAGGATTGGAATAGACCAAAAAACAGAGGCACGAGTCACTGAGGCTTTTCGCCCAACATCTTTTCATACTCAACAGAAACAAAGAGACTCAACACGATATTCTAAGTATTCGATATGGAACTCTCGATCTCGATAGCCAACAGCGAATCACGTTCTACATCTAGGTTCCTCCATGGTCATCGTTTGAATGCTTCCGAAAGTACACGTAAAACGCACCGGACCCTGGTCCGAAGTACGGGGAAAGTTTGTCGATTTCTTCCGCAAAGAGAGCAGTCTTTGTCGCTGCCTGATGAAGCTATTGGAGGCAAATGGACATGGCATGGTCAGTTTCACGCGATCATAGTAAAGAAAGCGGAAACTACGAAACTGCGTAGTACGTACCTCTACGCTCTCCCATCCGAGGACGTAGACGCCAAGTCTCTTCTCGTCGGACGTCAGTTGGACGTTCTCACTCCCTAACTTATCGCCCAGAGAGTCATTTGTGTTTGAGCAGTATGCCCACTGGCCTCCCTCGAAGCCCCGCATGCCGTATGTATCGGTATACGTCTTGTGCAT